AAAAAGTTTACTATTTTATGGTAAAATATCAAGAAAAGCGGAAATGTTTTATAAGACCTTTTTTACGCTTCCAAAAAGCGCACTGTGTTCGGGTTGTCCTCAAAAATATGAAAAGTTTTCATACAGTGCTTCCGATGGAAGAATTTTTGTGAATCGAACAGCAACTGAAATGACTTTTTATGCCAAATACATCCAAGAAGCGATGGATAAAAAAGAACCAGGAATTGCACAAAAATACTTCACGCTACTGGAGGAAGAAAGTTTGGAAATGTCATTCAAATATCATTTCAAAAAGTGGTTGCGAATCGTCACGCTGTTGAAATGGTCAATTGGAATGTATAGTAGCGCAGTTTCGAAGCAATCAACCAAGAAATTACAGGAAGCATTAAAAATTGATCACTCCCAAGTAGGAGTATCAAAATTTGGAGGTTATGCAGAGGTTCCAAAATCGTGGGTTGAACATGCGATAGAAGAACAAATTGAGGACAAGGAACTTTTAGTTCAGATTCGATGTGCAGATATTTACAAACTTTTACCTCATTCCCATACCATGGATTTTTATTTTCCAAGTGAAGGATGGATTTATGTGTTTGCTCCACAACAGGATCAGTATAATTATTCAAAATATGGGATCAAATATTATGGAGGTGATCGTTCAACTCTGGTTCCATATATTTCAAGTCGTCAAAAATGTTATGTTGACAGTTATCCAATTTCATTTAACATTCAGGTGATATTACCTGATCGAGTTGATATGTCAGGACTTCCTTCTCGCTCAATATATTGGTGGTTTGATGAGGAAGAAGGTTCTGTATTTCGTGCATGCATGGAAATGCAACAAACGAGGAATTATTTATTTGGATATGCACCGAATTGGCATTGGAGTGCGAGGAACTTGGCTTCTCCATGTTTTCTTTACATGGTAGGTCATGAAGAGATTTGTTTTGGTGATGCTGATTCTCTTTGTATTTGGGCAGAAGTCAACAGAAAGAAAACATCACAGGAAACGACAAACATGGACGCTGTCATTTCTTTCGACAAGGTTGAAGCACGTATTTCATGCTGAGTACATTGTCATTGAAGTCTTTATTATGTCACGAAAACCAATAACAAGGATGTAGGAATGGGCAGTAGAGAAAGAAGAGTGGAAGGTATGAACTGAGATAATCAAATCAAAAATAATTAATTCTGGTTTTTTCGTTGCTTCATCATTTCATTATATTCTTGTTCTTGTTGCGCACGTGGATTTGGCGTTCCTTGTGGAATCTCTCGTTTAAATAAAAGAATATGTGGTTCTGATGGTGAATTTCCGTAATGTACCCAACCTCTCGACATGGTGATTCCAAGACCTCGCCATTCTCGCTCCGAAAGCAATCGATCAGTAGGAATCATCTCAGCCATCTTTTCTGGAAGAATGACATGTCTGTATTCAAATTCATCATCATAATACTGTGTAAAGAGCATAGCGTCGGGTGTTGTGTTGATGATCACGTTGTTGGCGTTTCATAATATTGTCGTTGATTCATCATTACATTTCCGTCATCAACATGACATTATGGTTACGTCCAAAAAGATAGGTTGTTAGTTGGATGAAGAAGCAAGCCTTCTAAACCTACCTTTTCCGAGTAATAAATTTCGGGTTCGCCTTTGGACATTTTTTTGATTTGCAACAGAAAAAACGCGGGGAAAATTTTGGTTTTAATTGACGCGAAAATTTTTACTTCCAGCAGTGGGTCGAACGATTGGTGTTTTTGAGAAAAGTTCGAGTACGGAATTTGTTGTTGTAAAGGTTCTTTATCTGTCCAATACTTGTGTGATGATTTTGGAAAATATTTTGGCGATTTTCATCGATTGCCATTGATCAGAAGTGAATTCGTGAACATCATGATAATTATTTCATCCAACAAACCGTTTCCAACAACTTATCCCTAAAAAAAAATAATTGCAATGACCTCAAGTGTCCATTCTCTGAAATCAGCCTTAGAAGAGAAGGATGATAAGGATCCTCTCATCGCGATCCAAGCACGTGTTGTAACCACGACGATCAATCATAACAACCCAATTACATCCTCTTCTTCCTCCGCATCAAGTTCCCTTTCCATACTTGTTCCTTCTTCGTATATTCAGTACTGTTTGTGCCCAACACTCATTCAAGGTAAAATAGCGTGTTATCATGCTCAAGATATTTCCTTCTACAAGCGTGAACTCCATAAGAGTCATGATGATACCTCTCCCTTATTAACCATATGGATCATTTGTCGAGAAATTAAACCTCTGTATTCTCAAAAACGATTTTTCGAATGTGCTTGGCAACGAAAGATTCAAGTACGTTTGATGGAGATGAACAAGTTTGAATGTGTGATGGTGGCTTCTTCTCACAATCAAGAAAATGACACCTGTCTTCTCTATGAAGGAAAGAAATGTGAAGAATGGCCTCAAGTCGTCATTCCAAGAATGGGATCAAAAATTACACATTTTGGATTGGCTCTAATTCGATTCTTTGAAAGTGTTAACGAGAACAAACCTTTCATTCTGAATGAATCTCGTGGTATTGAAATTGCCAAAGATAAATTCGTAACTATGCAAAAATTGACAGCTCACAACATTTCAATTCCAAAAACCATGCTGTTAAGTCTTCCTCTTAATATTGAGCGTGTGAATCAACAATTTGAATATCCATTAATATTGAAAAAAGTTTCTGGCTCTCAAGGGAAAGGTGTTATGCTTATCCAAGATCGAGTTCATCTTGCAGATTTAGTTGAAATGGTGGATCCAAATGCTCCCATGCTGTTACAAGAGTTCATCAAGACCTCGATGGGAGTGGATATTCGAGTGCTCGTGTTGGGTGAGCGAGTGATTGGAGCAATAAAAAGACTTGCAAAGGAGGGATTCAAGGCGAATTATCATCAGGGTGGAAGTGTGGAACCTTTTGAGGTGACACCCGTCATTGAAAAGCTTGCCGTGGGTGCTGTGAAAGCTTGTGGGTTGGTGTTCGCTGGTGTTGATATTTTAATTGGAGATTCGGAAGAGTCGTATCGAGTGTGTGAAGTGAACTATTCTCCTGGGTTCGAAGGTTTTGAACTCGCGACTGGAATTGATGTCGCCAACGAAGTGATTTCTTATTGTACTAAATTTGTTCAATAGTTGCTTTGAATTATCAATGAAGTCCACGTGAGTCCACATGTGAGCATTCAGTCCAACACACTCCTGAGACGCATGAAAAACTGGCCAACAAAGAAGCGTTCAAAAATCATATTAAGGAAGCTGTTTCTCCTCCTCTTCCCGAGTGCTCTCCAACTCAACCATTAGAGAAATATGATCACTCGAATGCTTTTCATTTGGCAATTTTGCTTCTTCCTCATCTCCAATTTTAAGCTCTTCAGGCGTTGGAATGGAGAGTAATTTTGTGAGTCGGAATCGAGGTTTCGTAGTATTCCACAAGAATATATAATCCAATGTTGACTTGAATTCAGGTGTAAACATGGTATAGTAAACCTCTCCATGATTCCATTTGTCATGCACTTTCATTTTTGCATGATCCTCAGGGTTTAAGATTCCATAGAACGAGTAGAGAGAAATAAAACTTGGAAAGTGTTTGGAAAAATAAGAAACAAGTTCTCGAATGCTTTCCTTTCTCTTATCTCTTTCGACACTCAAGTAGTCTTCTAGTTCCTCTTCAGAATATTCTCCACTTTCATTCTTATTCTGAATGATCGATTTGTAGTCTTCTTTCACTTTTTCTTCACAAAACTCAACATTACTGAAATATTTATCAATATTCTCTTCAGTGAGTTTTGAAAAATCCATTCCATGTTGAGTCAAATCCCCATGTATTTCTGTTTCGAGACGTTCATTTAACACTCTTCCTGGAAGTGTCATTAATTTGTATGGAAAAGATGTAGGAGTTGCATTGAAATCTCCACAACTTATAATGGCAAAGTCTTTGTGTCTTTTAAATATTTTCAGTGTATGACGAATCATTAACATTAATTGTCTTGAAATGCAATCACCAATTTTCAAGTATGACAAGAATTCCTACTTGTGAAAAATCTCAAATTTCACCTACCTGAGTCTCACATAATTCGATTCTGGTCTCCAATACAAATGCGTATTTGTGATCAACAACCCTTCATTCACAAACTCTTTACTCTGCAATGCAAAAACTTGAGCAATATTTCCACTATGACGAATTTCTTCCTTCTCCAATTCTGACATTTCTTTTGGACTCGAATGCTTGTTGTGATCATGCTGCCCCAACAATTCTTGTTTCATTAATACAAGATCCCTTTCCAACATGTTAAATTTTTCAGATTTGAATCCAAAAGCTAATCCATACGAAAACGGTCGGAATTCTTTTGAAGGATTGTATTGATAATCAAAATATGTTTCGTAACCTAAACTTTGTAATTTTTCTTTCCAAAATTCTTCAAATTTATCACATTCTTGCAAACAAATAATATCCGCGTTGTATTCTTGAATTTCTCTGAAGAGATTTTCCCTTCGGTGAGACCATGATGCGCATCGTTTTGTACAATAAGGCATTCCCTCTTTCCGATTGAATAAGCTCTGTGCAAGAATGTTGTAAGTGAGGAGAGTGAATTTGAATTTGTTGCTGTCTTGCTCGTGGTGACAATGGTCGTCGTGCGTGCTGATTGGGTGATCGGAACATTGAAAGAAATGAGAAGATGAACCAACACTGGATGAACCATTGGTGTGTGGATACAAATAGTAATGATGGTGAGGATGATGTTGTTGATGGAGGTGATGATGAGGATGAAGATGGTCATGATGATGAATCCATCGGCGAGCGTAACCTTGAAAGGTATGACTTGTCATTTTTAATGGTTTTGGAAATGTGGCATTTATGTGTGACCAGAACTTCGTTTCTGGGATTGGTCCCTTACTGCTACACCTCAAGTAAGGTTCAAAGATCAGAACGTGTCCACTTTATTGGAGCTTCAAAAAACCAAATATATGTTTGAGATTGATACCATTGTTGTTGTTATTTGTTGATTCAGAAAAATTACTTTTGTTGAGGAGTGGCTTGTTGTTGTGGTGGTTGTTCATCCAAATTTCTGCAATAAGGCTTTGGAAGATCTCCATCTTCAAAAAGCAATGTCTTTTGACCCCCAAGAGGATCAGCATATCTACGTCCATTTTGAGGACCTACTTTTGGATATTCGCCTCTCTTTAACATTTCAACAATTTCAATAGCACGTTGAACAGTCAAATCTTCAAAATAGTCATACTTGAATGTCTCGGGAGATGAATAGTCAGAAATTGCAATCATTGGTGCATTAGTGCAACAACCCATACATTCCATTTCACTCAATGTAAACATTTTATCAGGTGTAGTTTCACCCAACTTAATTCCTAAGTGGTCTTCAAGAGCAGCCAAAATATCATCAGATCCAGTTATCATACATGGAGTTGTAACACAGACTTGAATTTGATATCTTCCGACTGGAGATGTGTTATACATGGTATAGAAGGATACACACTCAAAAACATTCTTTGGACTGACTTCACAAATTTCAGCAATTTTGTTGATTGCAGCCAATGGGATCCATCCCTTGTTTTGACGTTGAGCCAAGTGAAGCAAAGGTAAAATTCCAGATTGCTTATGTTTTGCTGGATATTTGGCAAGGATCTTTTTAATTTCCTCATACGACTCTGGAGTAAAGTCGAATGGTGTATTAGCATTGTTATATTCCGTATCTACGTGCTGTAATGATGTAGAGATGAGTGGAATTTGTCCGAGAGCAAAACGTTGTATCCAAGTTGTTGAGTATTAAAGTATTCATCATCGTCATCATCAACAGCATTATTATTGAAGAAAATTATTGAGTCCGCAACAAGTCATCGTGATGATTCAATCCATAACATTCATAATACATTAAATAATAAATGTAATTAAAGGTTATTATAATATTAAAAGAATACCACCAACAAAATGACAAGAATGATTTTCAATAATAACCCTCATACAAAATCATCAAGCACTTACCTTGTATTGCAAGAAGGAGGCACGTGATGATGAGAAGTATCTTTTTGCAGTAGTCGATGAAGGGAAAAGTCTCAAAGCCTTTGTTGCTGAACGTATCATTTTTTTCTTTGTCAGCTCCACTAATAGGCCCTCTTTTGGTATAATGAATCAACAGGATTAATTCAAAATCAATCCCTTCCAAGTTTCTCCCAATCTGACTTTCATCATGGCTATCATCATGAAATTCACAGTTTGAAAACACATGGACTCGGAAAGGAAGAGAAAAAATGTCATCATCGTTCTCTCCTTCGTCTTCTCTCGCTCATGATCGCTCAACCACAAACCTATCTTCTCCCTCTCCTCCTCTCATCCCTCGACCGACTCTCTTTGACTGGATCAAGGAACATCTGCTCTACATGAACCATGCCACTCCCTACAAAATCAATATTTTAAATTTAGGAAAAAGTAATAGACGAAATATTCACTATGATCGGTTCCAATTACAGATACCATTCTTTGATGATGCTTTGACTTTGCACTTGTTTTATGATGGAAACAAACCTCACTCACCTTTTGATTTACAAATTATTTCCGATGTTATGAACGGATCCTATTTGCAACATTTCATGTTGGACATTTCCAAAATGAAATCCATAATGGAATGGAAAGAATTATATTTGAAATATTCATCACAAAACTATCACCCAATGAGCGGTACTGATTTAAATACACCAATTATAACATCGGAATATATGTCTCAATTTACGTTTAAATCGATAGAAGAAGTTTTACTGAATTTAAGAGATTATTTCAAATTGATTCTGAGTCATCACAGAAATGAAAATATTAAATTTGAGTTTGAGACAAGCTCCTCCATTCCTGGTGTCACTTATTACATCAAGGAGTTCAGAAGTGACTCCTTTACAACTGAAGACGCCTCCATAATAGAAAAGGTATATTTTTCAATTCCCCTTTCAATAAGTGGAATTGACAAAATTGAGGAATATCAACGATTGTTTGATCCCACAACTATTGAGCTACCAGACGCAAAACCTAAACTTTTGATTTATTATTCATTTGATAAGAGTAGAAATTGTATTGTGAATGTAAATACCGAAATTATTTATCCCATTGATGTGAAAAATAACAAGAGGCTTGAATGGCTAACACAGATAGCACCACCTACATGGAATCAAGGAAAGTCATGTATATTAGAATATCTTTCAGAAACCACAGAAAATATTGAAAAAGAGGTTGAAAAATCATAATGCCAAAGTCAGAACTCGACTCGAATTTATCAAACAATTGCTTGCAGCGTTTGGAAATCCAATCGATTTTGCTGAGAGTGACACTTTGTCGAAAATTTCCTTCCTTATGGAGCAAAACAAGTTTATTTTCTTTGTTCATGTAACCATTGAGAAAGACACCTTCCCAACTACTCTTCCATTGATTCGATTGCAGTCTTCACAACATTTGAAGAGTTCAGAAAAGATTAGCTCTAAAATTTTACCTGTTCGAGTGAGGATCCAACAATTGAATTGGATTGAGGGAAACACATCGGAAGTGATGGCCCAGAACGTGGAAGGGATAAGATCACAAATTTGCATGTTGTTGGGTGATTTTATTAAAGTATGTGTTTGATGTTGGTTCTTCATCATTGAGCGTAGGTTTAGAGAAGGGAAGTTCGCCCAAACAAACTTTTCTTTTTACGACGAAAGAACACTAACACATTTCGAATTTGAATTTATAATGGTGTTGGTGAGAGCAATTTATTTAATCTTCTTCTTGATTCTGAGATCAGTGCAGTGACCGCATTTATCCTTTCTGCAAGTTGTGGCTCTGGCTGGGAGTCTAGCATAACATCTACGGCAAATCTTTTTATCACAGTTGTACTTTCTGGCCAAAGCTTGAAGGGTTGGTTCAATGACACCTCCTCTCAATCTCAAGACCAAGTGCAATGTAGATTCCTTTTGAATGTTGTAGTCAGACAAGGTTCTGCCATCTTCCAATTGCTTTCCGGCAAAGATCAATCTTTGTTGATCTGGAGGAATACCTTCCTTGTCTTGAATCTTTGACTTGACATTCTCGATGGTGTCGTTGGATTCGACCTCCAAAGTGATGGTCTTACCGGTCAAGGTCTTAACGAAAATTTGCATTGTGAATGGTGATGGCGTATTTTTTTTCAACAAAATTTTTAAAAAATTCTGGTCAACCTGAAAAATAAGTTTACAATAAAGGAGAAAAAGAGAAAAGCGTGGACGACAAGAGTTCTTTGGTATGTCAATGGGTCATTCCTTCAGTTTTATAACTACCTATAGAACTTATCCTGGAGTTGTAGTTCTATTAGCTTGTCATTTCATCATCCAGCTCCATCAAACCACTGAATGCCTTTTTGGCGCTTCTTTTTTTGTTTCACATTCAAAAAATAAGCCAACACAACGCGGAGCATCACAATCATCGTTTGGAGAAAATTGATTCCGATATCATCATATCCATATTATTTTGAAAAATATTTATATGGACATTGAAAGAACACATCAACATTTTGATTTTTAACTAATTCCAATCGCGAGATATTGATAACAAATATTATGTTTGAATTTTTGAAAAATCTGAAACTTCCTATCTGGAGTTCGAACGAACGAGTCCAAGAACCAATTAAAAAACGAAAACGAAAGGAAACAAACGAAAATTTATCAATGAATAATCAACAGAAAAAGATCAAAAATGAGCAATTACAAACATCTTCGGGTATTTCTGCCATCGCACGGCCGAAGAAGACCACCACGAATATCACTAATTCTATGAAGGAAAAACAACAAAAACCAACTCCATCCGAAGAAGTTATGACCCTATTAATTTCTGAAGAAAAAAAAAGAATATCAAAAGAAAATTTCTCAAGTTGTGGAAGAAGAGGGAACCCATTTTTCAAGTAATCACAATCGGAAACAGTTGCAACAACGTAAGAAAGATTTAACAACCATACCGACGAAATTAAAGCAGCCAGAAATCATAGATTTAGAAAGCGAGGAGGATGAAATTACTCACGAATACAAATCACTAGATTTGAATTATGTCAAGACTCACTCAGAATCTATTCACCCTCATCCTTCCAAGCACACAAATGAGGCAGTTAAGAGTGTTCCGCACATACCAATGGAAGTACCCTCTATACCTGTAAAAACAACACCAACACAAAACAAGGAAATACCACCTCCAGTGATCAGACTTGGCCCACCTAAATTGGTGTCAAAATCTTCCAAATATAAAGCCAAGGCTGAGGAAGATACAACTCTTTTGGACAACGATTCTGTTGAAAGAATTACGAAAGGCCTGCAGTCCTTGCTAACTTTACGAGATAAGGTAGAAGAAACTAAAGTAACAAAGTCTTTCCTTGAACGAGTGACAATGCAGAGGGCCTCTTCAAAGATATTAACCAGATTATGTGAAGAGCTATTGACAGAAGAGGCCAAGAAAGCATATGACACATTTCTTCCTCAAAAGATTTATGACAAGATACTTTCAGAGATAATTTCAAACACCGTAGAAACAGAAAAAGAATTTTTCCCACTCTCAAAGAAAGACGAGACATTTGTCAACAATATTTTTGCTCAAAGAAATATCAACCGAGATGAAGTTCTTGTGGACAAGTACAAAATTGATATTACATGGCAAAAGATTCAATGCTTAAAGCATACAGACTGGCTCAACGATGAAGTGATTAACTTTTATCTCAACATGGTGAAAGATAGAAATGACAAAAATCCAGAAAAATATCCAAAAATTTACATTTTTAACACGTTCTTTTATGCCAAGCTAACAGAGCGCCATTCCTACAATTACGGTAACGTGAGGAGATGGACACGAAAAATTGACTTGTTAGAATATGACAAAATAATAATTCCTATTCACTTGAGCGTGCATTGGACCCTAGCAGTGATTAATATAAGAGACGAAAGATTTGAATACTATGACTCCATGGATGGAAGACAAGCTGGTATGAATGTGTTGCACAATTTGCAAAAATACCTAAGTGATGAGGTGTTGGACAAGAAGCAAGTTTCATTGGATACCATGTCCTGGGAGAAATATATTCCACATACACCACAACAAGAGAATGGATCTGATTGTGGAGTGTTCACATGCAAATTTGCCAATTTCGTTGCCCAAGACAAACCTTTAACTTTCTCTCAAAAGCACATGCCTTACTTTAGAAGAAGAATGGTTGTTGAAATTGTGAGGAGTAAAGAAATACTCTAGAAGTAGTGATGATTTGAATGTCGATAATTACTTTGAAATCTTTGAAAACAGCTTGCTTTGAGCTATTAATTCGTTACATAGTTGTTGAATGGTGGAGCATCTAATTCCACAATTTTCAAAGGAGAGTTCTTCGTCTTTTGACGTCGATACAGCATTAAACATGAGGATCCAGCCATGAACACGACTCAAAAACAAATCAACAATCTTGTCGTTCAGCGCAATGTACGGAGAAGGATGAGAAGTCACTGGCTGAATATTCATGGAGTTTTCTTTTGAGATCAATGTTTGAGTATCGGTGGAGGTGGCCGTACTTTGTAACTCTCTTCTCAATTCAGGTTCAAGCATTTTCTCCAATTTGAGACTTCTCTTCAATAGTTTGTACAAATACTTGTCACCTCTGGGTACATTCTCGCTCTCAGTTCTCAGGTTGTATCTGTCCACAGTAAATGGCGATACATAATTACTTGGGGCCAACTCATTGTTCACAAGTTTACAATCATTTTCTGTCAATAACGAGAGATAGAATAAAGTTTTCTGAATATGCAAAGGGGAGAGTAAGAGGTTGGTCATGTTGAAAAATTCTTTTTCGAACACTTGCATGCCACTTGTTCCAAAGGATTGAATCATAGCTTCCATATCCACATCAAATCGAAATGGCTGTGCATGTTCCTTTGAAGTGGCGTACAGTAAGGTATGAAATAGTTCGTCATGAATCAATTGAGCTTTCTCAATATTTATCCTTATGACAGTATCTCTTGATCGCATAGAAAGACCAATAAACCAACACACTGCAGACCATCGTGCGAGTTCCTTAATGAGCTTTTCCAATTTTTCATACCAACTATTGTTGTATATGGAATATCTTGTAAGGATCACATTTGTGACAGTGTGTTGTACAGAAGTAGGAGTCAATGCAGCAGCAGTCGTTGATGTTTGTTTCTTTTTTGTTTCAACATCCAATGAAAGAAGTGTATGATTTCTAACAGCATGATTTGAAAGAAAATGTGAAACATTGGACTCTTGTTTCTTCATGTCATACAAGGATGAAAAGTATAATGATTTCACAGTTCTTAAATCCATGGACTCGGAGGACACTAACTTGAACAAGACATTTCCAATTTTTAGATGTAGCATCATTCCAATCGTTTGATTCTCTGAAAAACTTTTCACAAGTCCACAAGTTTGAGTTTCCAAAAGGTATTCGTTAGAGGAGATCGGCGGAGCAACTGGTTGAAGTGAAAGGAGAGTATCGTTTTGTTCTCCTTCACAATAAATTCTAATTTCAAATGTTGTTGCATCGTGCTGAGTAGTATTTGTAGATGATGTTTTGGAAAATTCAATCCATTTCACGATAGAGAGCCATTTGTGTGAATGATCGGATGGTAATAATTTTCCAATCGATTGAAATAGAGAAATTAAGCATGTTGTAAACTCTGATTTTTCAACATTACATTCCAATCCCTTATGTAAAATTCTATTCAATACTAGTAATTCATGTCTTAATGAAGGTAGGTCAGTATTCGATGCGAGTTCGCTATTCAAAAAATTCAATAAAATGTCTTCAGAGGTGATTCTCAGGAATTCAAGAAGAAAATTGACACTTCTTAATGAATAATAGATTTTTCTTGGGGAGCGAATTTTCTTGTCTTCCATTAAACAGGTTGTTAACAGCAAGAGTAATTCCTTTTCTTGAAACATGGTGTGAAGTTCCAAAATGAAATTTAACATCTCTGCCCAAACAGTCACTAAATTCACATTCTCAAGAATTGTCATTGGTTCAAGTAGTCCTAATTCCAAGAGACCTGCCACGATTTGAATAAGGTATCGTATTTCTGTCAGATGTTTCTCTTTCTTGCAAATTAATTTTGATAAAAAATCAAAAAAATTAGGAATTAAGGAACGAACGCATTCGAAAATGGATATCATTCCCTCATCATGCTGAGTGGGATCATACTGTTGTTGATAAGCAAATAAATTCAAGCTACAAGGAGTATGATTACTCGTGAGATGATACAACATGGCATCAATATTCAATTTTTCTAACAGGAGATCTGGATGAAATATGAAATGTGACATGTTTTGATCCATGGATAAAGAAGCATTGCTGCCATATGATGAGGCGCAATAACAGATCCGTAATACTGTTTCAAACAATAGTGTCATTAAAGAATAGTTGATCGTGTAACTAGTAGGTTGGTTATTCATGTGTAAACAAAGTAATGAAAACCAAATTCTCCAATCGCATTCAAAAGTTTTCAGTCGATGGAGTGAAAAATTCAAAGTGTTGTCTTTTGAACTTTCTTCTGTTTTTGAAGAAATGTACTCTACAAATTCTTTCCATTCAACAGGAGAGGATTTTCGAATCGACAGTTGAGAAATTTGCTCCAATTCTGTGAATATTATTTTGAATATCGAATCGGCCACTGATTTCATAGAATTTCCTTCTTCTTGTGCATTTGATGTCGTAAAATATTCCTTCAAGTAAAAGAAAAGTGATGAAAACTTGATGAGAAATTCTCCATTTGTTTTCTCTTGAATTTTTGAAAATCTATAATTCAAGGTGGAATCACGAATTCTCCATTCATGTAAAATAAATTCAAAATTAATTCGAATAGTCTCCTCAGTAATAACACCTGCATTGGCAGCAATATTTGATAATAATTGCAAACGTTCTTTGAGAGTAGTTTGTCCATCTTTTTCATTGCTAAAAATGTAAGAAATGCATTTCCAAAATAATTTGTTTTTGGCACCCTCTAAAAACTCTTGTTGAAATTGATGACTCATCATTGGTTTAGTATTTTCATGAAAAGATAATTGTTTGGATGATTGAGATTCATAATGATCATTGAATTCAATTCTCTCTGTATATTTTGAAAAGAGTTCTTGAATGAGCGAGTCCATGGATGTGTGAGAGAGAAACCATGGTAAAGATTCTTTCTGAAGACTTTGGTCAATAGGAAGAGGAGTTTCCTTATTATGTGAAATTCTGAAAATGTGAGCCAATAGCAAGTGTCCACTTCGAATACTCGGTTGTTCATATCGAGTATATACACGCTGAACAGCTTGCACATAATTTTGGTTGAAAGGGAGACTTTCAATTGAAATGAAAATATTTCTTTCTGTCATGGAATGAGAAGACTGTGGTTTTTGTATCTTTTCAAAAAAAGGAACAGAATCTTCTCTTTTAAAAATTTCATAGGTCAACCACTGATAGGTGACAACATCAACTTTTCCTTTCAAAATAATACCGAGAGCTTTCATCATGTCAAGTGACACTTTTTTCTTGTCAAAGATTAACAATGATAATTGTTGAGTAATGCTTTCAAGGGGTGCATTCAAGCATTTTTTGGCGAACAAGAAAGTATCAGTTGTTGCCAAGTTAGAAGTTGTCAACAAGGTTTTGTCATTGTTTCTGAGATATTCCAACACTTGAAAATTAGTTCTATCTTCTAAGGATACAGTGTTAGAGAAACTTTTTTGATGTGCATCAAACAATTTCTTCTTTTCTGGATAGTAGTTGGTGGATGCTATTCGAGTTTGAATGTATGTCAGAGGTAATAGATCTGGAGATTCGTTTAACAGTCGTTGAATAATTGTGTCCTGTGATGCTGAATGACTAATTAGGGAAATATAATTAGAAATAATATGAGCAACAACTATGAGTAAATAAACATTATTGTCCACATGTACGATCGTATTTTGAACAATTACACAATCATTGTCTACTTACTTTGTTCCTTGTAGAGAGTTTTTAGATAATCTACAAATGGAAAACATGAATTAAGGGTCATTTTAAATTCCTGCAACAAAGAGTTGAACACATGTGAATTACTTCAGAAATACATAACATCATCTACTGTACTTACCTCAATGTGAGTTTGAACCTCAGAATTTAGAGAGTTCGTGGACGCTCTCTGAATTTTGCTAATAATCACTCGAAGTTTAAACATGTCAAACTCTGCTAAAATTTTCTTGGTGACCAATGACTTGGAATGAAAACGTATCATGCTGAGATCTACCTTAGACAAATAAGATTCTAAATTATCGCTCAGATCTAACATAAATGCAATCTATTTGATTCTTTCGTTAGAACAAGTCCATTTAGATTTTTTAACAACTTACTGCACATAACGGATACAAGGTATCCACTCTTGCAAATCGTGTAGAGCCCATATTATTCAAAACAGACAATGCTTGTCTTTTCATCCCATTTCGAAGGCAATACAAAATAATATATTGCCAACAAACAGTTTGTGACTTTTGGTCTAGAAGTTTGAGAGCATGTTCCGCCTTTTCGAAAAATTGATTCACGTAATACTGATTCGTTGGAGCCAACTGTGCATACTTCAATTCAAATATTAAGGTTTTTGGTTTCTTTGAGTAGATGGGTGTGAGATTGGTCATTTCGTTCAATATAGAATAATAGCTTTCTGAAGAAATATATTTGATATTTGCTCTTAAGAATCGAATCGATGCCTTGTACTTTCGGTCGTTAATGGCTCTTTCAAATTCTGAGATTTGATTTTTATCTCTCCAACTGGAAACGTTCTCAATGAGCTTTTCAAGCTTTTCCAATTCTTCTTGAGCTTTTTCAGGGTCAAAGTGATTAATGTAATATTTCACTCCAAGCTTCAACTTTTTGATTGAACACTCCAAAGTGATTGGAGAGAAATCCTTGTAATAATTTCTAAAATTATTCTCATCCAACAAGGAAGACAATTTTAAACGTAAATAGAGATATTCAAAATGTTTGGGACATGATCTCAATAGAAGAGTGATGATTTGTAAAGCTTGTCGAGCTGCTATTGAACTCTTCTTTTTGTACAAAACTTTGGCCATCATAAACTGAGTTCAGTATAAAATTATATGAATTATCAATGGAGTGTTAAATATCAAAAATTTTTGTTCACAATATTTCAGCCAATGAAATGAATGGTCGAATTCAAGATGATGAACGATGCTCTTACGTACCTGAAACTCTGGAATCATTTCTGAAACTGATTGTCTTGGAAGAACACTACTTGCAGAGTTGTAGTCTCCATTTCTCAACCAAAACAGACATTTCTCATATGTGACAGCCACGTATTCTCGAATTGCTAATTTTAAAGTTTAAGAGTATTCCAAGTCGCAACGAAAATAATCACTTACATTTCATCTCTCCAAAACACTTCTCAACATGTTGTCTAGTCATTTCATCAATCTTTTCTCCACTCTCAGAAACCTCCATTCGATTATATGCCAATACTTGCAAATAATAGGGAAAGTCATCTCTCTTATTCACATCATCAAAAATAAATTTTGAATAATCGACAAGTCTCCAAGGTATTCCTGCATAGGCCAATGCTGCATAATACCAAAACATGACGGAACAATCACGACTGCCAGGTTTCTTACCGAGAATGACGTGTCGATCGTAAAGAGTTTTCATGAGAACCAATGCTGTTACTGGTGATCCTAATTTAATCAAGTACATCCACAATAATTTGATGGCTTGTGGATAGAGAGAGCAAATGGTTTGAATGAGAGCATTGTTGTAAATATCTTGTGTGAAAATGGTAGAATCTTTTTTTACGAACAAAGGTTACCATTCAATAATTTTACAATATTTCAATAACATTCGTCGACATGAAATAACGACTTACCAATTTGGTACCCATTCAATAGTGTAGAAAGAGCTCCTTCGACATCTCCGCTGTAATATTTTGTAAGAGAAATATTATGAAGGGATGATCGTTCAACTAATTTGGATCTAATTCCAAATGGTAAATTTTGTCCATTCAGTTGCAATTCTAATTGGGAGCATTTCAATAAATTCTCCATTGGTAATACAGCATCGTCACTATTAATAATTGTTTTCCCTCAAACCCAATCAGATGAAATAAACTTCTTTTTAAATGCAATGTGGGAATAAATAATGGAATTTTCATCAGAGATTGTTCGAGTAATTTGTGTGCCAGTTCATATTGTCCACTCTCCAAATAAAGATCAATGATATTCTCTAGAGAAAATATTTGGTAAGGAGCTAGATCCATGGCCTTTAAAAAACATTCAATGGCTTTCTCATGCATTTGTCGTTCTCGAAAAATAACTCCAAAAAGGGTGTAAATAGATGGGTTATTGGGATCTCTCTGTTTTGCTTCGTCGAGGACATGAATGGCCTCAGAATCCCATCCCATTCTATGCTTGATCAAGGCGCACATTATTAACACCAGTGAATTTTGTGGATTGATCTTTTTGGCCTTATAGCAACATTTTAAAGACTCTTCATATTCTTCATGAATCATGTAAATTTCAGATAAATTTATCCATGCCTCAAACGAAAAATTGTCTCTCTCAAGGACCTTGAGAAAATATTCTTCACTTTTGTCGAGGTCATTTTGTATCTTCCAATGACTTGAAATGTTAAAGAAAAAAGGATTACAGATTTACATGAAGACCTACATTAATCCCAAATTTAAAAGAGGAGTTGTGGAAACTTGTCTAAATTCTTGATATTTCTTTTCGTTGTCTAAACATATTCTTAGTGAGCTGTTAAAAGCATTTGTTGCTTCCTTTATCTTGCCCCGATGCTGTTTTTGTGAACATCACAATAAATATTTTCACATAAACAACATACCAATTGGATGACTCCTAGATTATTGGTGACATAGATTTGCATCAAATTTTTCTAAAATGTTGTTGTTGAATGTTTCAAAATCAATTATTTGAATGTTGCCACTCACCACTTTGTCGTTTTTGAAATTGATAAACGATTGAATACTGCTTTGGGCTTTCGTGAAGTATTCTTCTGATTTTTCAACGTCACTGTTAAAGTAATTTAAGCATCCAAGTAAATTATAAGTTCTAATTTTCTCTATTAACAGGCTCTCCGATATTTTGCCAGTGATGTTCTCTAGCTTTTTCGAATGTGACTCAACTGTCATGATTTCATTTAAACAAATATCACGTAATTCATTTTAGTTTAATATTAAATTAATTGTGATCATCCATCACAATAGTTCGATTTGAAAATTAATATTTCAATTTTAGTAATTTTAAAATTACCTCCATCAAAAAGCGATGAAAACTCAGAATCTCCAATATCGGAAATGGAAGATAATACTTCTCTTACATAACTCCAATCTAATGACGGCACTGTTGAAGAAGCTGTGTCCTTGATATTGTTGGTAGTGTTGCCAGCTGTTTCTTGTTGTTGTTGAGAGAAGAACATGTTATTGCATTTTTTAGGATGATGAAATGCTTTTCTAACTTTATTCTATATCAAGAGTGTGATTTCCAATACCACACTTCGTCGCTGATTTCAGTTTCGAAAAGATGCTCAGAAAAAGCTGATAGAAGAGGTAGGAGGAGCAATCATTCTCTTTCCTGTTCTTTTTTGTGTGGAATTTAAATTACCATCCTGGTGTAATTGGTGGGTGATAGGGTTGTAGTGAGTTCCTCGTTTTGAAGAAAATGATTCATGTGGCTGTTGTGAGAAGTTTTCAAAAAACTTGGAGTTTGTCTGTGATTGGCCAGAGAGATTGGATGACACTGAACTCATACCATTATTATTCTCAATCGAAGTTTTGGTGGTGTTATAAAAATCCTTCTTTGAATATGGTGATGTCAAGCTTGCATTATCCTTACTTGAAAAATATTGTTTGAAAATTACAAAATTATTACTTTGAGGAATGTAATCAGAGAGCCCATAATGTTTTCGAAGAAAAGCAATTAATTTTGGAGAAGGCCTATCGTAAGCAAGTTTTTCAGCAGTCATGTTTTCATGTGTGGTCATTGCTTCAAACAATAGTTTACCAATGCCCTTTCTTTGGCAGGATTCGCTCACATAAAAGTCTAAAACACACAATGGTTCAATTTCCTTAAAATCGCCCGACAAATTCTATGTTGGTGTTGCGATTACCATTGACAATTCAAGAAATTTGTAATTTTGAGCAAAATGCCAAAGCAGCACGTACCCGATAGAACAGCTTCTTTTTTCCGACTTTGATGATTCCCATTGCCTTATTTTCGATCGCATACAAATACAAATTATTATCGTTTAATTGAATCTTGGCCGAAGTGGTGATGGCATACGGTAGAGATTGGGCCTATCATGTCATCGGATCAGCATTGCATTCATTGAACCAAGAGTTTAGTGGTGGAAACTTACCTTTGCTGAGGCTTCTCCCATCTTATCAATGATTGAGCAAATGGCATTGTAATATTCTGGTTTTTTAGTTTTCAGCAATCCGAGAGTTGTCTTGTTCCATAACGATATACAAGGATCGACATCACTGATCATTCCTTTGATGCTCGTCGTTTCGCTGATTGTCTTTGCAATCCTTTGAATGTTGTAATTTCCAAAATCCATTGTATTGAGAAGAAGCGAAGTTTTGACAAAACTTGAGGGCCTATAGTAAACGGTCAATGTTTTTAAATAATATTAACGATGGACATCAAAGCACTTCTACGGTAAAAGTTTTTGAAAAATAAATGTTGGCGCAGACTCCGATAGATTGATGAAATGGCGCCAAAATTTATTTTTCAAAAACAGGATGGATAAACTCGTCGAGCAAAGAAACAACTTGAGAGTCACACAATAAATTAGGAGGACAAAATGGTTTTTTCGGAGACTAGTATTATTGTTCTTCTTGATCTTCCTCTTCATGGTTCAGTTCGTGTTCATCTTGTTGTGGAGAAGAAGAGGTAGGCATCTTCTCACCTTTTTCTTCCTTCTTGATGTTTCACAAAGAGACATTTATTCTTGATGTGAATGAATGTCACATCAAGAATAATTCAACTCTTTTGTGAAATTATTATTTAATTTGTTGATTACTTTTTGTAGCAGATAATTTGTTTTCTTCTTCTTCCCATTCGTTAAGTAAATTTTGAGCAATTAAAGCAACAGCTTCCGGATGCAAATATTTTGGGTAATAGAAGAACATTTGATAGGGTTCGTTCCTTTCCTTCTCTCTTCGTATTTGCTCTGCGAGAAGCAATTCATCAGAAATTTGGTCTGATGAAGATAGTGATGACTCAAAAGAAGAATCAAGAGTTGTTTGGTCTGTTCCTGTTGCTGAAAGAAGAGTGCGGTCCGATCCTTCATGCGCATTATCCAACGGTGTTTCATTGACCACTTTATCCTCCGAGGTATCGAGTAATTGACTGGCATTTCTAAATGAAAGTGGCTTTCGAATCTCTGCTTTATTCATTTTTCTCAAAATGTTCGTTTCACAAATTAAGAGAAGATGCATCATTGCGAAAGCATGAAAGAGCGACACCCAGAAGGAAAATGTTCAAAAAACTACCGATCCAATAACACATATCCTTCACTTGGTTTTTGAATACAAACAATTCTCCAACACATCATCAACAAATCCCAACCAAAAATCACCAAGCAGAGTCACAAAGTGGTTTCAGACGTTCATTTCATCATATTTGTTCGCTGATCCACTATATCTCGCATTTACTTAATAAGCGCAGGATTTATCTAAAACAGGCAATACCTGTGCTTCTTTTTCATTTAAAAAAATGATGCAGCCCACTGGTGCTGCTTCCACCTCATCCTCACTACTACTACCCACAACACCAACAACAATAATTGTGAACAATAACAAAACTAACCACATCTTGGGTAATAATAGCAATTCTGCACGCATCAATCAACAAACCCCTTCAAGTAACGCCGTTGGAGGTATCAACAATAATTTTGGAAATATGCAAGTTTCAAATAACAATGGCTTTAGCGAAACTACCATTGCCAATGTCAAACAACCCTACGTTCATCATTTTCGAATTGCGAAAAAGAAGACGACCATTGAATTCAAGATGGTGGATGCCAATGATATAAGGAAGAATATGTATGGTGGAAATACAATGCATAATCATCATCATGGAGGTCGCACAACTACATCTACTTCATCACAGCTGAATATTTCTTCTTCACAAACAACAACCACAACAAATACTTTTACCGTGACATTCAACAACAATACTGGAAACACAAACACTAACACCAACTCTAATATTAATCAACAACCAACGACAGCAAAATCTCCCTCAACAATCACAACCAACGAGACTACATTACCCTCTTCCTCCAATCCTATCCAACAACCAACTCATTCTAACACTTCTCATAATAACCACACTCAATCATCGTTATTATCTACCAACGATAATACAGTTGTTTCATCCGATCCAAAACAAACTAAAAAACAAAAGGCTTCACCTGCAGCTTTTGCGATATCTTCCAAGATCACTAAACATTCTGTTTCTAGGAGAAACTCAATGCTTTCCTCTCATTCGGTAGATCTACTACAAAACAACTCGAACTTTCAGCAAGAGGTGCTTCATTGCACGCCAACGACGGCAAACTGTCCGATCACTACCAAGAAAAACCACCAAACACGACGAAAATCAGTGGCATCTCCATCGGGATCAGTTCCTTCTCATCAGCATGCGGAGCAACATACAAATATGTCCAATAATAATAACATTTGGTCTTCAGCAAGCTCACAAACGACCTCATTGAATTCTTCCACAACAGCAAATGCACAACCCTCAACCCAATCACAACAATTCTCAATGACCAATCACCACAGCACTCACAGTTGTTGTCCAAGTAGTAGCAACATCAACGAACCGACAAAAACATTCGCCGAAATGCAGTGTTCGTGTCCTCCAACTCTCACCACGTCCTATTTTGTGGCAGGCTTCACTTTTGGAGCTTCAAGCAAACAAACAAGTGAGGCTGAGTCCCCAATCCCTAACTCCTCTCATCATCACCATCACTACCACCACCCTAATAGTCACTCGGGCCACTATCATGGTCATCAGGATGGGTTATACGGCGAAGCATATTATAGTTCCCTTACAAACGAGCAACGAAGGTATTTAACTCATGGTGGAAGGAAAACATTTGCCACTTTACCAAGCATTGAAGAAATGACGAGGTATCATGAATTAAGGCGAAATTCGATCGATGAGTTGACTCAGAATTTTGCCCAAAGTATTTCCACTGTTGAGACGACTGCTAATGATCGTCATCACCACCACCATCCTTATGAACGCATATCAGAACCATCTCCTCATGCCGTACTGAACTCTGAGAATGTGAAGAACACAGACCAAAGATTTAGAAGGAGACAAACCTATGCATTTGAAAGCGATCATTTTAGTGCATATGATAGTCAATACGATACAAATTGTTTGCAATCTCTCAAGTCTTTCCACTTTCCAAGTCGAAATCCTCAGCAGTCCCAAAACTCTTTGCAACATTTACCAACTCACCACCAACACTCACCCTCCCTAAACAATGTCCCTTCTTCATCTGAACATTGCTTACTTCCATCTATTAATGAATTAATGTCAAAAAGATAACTTGATTTGTCATTAAAATTTTAGCTTAATGCAACCATACTTTGGGTGTACTTATCCTTTTTTGTCTGTCTAACCAGAACGAAGCGGACGGATGAAGGTGGTTGGTTGTGATTATTTCAGAATGGTTGTGTGTCTGAAGTCTCTAAACGCTAAAAAATCAACTCGCTCTGTTGTGTTGCATTCGCTCCTATCCTTCACAACATATTCCGTGCTGCAGTTTTGAGCATTATCAATTCGAACGCACAACAAGAGAGATCACAACATGACCGTACGCGAATCTATTTTGAATTCTGTTCCCTCTCAGTATTTTCCTTTGACAGTTGTGGTGGGATGTGTTGCAACGATTGCAACTACGTATACCCTCTCCACCTATCAGGGACATACCCAGCCATTTCCCTACACAGACATTACCCATACAGGTTTGTATTGGCATCACCATCATCACGAATATCTCTTAATGTCATCAATTTTAAAAACTATTATTCCTTTTTTTTTAAATTGATGATGATGAAATTATGATGATTCTTTTACTCTGTCTTTTGTACTCTATTGTAGCTCGATTCACTCCGGAAAGATACATCTTCCGTGTAGGTATGCTATGGATGGCTGTTGTCATGGCGTGGAATTGGAACATTCTTTTTAATTGGTAAGTTTTGGAACTTCAGGTGGTCACATCCTGACACTTCTCATTCATCGCGGTTCCTCTCTTTATTTTCCGAATATCATATTCAACGACACTGATCTTACATTTATGATGCGATTCATAGGTTGTGGAATGTCAGTGAATCGATTCGAAATGTTTCTTACAAGTTGGATTGGATCAAGACTCATCATCATGACAATCATGATTCGGATCCAGTTCCACCACCGCCACCTCCAGCTCCTTCCACCACTCATCACATTCTCCACATGATTTTCTATTTGGGCCTTACTTCATGTGTTTCTATCACCATTAGCTCCATGTGCATCACTTCGAATAGCGACATGCCTTGGACCATGCATGTGATTGGAGCTACAAGTTTCTTTGTATTCTGTTTAATTGCACAAACTCTTACCACTTACAAGTGTTATAAATTGTATAAGGAATTGGAACAAGTAAGATCAGAGTTAAATCAAGACGAAGCATTGGCTTGCTCTGAATTGGCTCAAGAAGCAAAGGACATTGTCTTTATTTCACGTAAATCACTCTACACCAAGCTTACTATTACAGGATTAACTGTTGGTGTTTTGATTGTGAATATTTTGACAACTGTGGTTTCAAGTGAAAGTGGTCCAATGATGTTTTCTCAACTTGTTTCTAAAAGTACTACTCTTGGACATGGACCCCACAAGGCAACAGCTTCTGGACTCTCTAAACTTGATCTTAATGGAGGTGAAGCAATTATTGGAAGTGCTTTGAAACATCATCAACAACCTGTACAAGAAAATACTCAATCCTTATCGGCTCAAGTGCTCTCTACTGCTTCGAATGCAGTATTCCAGGTTGCATCTGCGGCCATGAATTATGATCCTGAGGCGCGTTTGAAGAGTACCACGAGCAACATTGTTGAATGGACTTGTACCTTACTCATCATTATTTATTTCACATCATTTGTTTTTGATTGGAGTGCAGCCAAAATTGTGACTCAAGTCGGTCAACTATTGCTTCCAAGTCAAACCACGAGACGAATTCAAACGAATAGAGCTGTTGTGGTTCCTCCTCCCAATAATCCCAATGCAGTGATGACCACCATGATGCAACCAAATTTGCATCCAATGTTTAGACCAGTCCACATGTACAACAACCATTCACAAGAATATGAAATGATGCATCAACCTTCTCCACAACAGCAACAACAAGTGTATGTATTTCCTACATCATCAGCAAGATCCTCACCCATTGGTTCATTCTCAAGTGTTGCTGAATCCTCACAGCAACAAGCATCACTTTATCCTTCAGCTTATAACATTCAATAAATGAATCGTGAGTGCGTGTTGTTGAGTGCATGACAATGGAGATTGATTCATCCTCAAAAAAAATGTTCAAAGCTTGTGGCAGACCTTGTGTTGCTCTTCTCAAGGCTTTAGCATTCGGAAAAAATTCTTCTTCTTCATATCATCATCAAACAATTCCTTGCTTGTTCCGACCAGGACAAAATAAGCGATATTATAGCTTGAATTTTTCCTCTTCTTCATCAGGAAATGAGCATGATGAAACAAATCAAAATCTGAGCAACAGCGAAAATAATCCTCCCAGCAATATGGATGATAATGGAAAAGAATTCAAAATTGTATCCATTGATACATCTGCTCTTATAACTGAAACCTATGATAAAACTGTAGTGAAAGACAATGAGACTCCCATGATCAAACATTTAAAAAACAAAATTAAAGGAGCAGGACCAATTTCCGTCTCCTCTTTCATGCAAGAGAGTTTATTGAACCCAATATATGGTTATTACTATACTGCCAAACAACCTACTCTAGGAAGCAGTGGGATACCAGGGCAAAAAGTCATTGGCCGTGAAGGTGACTTTGTGACATCTCCTGAAATTACCTCAGTTTTCAGCGAGATGATTGGCCTGTGGTGTGTGAGCATGTGGGAAAAATTAGGAAAACCAAAAGCATTGGAAATTATTGAACTTGGGCCAGGAAAAGGAACTTTAATGCATGATTTATTGGATAGTGTGAAACGAAGTAATTCCCATTTGTTAAAATCATTTATTCAATCTTTGAAAAAAGTGACTCTCATAGAGGCAAGTGACGCCCTTAAAGAAGTTCAGAAAGAAAAGTTAAAATCTTTCATGGATACAATCGAATTCCATTGGGAGAATAGATTTGAAAAATATACTGACATTACGGGTGATATTCCAGTTCTAATAATCGCTCACGAATTTTTTGATGCATTACCAGTCTATCATTTCGAGGTAGGTGATCTTGATATTTGTTTTTTCGTGTTTTAAAATATTTTCATCTTAATCAATTTTATTATTAATTAATTGTAAAATATGTAATATCAATTCTATTTAATTTGGATCGATCATACTAGTACACTGAACGTGGTTGGTTAGAAGTATTAGTTGATATTGACGACACGAAAGACAGTCCAAATCATTTCAAGTTTGTCTTATCACCAGGACCCACTATGGCGACAACCTTTGTGAGTCTTGTTGAAGGACCAAAAGAAATTGGAACGATTCGAGAAGTTTGTGCAATGGGAATTGGCTACGCAGAGAGAATTGGAGAAATTTTACATAACAGAAAAGGAGCTTCCCTCATCATTGACTATGGTAACGACTACCCAATGGGTTTCACATTACAAGGAATTTATCATCATGGATTTACACATTCACCACTGGAAAAGCCAGGTGAAGTAGACTTGTCAACATTTGTAGACTTTTCTTCTTTGAAGAAAGCTGTTGAAAGGTTCAAATCTGTTCGAGTATATGGCCCACAATATCAATCTGATTTCTTACATCAACTTGGTATGGACACTAGATTTGCCAAATTACTCCAAAATCCAAAACTTTCAGATGAACAAGTTGAAGCCATGATAAAATCTTATGAACGATTGACTCATCCAACACAGATGGGACATCACTACAAAGCCATGTGTATGGTGAATATGCCTTCAAAACAACCACCCACTGGTTTTGAAATTAATATTATTCCAACCAAAGAGGAAACTCCAAACATTTTATCAAAACGCATTCCTATGTCATCCATTGATTCATCCAAATCAGAGTCGACGATTAAGAAAGAAGGTGAAACATCGCCTATTAAGAAGAGAACTGTTGTAAAAAGCGATACTAACCCTTACATATAAATTCACACTGCTAATTATTGTCGATATGGATATATATTAGATTTTCTATCGCTATTTGAAGGGAGCTTCTCAAATTAATAATTCACCTTTTTTTATTTCCAATTTTGTAACTTACGGCAAAAAGTCCTCGTCATTTCTTCCCATTAAGGTTGACCATTAAATCCTCTTCTTTAGTGAATTATATCAAACGCATTTCACTCATGTACATCTTCAAATTCTTTATCTGCTCAGCTTCCTTGTTGAAGCTTAAGAAAATACTATTATCGATCGACGATCTCCAAAAATGTCCAATTTTTTGCTTCTCTTGTCTGCATCACTTTTACTCTTTAAACAAAATGGCTCCATCCACACCAACCACTCCTACTACCGGTACTACCACGAACAAGAAGGATAAAAAGGAAGAGGAATCAGCACCTTCTGGATTTTGTTTCCGAGCATTTACAGTGTTCCTGTGGTACATTGGATCATCGGTGATTTTTATTGGATTATTCGCTTTGCTTGCTTATTATTATGAAAACTTTTATTCAAAGGGAATTTTGAATCCTTTTGAAAAGAAATAATAACGAGGATCACAGAACAATCAAAATGGAGAAAATATGTGATCATCCTGTTTGTAGTACTAGTAAATCAGTTCAATGACATTCCGAGAAAGTAAATGTTGATATTCCCGAGTTCAAACCATTATTATTTCTATCACATAACGATCTTTCAGTTCTGAAATTGAAAATATAATGTAACTCCCTCGAAAAAATTGAAAGCACAACCTCCTCTTTTCGTGTTGTCTCCAATGTCTCTATCAGTCGTTCACAATCAAGATGAATCAATTTTTCATTTCAAATTAAACAAGTTGTCATCCTCTAACAGCAATGATGACCAGATATTGTCATCATTCGAGTGGTCTATTCTTCGTGTGGACACGTGTGGTGAATGGAGTGGTCCTTTATATTATGATTTTCTGAGTCGGAATGCAATGTTTCTAAGGGAACATTTGACACACTATCCTCCGCAAGCTTTTACCGATCTCTCATTCAGCATCAACAAGATGAAAGTATTGTCATCACCACACAACTTTTTTGTTTTTGTAAAAGATCCTCATCATACTTTCTATGAAGAATTTGTGGTCAAGAAGAACACGGAACATTCAACTGTTTCATCTGAACCATTGGATTATTGCGGAAATAACCATGACCAAAAGGAATTGCACATGTTTTTGAGAGAACACAAAATTATTGGAATTTGTGGAGGAAAACCAAATGATGGTGAGAGAATGGAAGTAGGTTATGCTCTCGATGAAGCATTTCAATCACATGGAATTGTCACCAATACTTTGAGAGTCCTTATTGAAAGAGCTTTTCGTACTGTGGAAACTCTGCAAGAAATTGAAATTGTTTGTCTTGCTTCGAATCTGAGAAGTTCACAAGTGGCTCATCGATTGAATTTTGTCTTGAATGACGAGAAATCCAAAAAGGCCTCATTGAAGGAGAATTGCAATTTGCAAGTGTATGTTTTGAAGCGAAGTTATTAGGAAAATTGTGTGAAAAACCGCCTTTCCTAGCCGTTATTGAATTAAAATTTTACTTTAAAAAAAAAGGAAATGAATATTCTGAGTGGCCTCTTTGGCCGAACCGATCACACTCGCAGCAGCAGCAAGAATAAGGCTTCTTCGAATACGACTCCACTCTCGGTCGACGAATCCTATGATGATGAATCATCCTCTCTCGATTACTATGACGATGATGAAGTCCATGAGGAGGAGGCTGCTTTAATGTCTCCAAATTGTGCTTTGGAACATGCCGATGATCAACAATTTCTTCACAACCATCCAACCATGAAGAAAGGCTTATCATCTGATGTACCTTCCAATCATCATCATGCTACGACCACCAAAGCATCAATGGCTGCTGCAAATCCCAACTCTTCGTCTGACAACTTCACCTCCGTATCCTCTCTAAACCAAGTCAGTTGTAGCAACAACAACAAGTCTCTTCTTGCTTCTGTCCATCTGACTCAACCCTCCGATATGGACATGTCCATGCTCTCATCCCTGAAAGCAGATATTGGATTCATCTCAAAAGCACCACAGAAAGCTCATCCAGCGTGTGCTGTGGGTGTTTTTGAGCTTTCTAACCTTTCCTCTTTCCGTCCTCCTCCATCCTTACATGAAGAGGAGGATGGAATGGTGGTTCAACCACTCTCTTCATCCTCTCAAGAGAACCACTTTCTTTCTACTCCCACAAAGAATCCAAGAGTCTTCTCTCAACACAGTGATGTTGAACCAGAGAGTGAAGATGGACTCAGCTCTTACAGTTTACCAAGTAGTTGTAAAAGTGATCGGATGATCTACACCCAATTCAACCATAATTTGAATACCAGTGGTGGCAGTAGTAGTATTAGGAGAATGAAAACTAATGGTAGTTACTCTTCGAAATCACATGTTGTTGCCCGAAAGGAATATCTAGCCTTAACCAATTCTCTCCAATCGTTTTTAAAGGAACTTTCCGAACAAGTGCTCTCCCATCATGCCCTTACTGAAAAGGCAATGAATAGAATGTTGAAGGAAGATCATCAAATACAAGGAACCATGATGAATGAATGGAGAGAACATGTGGAGAGGGATGTGAAGGAACATTTGAAAGAATTGAAAACTTTTGTTCAAGACCAATATGAAAACACTCGCACGGTGTGCCAACACCATTTTGAAACTTTGATGAGCAATCATGATGAGAAACAGAAGGAATGCATTCGTGAGTTACAGATCGTGATTGAGAATAATCGTCAAGAAATCAAAACATTGAAGTTATTGGTTGCAGGAATTATAGGACTTTCCCTCTTGTGTGTGATTGGCCAAATTTATTGCATTTCTTCCACGAATCATCGCTAACAAGAGATGAATGATGATTTATACGTGATAACGTGACATTCATTGTAAACATTGTGTCGTCTAAAATGGCTCATTTCGTGGAGTCGACAAGGGTCGTTTGGAAAGACCTTAATGTCAACTTGCCAGACACGAGTTTGAATTCAATACCATCATGCAGAACATGAATGTATGCCACGATTTGACACTCATTGAAAGGAATTACGATGGCTCTCACTCGACAGTTCTTCTTGAACCCATTTCAGTAGTAAGTGTGAAGAATTCTGAGCACTGTTCGAATGAAGGTTGAGTGAATTGGCAAACGAACCTTCAATCACACATGTAAAAGTACCAACATATTCGCATTCACCAATATGGAGAGACCAAAATCACACTTTAAGTCATGGCTTGATGTAAATATCTGGAGACATTCATGAATTTTATTCAATAGTTCAGAACCAATCAAAGTTCAGAAGAAAAAAAATGTTTCAAGCGTGTGCTATTCTTCTCTCACCGACCGCTTGTTCTCCGACCACAACGGCAACCACGACAAGTAAATTATTGGCAGCAGCGGCAGCATCCTCTTCTTCGGATCCATATCCGGGTGGGAGTAGTGAATTTGATGCACGGATTGGATCACTCTCACGAAAAGGCTCGTATCAGCAACAACAAGGCTCATCATCCTCGGGATTGGGAGTCAATTCTTCCATATTGAACCGAATGAGTGGAATGGGATATAATGGTAGTGGAGGAGGAGGAACGAGTGTGAGTGGAACGAGTGGACATTCCACCTTGTCGATTACGAATCGAAGTTCAAATTCTGCGACTGGATCGACGGCGAATGTGTTGTTTGGAGGATATTCGTATAATTTTGATAAACAAAAATTGTTGAAGGATTATTTGAAAAGTAAGTGATGATATGATGAAAAGGTCCTGTACATGTGAAAATCTGTCAACTGTCACGTGACATCTCTTATCGCATTTTGTATATAAAATGAAAACGTACGTTCAAAAGAAAGAGGACACACTGTAGATTTTACAGAGAAACAGATGAAATTATTTAAGGAATGTACAGATGATTTACCTTTTACCCCTATTGCTGTTTATTATGATCCACAAACTTGTATTTTACAAACAGTGCTGGAAAGCGGACATTTGATTCATTGGAAACTTCATCCAAAAACATCAGATGTTCAGTTAGTGCAAGTAGACAGGTCATTCTACGAATTGATGGACTCCAGGTTACTCTCTTCTGGAGTCATTTGTAATGAATTTGTCATTGTTCAAACAGTGAACGGAGAATTGAATTTTGTTGAAAATCCTCTCTTTCAAAATTATGCATCTATTTTTGCAGAATCGTTGGGAAATACGAGAAGAGGAACTATTTTATCACTTGGAAGTAGCAACACACAAAATATCAAACTGATGATGGCTAAAACTCAAGAAGAGACGTTGTTAAAATCAATGAAAATGAATTTACCAAAAACATATCTCTGTGGTCAAGCCACTAGAAATTCTCTCCTTATTGCGCAAATTAGCTTACGAGGAACTGAAGACAGGTATGTTGTTTAATTATATGTATTGAAGAGTTCAATATTCAATTCTTTAATATTCAATTTTTCAATACTCTTAATGATCATACAGAGAAATGATTCAAGTTATTGGTACTGTTCAAGCAAGTCGTCTCATTGTATTCTATGCATTCAGTAATTTCCGATCGAACACTTTTCACACTTTGGAATTGAGTAGTGACTCAATGAGTGTGGTATGGTGTGTTTACGAAATTATTGGAAAACAAGTCAAGAAGAGCAAGTACAAAACCATAGAGACTGAGAGTGAAATCACATGTTGTGCAATTGGTCCCAGTGAGAAACATGTGTGTATCTGTTGTGCCAATGGAGAGGTAAAACTGTTCTCCTCGTTCAAGCTTTCTTTTTCTGGAGATTCCAGTAACAAGGCATCCAAATTCAAATGTATCACTGTTCAAACTCTTCCTGGAAGATTTAGACCAAGCCATGTCGAATGGCATCCTTCAGGTTCAATGCTTCTTGTTGCATCACCTAACGAAATTTGTTTGTTCGATTGTGGCCTTAATTTTATTGATTTTCAAATACCGTTGAGAAATGCTGTTGTAAAATGTATCACTCCAACCAACATTCTGAGGTATGTATGGTTTGTGAAAATCTGAAACTGATTGAGAATTTTCATGCATGAATAGTCAACCGCTTCTATTTAGTTCTGTACAATTTATGACAAATGGAGAGTCCATTGATTCATCACTGGCTTTAATTGATTCAGGTGGTAGTAGCTTGAATCCTGGAACACCACGCAATTCCCTAAATTCACCAAGAGGTTTTTTAGGAAGAAAAAAGCATCAAGCTGAAATTCCTCAGCCATTACAAAAAGGAACAATGTTGCCCTATGAACGTCTGTTGATATGCTTTGAAAAAGGACCAATTTGCATATTTAAAATTGATTTTGGATTATTAAGTGCTTTCATTGACAATAACATTGAGCCTGCATCTAATGCTCATTTTCTTTCTATTCACCTTAATATTCACAACAAGCTGAAAGAGGGTTACAGCATCATTAGAAATTTGACAAATGCCAAAGAATTCCAACTCTGTCTTAAAGAATTCCTTTCCTACCTTGTCTCTAGAATTCATGTGGACCCTGCCTCTGAAGAATTTTTGGACATGCTATTAGAAAAATATGCTGCTCTTCACAAACATTTAGAACCAGACTCATATTTCCACACGCTCTACAAGCGATACTTTTTGTATACCCTAAGAAAAGGTTTCTACGAGAAATGTTTCCAAATTGCTCACCATCTTAATGATCCTACTCTATTTGAACACTTGTACAGATTCTGTCTTGCCCAAAATTATGACTCTCTTGCCTATCTGTCCATACAGCATGCAAGTGATACCTTTAAGAATAAGGAAAAACAAGTTCAACAATTCTTCAACGAATGTGTGCAATACGAAAAATCAAAGAATAAATAAATTATTTGTTGTTTGTAGTGCAATTCAAAACATGCTCTGTTCGTAAGGCTTCATATTTCATGGTTAGATCAAAGAGCTGTTCTTCTCGTTTAAACAGCTTGGATTCCAATTCTTGCTTTGCCAAGATTAATTGCTCGAATTGTTCTTCCAAATCCCCATGCTCTAAATTATCTCTATTTTGGGTGTAATAATTATAATAATCCTTGAATGTCTCGGTTTTGTCTCTTTCCTCAGCCATTTGCGTAATTGTTTGCTTTGCTTGTTCTTGAAGATAAGAGTTTGTTATTCTTTCATTTTGGAGTTGAGAAGAAAGCATTTCAATATGTTTTTCGAGTTCCTTTTTTGTTGCTTTCAATCCTTCCACTTTTTCTTCTGTATTCTTGAGACGATTTCTTAAGGATTCAACTTCTCTTTTCATTATTGACTCTTGAGGTGATTTTGGCATAACCTTAAATAGCCTTGTGTCACTGTTACTCAAGATAGCTTCCAGCTTCTCCTGTTGCTGCTTGAGTTCATTATCTTTCTTTTTAATGATCGATCTCATCTTTTTAACTTCCTCTTGAATAGAAAAAAGCGATGCAGACAATGCTAAATTCTCCTCTTTTTGACAAGACAATTTGAGTTTGTACGATTCAAGCTCTCTTTTAAGGGTTGCATTCTCTCTTCTCAATAATTCCTCTTCGGTTGAATGGTCTGGCTTTTCAACAATACTTTCCCATGCATTGGATTTCAGCAAATTCTCAAATCCTGATGTTGAGCTAATAGTTTCTTCGTTCCTTTTCAGCAAGGACGAATCGGAACTGTTATTGGTTTGGGTTTGAGTTGCCACAAATTGATCATTAGGAACCTTTGCAGTCCATGTTTTTCTTTGATTTGGGACATAATTGCTGCTCACAACGATAACTTCTCCTACGTCGCCCTTACTATGTCTGAACATGATGATGCTATCAGAATTAAAACGTTTTGAACGCGATCCACCAACGTGATGAGGGTTGGAAATGATTAATTTTTTTTCTACTGAACTGTAATTTTCAAAATCATTCAAAAGCAAGCAGCTCGAGAATTGTTACAATTCATTTTCTTCGAGAGTTTATCAGAGGCGTGCGTATTTAATGCCTTTCAAAGACCGCAAGGTATTCATAAAACCAATCGGGAGTGTCGTAAGGGTTGTGCCATTCATGCGCGTGAGTTGAATACCGTTGCAACAGGATCATTACCTTTTCTTTCTGACCCTTCAAAGAAATGATTTAAATATTCGAATCGGAAATGAGAGAGTCGTCTTCTCACACAAGCAAACAAAAAGAATTAAAAAATGAGTGAAGTCGCAAAAGCCTTGCAGACCGTCAAGCAAAATATTTACCAAACAGCAAAGGTAATTTTGACGATGACCAAACTTGGTGACAAACTTAGTGTTTTTTTGTGTACATTCAAACATTTGATTATCGGAATTGATGTAAAATATTTTGGACGATATTAATGAACATAGTTATTTGGAAGAGCTGAAAATTCGGTGCGTTTGGTAGCTGTCAGTAAGACAAAATCTGTTGAAATGATTAAAGAATGCTTTGATGCTGGTCAAGAACATTTTGGAGAAAACTACATTCAAGAAATTTGTGAAAAAGCTCCTCTTTTACCAAAGGAAATCAAATGGCACTTTATTGGACATCTTCAATCCAACAAGGTCAAGCAACTTGTGGAAAAAGTGGAGAGTCTGTACATGGTCGAAACTGTGGATAGAGTGAAAATTGCTCAAGCTCTCGAAAAAACATGGTCCAGCACAGGTAGAGATCGTAAGCTTAATGTACTTGTTCAAGTCAACACGTCTAATGAGGAAAGCAAATCAGGAATTTCTACAATCAGCGAATGTGAGGAAGTTATAAGATACATTATGGGTAAGTGTAGCAGCCATTAATGATCGTTTATCATTGTTTGGATTTACATCAATTTCCAGAACAATGTCCACATTTGAATCTCAGAGGACTAATGACCATTGGAAGTTATGAGCACAGTCAAGACCCTGAAAGAAATCCTGATTTTGAAAAGTTGGTGCAATTCAAAACTGAATTATTTGAAAAAATAGCTGAATTGTCACAAATTACCCCATTCGAATTAAGTATGGGAATGTCACATGATTATGAAGTCGCCATCAAATATGGTAGCACAAATGTGAGAGTGGGATCTGCAATTTTTGGAGCAAGAACGCAAAATCCAAATTCTACAGCCGACCAATAAACATTGCATCAATAAATAAATTAAATAAGCTTTAACCTTTGTCTGTCATGTTCCGAGTCAGTAAAAGGATTAGATCTCTTTTTTGATTCATCATCATCATATTCTTCAAAACTTGCTAAAGCGTCTGTATGCATCGTATAATGTTGTTGTGGAGGAGGTGGAAAGTAGGATACTGATTGAGTGGGTTGAGGATGGTTAGTAATTGTCATATGGGAAGTATTAGAAACAAGAGCAGGTGCTTCATCCTCTGTTTTAAGGGCAGAGTCTTTGAGCATTCTGCAAAATGATCGCAGCCGTCGGTATTTGTTGGTTATATATTCAATTAATAATTTCCAATCCTCATCTTTCTTTTCCAATGTAAAATAGGATTTTGTCGAAAGAATAAGCTGTACAAATTTTTTGTAACCGTTCACACCTGCACTGCTCTTGAGTGTGATTTGGAAAAGTCCTCTCAAGCTCGTATGAATTTGTCTCATGTAGGCATGAAGATGAAGATCAAGCTGAGCTATGTATTCCATTAATATTCTCCGTTGCTCTTGAAGTACTGAGTCTTCATTTTCTATTTCATCCATTTGCTTTAAAACTGTGGTGGTTGTGAAAGAATAGTAATAGGATGTTTCTTCTTTGGGTGTTACTGGAGATATCCAGGCAGCCATTCTCAAAAATGCTAATACAGACTGTCTATCCGTAATATTCTCAGGGCGTATTATAAAGTTGTAGACTTTGGAGAGAAGTATATTGGCTTGAACGACAGTTTCTTTTTGGTTTTGTTGTGAAAATGCAGCATAGGACAATAACTGAAGAACTAAATGGAGGTATTCGCTATCCATTTGAAGGAATTGTTCATGGTCATTGACAATGATATCATCAGCAGTAAATTGTCCAGAGTCATTCAGGTCTGATGTCATAAAGTGAATATTATCAATACTTGGTGTTGATAATCCAACAAGTTTTACAGCGTATGCCATCAGTCCACCAATGTTTTTCGGTAATACAGTGCTCATGCACGATCGTATAATTTGTACAGTTCTACTGAAATTTGGGTGTTTTTCAATTTCCTCCATTTGCTCCATAAACAGAGACATGATATTTACAAATTTTTTCGCTTCAGTATCTCGTTCAGGTTTGTCTTTTATCCTTTCCAAGTGTTCTACACATTTTCTAACAAATTCGTCTTCTTTAGGATTTTCTCCAAATGCTGAAAGGTCAGCACCATCTACTTTTATACGGTGCTTTTTCTCTTCTATTAGCTCTTCCAGTAAAATCTCAACGAGAGGGCCTTCCTCTTTTGCATCTGAGCAAAACTTTTTCACTTCGTCAATGAGACCTCTATTTCTTAACGAGAGTAAAATAATACTTTTCATAACCATGATTAATCCAAATCCAATCTCAGAATTCTCTGTCACCAGCTTGTACACTTTGTCGTTTGTATCAAGAATAAATGGATCTTCTTCCGACTCGTGCTTCTTGGAATGATTATCTTTTTGGTTTGGTGAGTGAATATAGTTCAATAAGTTTGTTTTTTTCCAAACAGCCTCAAGCTCTTTCTCCAGCTCCACAACTTTTTCGGTTGGTGTAAGTTGTAGAAGGTCGTCATCCGCATTTTCTGAGTCGTCCAAACTTGACGTTGAGTTGTTACTGTTGGTTGTTGACATGGAGCCAGAGGTAGATGGAGTATTTTGTTTGAAATTGCATTCAATCACACATTCGGTTACTTGTAGAAGAATTTTTGCCTTCTCATCCAACAATTCTTTCTTTGATTTTCGTTTTCCTTTCTTTTTTTGCTTGCTTTCACCTGGTGTTTGTACAACATAGCATAACACTTGGCGAGCGAGTTGAGGATCAATTTTTCCTTCTTTCATTATTTTGCTTTTGATATTACCGTCTTCAATCCCTTTCAGAATTTTAGATTTGACCGTAAGATTGGATATTTCATCCAAAATTCTCTTATTTTCTCGTGTCGCCATCTCTTTAATTCCATACCAGAATATCTTGCCAGTGTAATCTCCTTTAAGAAGAATATTGTCGAGGTCAAAAATTGGTTTTTCCGTTGAAGTGGATGATTCCTTGTCGGTTGAATTTTCTGTGTTCGTATTGTTTTTATCCCCATTATTGGATATATTACTAGCGGTGTCAGCACACGACGATGATGATGTTACAGAAGGATTTGATTTTTCGGATATTGAAGAGGTTGAAATGTTGTTATCGTCGGAAGAAAGTCTAGACGAAGAATTCAAAGGATCTAAATTGCGGTTACCATTTGATAACTGATGATGATCACTTCCATTATTCATCACAACGTTATGGTCGATTGGGTTTTGATTGGAAACAACCGATGAATGCTGAGCATGATGATGGGAATTCAATGATTCAAAGTCGCTCATTTTTTATACGTTCAAAATGTTCGTTTAATTTTCGGCAAATTGCTGGATGTTGAAAATTGATAATAATGTACACTGTGATTGTGGTGAGATGGTGGTGGTCACAATCCCTCAAAAACAATTTATGATGATTGAGGCCATGAGAGTAAATGATTACTTAAATTTGGTTGCATAAGCATCTCCAAAGAGTTTTACAAGTACATTATGGGTGGGGGTATATTCTTCTTTTTTCATCAAATCAAATTCACGTGTGAACAAAACAAAATGTTTGAATAACGTGTTAAGGTGTGCAGACACGCCAACGTTATTGATATACTGTCCATGACGATGGTAAATGTGTGCGAATACTCGAAAGAGTCTTGAAAATATTCTCTTTACAACTTCTTTGACTGAAAGTGGAAGTGAATGGTTTGTCGAAAATAATAATAATTAAATTCATAAAATGAATTTTCAAACTTACATTTCTTGGGATATGCTCGTTCATTTTCAATAGGGAATGCTTTTGGATCATCAAATTTTGTTTCTATCCAATCACACAACAGTGAGATGTAAAGCGGAGCTGATACACTCGTTGCTTGGTGATATTGTGGATTGTTTGATTCTTCGTCAACCCATCGATATTCATAGCAGTCACCTCCTGTCATACATGGGCATGACATCTCTGTGCAATCAGTGTTCAATTTCATACTATCAATTAAAAGAAAGAGGTTCTCGTGGAATTCGATGGCATGCTGTGCGATCCAATCCTTCTCATTAGTGTCGGATGGTAATTTTACTAACTCCTCCAATTCTTGGACGCTGGTAGCAAGTCCCGATACGTGAACCGATTTTCTGTGAGTGAGTCCCGAAGAAACAGGGCTGCCTGGAGAAGAGCTGATAGAAGGCTGAACAAACACGGATCTCTGCCTTTGTTTGAATTTGAAAAAGTTAGTCATCATTTTTCTTTTGTGAAAACAATTTCTTGCTGTCAGTTGGCAAGATCTTGGTTCCTCCTGTGCAAAATGGAGGTGTCACAGAAATGAATGGTTTCCTTTTTGTTCGTTGCTGGTTGCCTTTGTTGGATGAGAATCTTATACTGATCACTCTTTTTTGCTTCTAGAACCTGTCATTGTTGCTGCGAACGAGGGAGAATCAAAATTGATACTCATTGCTCCAATTCGTGAAGACGAGGATGTTGGGTGATGGTTTACATTCCCTCTGTGTTGTTGTTGAGTGGTTGTCTTTTTGTGTTGGTTATGGTGATTCTCTTCTGTTATTTCTACATCATCGTCTTCCAAAATTAGGGAAAGAGGAGTGGCTAGTGCAGTTTGTTTCTGAAGAACATTTTGAGTCAACGTCTTGTTTTCTGGAGGAGCGAGCAAGGTTTTAGGGTTGATGGCTAGATCGGAATTACTTTTAGTTGTTATTGATGGATTTTCCTCGTGCTCATGATAATTCAATGAATTATGAAGTCGTATCACCTCTTGTTTTAATTTAGAAGCCTTTTTCATGAGCCTTTGCTTTTTAATTCTCAAGGCCTGCAAACAATTATTGATCAATTGCTCTTCCGAAATCCATGAAGAAATCTCCGATTGAAATTGGTGTTGTTGCGATTGAAGAGTTTGATGAGCTTGCTCCGAGAGTATGGCAATATTTGACACTAGGTATTGGTATGTGTTTACATTTTGTGGAGGCAGTGTGGGATGTTGATGATTCGGAGAACGAGAAAGGTGACTCATATTGTCTCCAGATTTTTTACTGTTCGAGTCGCCGTTAGAAACTTCTACAGAAAGGGTGAAGCACTCTGTTGTTCTGAATATGAATGTTGAGCTCAAAACTTGGCCTTAATAGTCATGACTTATGGAAGCCAACAGTAGGTTTCAGCTCTTTCAATTCTCATCCTTGACTCGCACCATTCGTGGAGAAAAAGAAAACATTGGAAACAATCTAAATAGGGTAATTTACATTAATGACTTGAGCAAATTGGTGTGGTGATCAAGCAATTTGTTGTGTGTATGAACGCACCTTTCAATTCATTCTTCCACCTTTAATAAAAACAACAACCTGAGCTTCAACCACCAAAATCATCCATCCCACAGAGTGTCTCATGCCCGATCCTTTGAGCAATTACTTATTGCAAGGACCTTCATCCGGCAATATTGAAGCGTTGAGTCAAGTTGACAAAAACATTGAATCTCCATCACTCTCCATCGTTTCAAAATCAGAAACTCATTCGCCAACTTTTGCAATTCCAAGCACAATCACTTCCACAACAGAAGAAAATCCTGTCGCGGCTGTAAAAGACAAAATCCGAAGAAAGCTGTTCAGAAGAAAGAAGAATCATCGCATTGAGTTGCCTGAAAGCCCTTCACTCTCCATTCAATCGTCCTCTTCTTCATCGTCACTTTCAACACCTTATTTGAAAATACACATCAAAATAATTCGTCTCTAGCCAACCACGACGAATTGCATTCTCAGCAACAACAACAAAGATACTCAGTGGCGAATACCCTCTCGAGTGATGCTTCTCCTTCTCTCAAAGATCTAGAAATGAGAAGACACTCCACCACAACCCATTCTCCCTTATTACGAACTCCTCCATTCCATCACGAAAACTCCTCCACGACGGACCCTTCCAACACAAATCAATTTCAGACACAGCCCTCTCAGTTGTCGAACGATGACCGATCATCGCCTCTGATCAGCAACAATGCGTTCTCAGAAGCTGTTCCAACATCAAAATTTCAAAAAGAAACCTTTCGAAATCCGAAAAGTGAGACTCCAGTACCTCCATCACCCTCTCGTGAAGAAGACCCAACAACGCCTCCTTTCGTAGCTACTGCAACAGAGGAGGCGTCATCATCAAACCAACCCAACACTACTGGAATAATACTCGAAGAGAAAACGACGAAACCAACAACAACCACTCAACACCCAACTACGGCGGAGAGCATTTGCGCTGCTGCTTCCAAGTCGTCGTCCTTCTTATCGCCCTCTAAAAAAAGTGTTGCTTCTCTTCCGACTGGTTCTTCTCATACAATCTCATCAACTTCACCACCGATCAAAACAAAACAGCAACAACAACAATCAGGCAAAACCTCTTCTACTGCCATGGCAATGGATAAGTTTCCTTCTCCGAGTGATAGCAGTGGTGGATTGGTGATGAGTGATGTAATGGTTCAGGCAAACACTCCATCTGCTCAGCAACAACAAGTAGAGACTGGAGGTTCACCTGCATTATCCTCTCCGATAGCGATCAAGAACGCTTCCAGCAAAGCCATTGACGAGTTTTTATCAAAATCACCTTCTAACAGAGATGATTCAGTACCATCTTCTACAGATAAAACTGTCAATTACAACATGGCAAACTCTCGTGCTGATGAAAGTGAAGAGAGTGAAGAAGATATTGAAGAGGAAGAAGAGGATGAATACGACGAAGAAGAAAGTGACAATGAGGAAACGGAGCAAGAATCAGAGGAAAACAAATCTTCAATGCGTGAGACTTTGACTTCAACAAGAGCTGCTTTGGATATTGAAGATTTGATGGGAGTAAAAACGATGATTTCTCCCAAAGACTTGCAAACAATCTCATATGAAGTGAATGAAAAATTGAATGAATCAGTTCAAAAGGAATTCAATTTAGGACCTGACGAACAAGTATTAGATTCTTTCCTTTGTGCATATTATGAAAGCAAAATGCCACAACAGGGCAAAATGTATATTACCCAAAATTTTGTTTGCTTTTCCTCAAATATTTTTGGATACAAAATCAATGTAAGTTAAATAATTATTTTGGAAGTTATTATGAGTTGATCAATGATATTTGGAATGTTGCTTGGACAGCTGGTAATTGCATTCAGCGATATCAAACGTATTGAAAAAAGAATGACAGCCATGATTATTCCAAATGCTATTGAAATATTTCTTAAGGACAATACTTCACATTTTTTTGGCTCATTCGTTTTCAGAGATAATGTATATAAGGTGCTTCTTGCACTCTGTTCTCTTCATGCTAAAGCAAGAGGAAATATCTTACTCAATTTACAAAACACTATACCTCAAACAATGGAATCCAAGCAATCAGAGCAACTTTTAAGTACGGAAGATGAGAACGAAGAGCAAGAGGATGAGCCAAACAGCGATAATGACCAAGAATATGATGAGGAAGGAGATGAATCAGATGATGAACAGACTGAGGATGATACTCAATTAGTTGAACTTAATTCTCAACCTATCGTGGAATCGCTACCCAAAAATAATGATGCCAACCAACAGCCATCTTCGATGGGAACTCCAACCAAAAATGGCAAAACGGGAGACTCTGGTGAATCTAACAACAACGGCAGTAAGGAGAACTCTAATTCAGGAGGGGATGACAAGAAAAACGAGAAGAGTGAAAAGAATGAGAGGAACGAAAAAAACGATAGGAATGATAAACAAGACAATAATGAAAATAACAACAATCAAGAGGAAGAAAACGATGATGAAGACGATGAATTCGATGGCCTTTACCCTGAAGAGGATGACAAGATAACTGGTATTCAAGAGTTACCAGCAGGAGATTTCTTTGCCGATCCTGATAAAATCAAACCTAAGGAAATTGTCACTGATATTTTACCTGTAAGCATAACAGATGCATGGTATATTCTCAAGTCAGATAATACTCATTTTCAAAACGAGCATCACAAGTCACGAGAAGAAACGAACGTACAATATACGCCTTATGTAAAAGTGGCGAATAATCCTGGAATTATGAGAAAAGTATTCTTTGTGGCCAAAATTAATAACTCCATTGGTCCAAAAAGCAGTAGAATGGAATGTGTCGAGCGGGCAGTTCTCTGTAAAGGAAAGAAGAAAATTATTAATCAAATTAGTACTTTTGGCCTCGATATTCCGTTCTCTGATACCTTTAGGGTTAATAATTATTGGATTTTCGAGGATATTGATGGGAAGTCGTGCTCAATTAAGATCTTGTCAGGTGTCTATTTCTTGAAATCTTCTTTGTTGAGATGGAAAATTGAAGAAGCTGCCGATAAGGAATCAAAAACAGCTTTAACATTATGGATGGCTCAGGCAAAGGAAACAATTACTAATGCAAAAGCAAGTGGAGATTTACCATCGCTCAAGAAATCCAGCAAACCAAAGAAGAAGAAGGCTCCATCCAAGGAAACTAAACGACGTTCAAAACGTAAATCTATCAAGTCAGAAGCAGCCTCTACATCACCAACAGCTGCCTCTGCCAAAGCAATTGATTTCTCCAGTGCTTCACAACAAGCAGCTAATCCTTTCTCCAGCCCTTCTCCATTCACATCACCTCCTTCAACACCAGATGCAGATATGCTCTCCAAGGTTATGAATTTTATTTTCAACATTCCTACCTATCTATCCTCCAATATCAGTCTTCCAGCATGGGTATTTCTTTCCATAATACTGATGTTAATATTTTTAATCTTCTCCCAACAATACACCATCATTCAAACGGTGAAACATTTGGAACACAATGTACAGACCTACAAACAACAAGCAGTACTCTTTGAGCAAGAGCTCAATCACCTTGTATTTAATATTTCTGAGCTTAACACGAGCAAGATTGTGGAGAGTAGCAGGCAAATTCAGAACCAGCTGTCTGAATGGTTGGCAGCCAAGAACGAACTGTACAAATCCCATATCGATAATGAGCTTCTCCATTCGCTTCTGTATGAACTAGCTGAACTGAAAAATCTCATCAAAAAGAAGGATGCAGGTTAATCTATTTGACTACAAAGTTGTATTGATAAACTCTTAACGAGTCATTGAATATGTACTTGCATTCAATATTAACAACAAACCTGAGTATTGAGGATGGACGAGCGTTACATTAAAGATTGTAACGTTTGATCGTACGCCCAAAAAAAATTTATCACTCTCATCAGACATCCGCATCCTCGCCTTATCTTTAGCAACATGAGTGAGAACGACTTACTTAAACTCAGTGTTCGTAATAACGCCTTGTCCAAAGTGAGGAACTATGAGTCTGAAGGAGAGCTTCCTCCACATAAATCTCAAAATGATATCCCCTCAATATCACCCATTTTACAAAGAAGCCCGACTCTGGACTGCGATGATGGCAAACTTTTCAATACACTTCAAAAGAGCCAAGACGAGTTATTCAAACAACTTGGGCTAAAGGATCTGAAAGAGCTGTCGGATGAGGATTTTGCCAAGAAGATTTCAAACATTGCATCTTCAGCCAGTTTGGATGATATCCATTCCGAGCTTCCTGAGGTTGGAGATCACGAGTTTGAGGCCTCCGTAACTCAGCTTGCAAAGCTTCTCAGCGAAGCAGATATTGACCCAAAGAAGAGCATGGATGATTCCGAGATGAGATTAATGACAAGTATGGGCAAGATTGGCTTTGCAAAAAAGGGTTCACACAGCCCAGCGAAGAGTGTTCCCGATTTCAAGAGCTACCTTGAGAGCCATTCTAAAACAGATAACACTGCCAATGGCACTATGCTTGGTCCTGTATGGGATTCTGTTGCACCAAGTATCAAGTCAAGAATGCAGCGTTCCATTTCTGCGTTCCGAGAACACTTGACCATGGAAGAGGGTGGTGAAGAAACCTTAAATGTGCTAAACAAAATCAACAGCGAAATCCAAGCAGGCCCACCAAAGAAAGAGCCCTTTACTGAAGAAAAGTGGGCCGAACTTACACAAAGGTTGAGCCGACCATATGAAAAGAAGGCTAAGAAGATTGAAAAAATTATCAGCGAAAGAGAAGAAGAATATTCCAAGCAAAACACTTTTCAGCCAGCCATCAATGAAAGATCCAGACTGTTAGTAAGCAGTAGCTTAGATGATCGTGTTAACACATTTCTTCAAGAAAAACAAAAGAATATAGAAAAGAAGAAGGAAGAGGTTGCCAAACTAGAGGAAAATGAGCTAAAGTTTAAGCCTGAAATTACAAAAAAGTCGCAAAAACTGAATAGGGACGTAAATCTGTTGTTACATTGGAGCGAGGAGAGAAAACAGAAATTAGAATCACTCAAGACTGCCGTCGATCAGGAACACCTGGAACCATGCACATTCAAGCCTGTACTAAGCACAAGATCTAGAAAAATTGCAGAGAAATGTTTAAAAAAACAAGGAACAAATACCTCATTTCCTCAATCGACAGATGTGTTTGAGAGAAATTATGAATGGGAATTTATCAAAAACCACAAAAAGCGAAAGTTTATTGAATCATTTATCAGAATGGAAAAGGCTCTCCACAATCCAAATATCACCATAAAAGCTTCTAGCTTAAAACGAGACGGGCCATTTGGAGACAGATTGTACAAGCAAGGATTGGAATTCCTTGAAAAGAAAGAAAAAACAAGAGAAAATTTGCTTTCAGCGTTGTATCAAAAACGAGGAGCTGGCTGCGTTCAACAAAAAGATGATCCTTACTTTGGAGACGCAGAGGATCGTGTAGTAGAATCGGGCTCAAAACTCACAGAGGAGCAAATTTATGAATTAATCAAGCAATACGCACTTGATGTTGATGACGATCCACAATTCGCAGAAGGGAAAACACAAGACCAAGACAAGCAGGAGGAAAATATAGTGTCTACACCTCCTGACCACGAGGAGGACATGTTTACAACAGACCCTCAAGAAAAGTATGCCAAAACAATGGAAACACTTAGATTATTTCGTCAATCACAACTCTCTCAAAAAGCTTGCAACGAATAACATTGTAATATAGTGCCTAGGCCGCAAATCCGTCTGAAATATCCTCCATCTATGCCTTAGTCCAATCACAATAAAATTGACAAAGATTTTCTCAAGAATTCCAGTAAAAAACAGCTCAGCGGAAAAAAAGAAACGCAAGAAGGGTGAAATCAGAGACGAGTCAATGATACGAAAAGCTTGATAAATCAAATAATAATAATAATTATTGTGAGCTCAATAACATTCGATCTGTCACAATGTTCTTCCTTACCACAAGAACGCATGAGAGAGTACGATTGGGTGGAAAGGGAGACTAAGATCACAACAGAATTCAATTCAACATGATAATTAGCCACTCTTGTCGTAATCATTACAAGAAAAATTGGGCTGTAATCTTAATTCTCTTTAATCTGATTAGATTTCTTGTGCCCTTTTCGTGCAGAAATGACAATGTCATACATCAGTCCTGTAAAAACAATCAGTACTCCAAGCCATTGAATAAAGCTCATTTCGTGCCCAAACCTGAAAACGCTCCACAAAATTGTAAAAAATTTGCGTGTTGTAGTAATGATAGATAATTCCAAAGTTCCAAACACTGCAATACACCAAAAAATAAAGAATTGTCCCACCGTCATTGCAACACAAAAAAGAATGATATGATAAATTATGACTGTATGTCTAATGCAAAAAGAAACAGCTGGAAAAAATTGATCATAATAAAACATTGAGATGGCCACAAAAATAGTTGCATAACTATTCATATAGAGCATAAGCTCATCTCCAGTGGGCTTGTCTCTAAAACTTTTCATTAAATCTTGAATTGAGTTAGTGGAGCCGTCTGCAGCAAGTGAAATAACCAGCAAAATCAATCCCCAAATATTATTGTCATGTGGTCCATCGTGTGAATGTTTATGTCCGAATCGATCAATCATAAATACTGAAATTCCAATCGTCGTCATGATAACAGCAACAATCCGCGAAAATTCATACTTTTTTCGAGCCACTAACATGCCCATCAACATGACAGGAATCATCTTACAACTTTTTGCCAGTACTTGCGTTGGATAATTCACATAGAGTAATGCAGTATTACTCGAACTTGTTGCTACCACATATGCAAAAGAAGCAGCAATGAAATATAGTTGAGGAACATTGGAACGCCTTCCATGCTCACTGGGATGCCATCTTAATTTGAGAAATACCACAAGAGCGTTCAAAGCACATTGCAAGAACACTAGAAAAAGAGGAAAATTGAAAAATTCAGAGGATGTGGATGATGAGGAATCATGAGACGAATGATGATGATGATGATTCGTTGTTGTTGATGTTTCAGTAGAAGAGGAAGAATCATTATCTCCTCCGTAGGGTGTTCGTGTAATTTGTTCTTGATACGAAGACATGATCATGAATGAAATATAAATTCCGGCGACCATTTGGGCCAAATCAAAGGCTGATTTTAGGAAGGATGAGAGTGGTTTTTCGGTTGTTGAAAGTGGTGATGTAGTTTGAATGGGAGTGGTTGGAAAGTGATGTTTTTGGTAATGATGATGAGGCTTAAAGACAAACGTCGGAGAGTAATGGCCTCGTTCAACTTCTTCCATTTGTCTAGCATATTGATTTTCAATGGTAACATTGGCCATGGATATGGACCTCTCTAATTCATAGGCATCTTCTTCATCTTTTAAAATAATGAATTCCGATGATGATGATGGTGAGTGTGAGGAAGAAAAAAACTTACCATAGTCGCTATGCTTTCTTTGCATTTTTTCTTTTCGCCGAAAACGAAAAAAATGACTCAACAACAAACCATCAAAGAACTCATAAATCACTTAGAACAACAACAACAACAAAGATGTTAAGACGCTCACACAAACAGTACAGCAATTAATTGAAGTTACAAAACCAACTCAACCAAAACCTGAACAATCAACAATTAAAATTTCTCAAGCTCAAAATAAAGCACGAAAAATTCACCCTCAACCAAAACCTGAACCAACCCAACAACCAAAACAGGAAACTAAACATTTAGAAACTCCTCAACTCAAAATTGAACATACTGGTCAACCCAAAAACAAAACTAATTCAATCTCAATCTACTCGGACAGCAATATCTCATCCTCATTTGTTAAATTTATTCTAAAAAGATTTGAATCAGTTATTCAACACTGGTACATCCCAGACAGCAAGACCAACACTCTCAATTTAGTCATTCAAAATGCCGAAACTCAACAACAAATACTAAAGAAACTTCATTCACCAGCCGTGTCATGACAGAAAAAACACAAACAAAATATTTCGCCTCACCAATGATTTTTACATCATCTCCAACAACATTAATAGCCAAAGAAAAATCAATTTCGAACATCCAAACTCTCATCAAGTACTCAATCAATCAAAAGAAATGTAGAATTGAACAAATGTGCCTAACATTCAATCCACAAGAAACCTTGTACAAACTTAAAATTAACTTTGATTCCAAGAATCCCAACACTGAATTGATTGAACAAGGATTTGAAATTATCAAAAGAAAGCAAGAAACGCATATAGCAAATTGTATACTCCCTGAATCAACAAGTGAACTCGCAATTACCAAAGCTATTAAAACACTATGCAAGAACACAACCATCAAATTCGAAAAAGAGAGACTCAGTATTAAGAAAAAGGTAGAAGATACCTACTCATACCTAATTGTTGAATACAAGCTTAATGACATCAATGAATTGAATAGACTAACCTCAACAAGATTTATTAGCTCCACAGAATTGAAACCAATTTCAAGACAATTCAAGCCAAAGTCAACCGCATGAACGTGCGTTTAATAGTTTTACCAGCACCAATGGTGCTAACAATAAACTAATTAGATTTTTTCTTTTCGCTCTTTTAAGAATCATTTCATGCATCGAAAAAACGAGTGACTTAAAAGAGACTCGAAATTCTGAATTATTAATTTAACTAACATTTTCAGTTTGTGTTTGAAAACTGAATATTAAAGTCAGTCTTCCAATAAGGAACTGATTGTTCTTGGTTATTGAGAACAGCGTTTGATCTCCAAAACTTCACACATTTTTTGACTAATAAAACATTTAATCGACTCTGATGTCTTCGAAGCCCGGAGTACACTTTCGCTGGCCAGTCTTGCTATGTCATCATATCGTGTAAGAGACTGTGGATGCATCACAGAGATAGACGATTCATTCATTTATTTACAATGACTGGCTGTTGTTAGGACTGTTCTTTTTGATTTCTGGTAAATGTTCAACGCCGGATCGACTTCGTTGTGACATATCCAACACAGAGGAAGGTATTTGAACGGATGACTTTGCATTAAGAGACTCATTGAGGAATTGTTTTCTTGGATTGACTTTTGGTTTAGGAGGAGGCAAATGGCTCACAAAATTGTCAAAATTCAAAGCGTTTGGTTTTAGTTTCATACCTTTCATGGCTCTATTGCACGAGAGGCATTTGAACGCTTGACTTGAAGCCAGCCCTTCTCCATCCTTATCTACTTTGGTATCAAAGGATTGTGTAAGGAAATCCTTAATTCGTTTCAGTTCATCGATATCTGCCTTATCTTCAATTAACTTCTTTAAAAATTCCAAATCCTTGGCAAGCATATCTGCTGTGTGAGAATTAGTTAACGCAATGATATTCTCGAGGTCTTTTTTCATCTTGTTAAACAATGAATCAACATATTCTCGTTCAGCTTTTCTCGCGACAATATTTGCATCTGACTTTGTTTGGTCCAACCTGTCAATGGCTTCCTTTTTTTCGCTGAGTTCCTTAAAAACTTCAATCTTGTCTGCTTTCATTTTGCTGAGTTGCTGAACTTGAGCTGCAAGAGTATTAATTGAATCTCTTATCCGTTTCAAGTCAGACTGATCAAACGTGCCTTCAAACTTGAGCATCTTGTCGTTCTTATCTTCTGGAGTTAATGGTCGTTGACTGGTTGCCTTGTCCGTTTCAGCTTTAAGTTTTTCAACAATGGAATGGAATTCATCTCTATCTACTTTTCGTAGAACCATATCCTCTATGTCCTTGAATTGTTGATAGGATGGTGTTGTCAGACTATCACATTTCTGGTCAAGTTTTGCTTCGAGAGACTCTATTTGTTTTTGAATCTCTTGTACTTGATTATTCAAATCTCCTGCCATATCATGAGTTGTAATGTAATACATTATTTTCTTTTCTAACTTTTTCAAATCTTTGAGCGTTGCACTCTCTTCTTCAGCGTCAAGAGAGTTCTGAATTGGTGTTTGTACAACTGGGGAAGATGTTTCTTGTGTGTGTGTGAGCAGAGCAGACTGATTAATATCCATTGGAGTTGGTGATCTATTCTCCAAAGCTGATACTCTAATGTTTGTTTCTGCAATCTTGTTTTCAAGATAATCAATTTTTCCCAGTAACTCGTTAATTGAGTCACTGACTGCATCACTTTGCTCATTCTTTGGAATATACACCATAACATTTCGTCCCTGTTCGAGATCCACTGATATTAATCCTTCTCTGTCTTCACTTGGCTCTTCAGAGGTGACCCTGTTTCTTTCGGATGGAGTAGATGTCCTAGATGTTCTCTTCTTTTGTTTTAACCTATCAGCTGCTTGAAGCTTTCTATCTATTGCTTCCACTTGTTGTCGAATATTCCTCATCTCATCCAATACCTTATTAATGTCTTCACTCTCTTTAGACTTTGCATTTTCCAACTCTCTTTGCAAATCGTTCAGCTGAGTGACCAAGACTCCTTTTACACGAGAAATGTGAGCTCTGTCAACATCGTTTTTAACATCATATACATTGTACATAAATGGGTCAACAACGTCCTCGACATCTGTTTCTGTTGAAACATTTATACGATGGTTTGGATCAATAACTGCTGCAGGAGCGAAATTAATAACAGACGACGTGGTGGATGACTTGGTTTCGCCTTTGTCTATACCTGGTGGATTGGATTGGTTGTCAGCATGATATTGAGCAAGTTTTCCGTGCTTTGGAAGAGAAAGAATAACAGATTGGAAAGTGTTTGCTTCTTCTCCATCACCTGCATCAAAAAGCTGTACAGTTTTTTCTTCATTTGGTTTAGATACCACATTCAGATCTTTAAGAGTTGACAATAAGCTGGTGGGAGTGCTTGACTGACTTTCGGGAGAAGTAATTCTATTTGCTGTTGGGGTATTTCGAGTGGTTGAGGTTGAGCTGTTGGGTCTCTCAGGTTGCACACGAGGACTTGAAGAGTGACTTGAAGAATCCTTGTTTGAATCTTTGTTCATAGAATTTTGTTTGCTGTTAGCTCTTTCAAGATGTTTTGGACGTGTTGACGTTTGTTGCTGCTGGGATGAAGAATGGTTTAACTCTTTCAATTTTTGTGAGACGAGTTTGTCCATATTATTAATTGAATCTTCATGCTTTTCATTCAAAGCTTGGACGCCATGCTTCATGTCCTCTAACTCCTTCTCCACCTTCATTATTTGCTCCATTAGTTTTTTTGCAGAATCCTTTTGTTTTTCTTCTAATAAACTAATGTCACCAGAGTTATCTTTTTTCATAAATATTTCTTTCATATTTGCTTGTTCTTCCAACACTTTGTCGATTTTTCTGTTCGATTCCGAGACTTGTTCACTGGTATTATTCAATCGATCGTGCAATTCTTTTACATTTGCATTCGTATTATCCAACTTGTCGTTCATTTGAGAAAAACGAGTGTCATGGGATGACACCTTCTTGATGATTGCAGACAACAACTTCTTCAATGGAGAATAGCTCATCAGTTCGTGATCGAGACCATTCGGAGACATTAACGATCCCCAATCGAGCTCATCATCTTGCATGTTTTTTCCCGCTGACCCCTCCTGCAAAGAGGGCATTCTCTCCTCAACTACTTCCGAAGTCATTAACTCTTATCTATTCTCCACAACAACAAAACACCAATTATCTGTAAGGCAAGCGAGAATATGAAAATCTTTTGGAAGAAAGAGATCAAAGAAGAGCTGAGTGTTTAATTTTTTTTTCAAATTTACAGCGATCGTTTGCGTGACTGTAGTTTTTGGGCGGCTGTGCCAATCCTCTCCATTCGGTCCTATCTTTTTAAAAATTATTAGACAGAGAGATAGTCGAGAGGATATATGCTTTTGGAATAGATCTAGATACTGTTGTTGTTGTTTCGTTTGAAAACACAGTGAGGGTGTTGACGGTATGATTCAAATGATGTCAACTGTTGGCGACCCACTAAAAAATGTTCGAGCGTTCATTCATAGATGCATCATTATTCCGAACGAAATGTCCTTATTCATCAAGGCTGCGTTCATCATGCTTCTCGGAACGACGAGAAATACTCGTAATATTGGGAATGCTATTATTATCAATCATTTTGACATGGAGCCCGTTATTAGGACAAACGACTGTGTTGGTTTTTGGACAGGAATTAGGATCACCAAACAAAACAATTGAGGCTACCGTTGTTGTAAATAATAATGAAAATAGACAAGAATCTGTAAACGTGCTGCTCATCACTTTCACCATGCTTGTAATTATATTTAGTACCTATGTTTTTCTTGAATTTAAAATTAATATTTTACCGGACAGTATTGTAGTAATTGTCATCGGAATGATTATGGGAGTCATCATTCGACAGTTTGGAATTTCTGGTGCACACACATTCAAATTAGAAAGTGACTTTTTCTTTTTGTTTTTATTGCCACCAATCATTTTTGAAAGCGGATACAATCTGTCAAAGGGCAACTTTTTCGGCAATATTATCAGTATTCTGTGGTATGCAGTGGTTGGTACAATTATCTCAACAATAGTAATTGGAGTTGGAATTGGAATTTTTGGATTTGTGCCATGGATTGATTCTTTTGCTTTTGCAAGTTTAATATCAAGCGTTGACCCAATTGCAGCACTTACTGGTACGTACATATGTTGAAGAAGTAGTTCTTGTAAAATATGACATCAAAATTTATTAATCAAAAAGTATTTAATGGAATTAAGGAAGATTTAGGTGAGAGAAAGACTGCCGAAATCTCCATGCTGATTTTTGGAGAATCCACACTGAATGATGTGGCAGCTATGTTGCTGTTTAGATCGTTCGATACCTATGCTAGATTTCCATCCTCTGCAAATGTTTCCTTCTCTGCTTCTGCAATTTCTTTCATGAATCATTTACTGCTTTCCTTCTTTGGGTCTCTAATAATTGGAGTCTTGATTGCCCTTCTTTCAGCTTTAATTTTTAAATACTTTCATTTCTACAAGTATCCGTCATTAGAACTTACTTTGATGGTCATTACATGTTATGGTATGTATATTTGGTGTTATTAACAACCACAAAACCAACCTTTCAAAGTACCATATGTGCTGGCTGAAGGTTTAGAGCTGTCTGGAATTTTGGCTCTTCTTTCTAGCTCCATTATTAGCAGTCACTATACACGTCTAAATCTCAGCAAGCAAACACAAATTACCATTGATCATGCTTTAATGATGTTTTCATATATTTGTGAAACGATTGTTTTTCTCTATTTAGGCCTTGCCACATTTACTTATAACCATAGATTCCACTTTGGAATGATAATAATGGCCATCATACTTTGCATTTTAGGTCGAATTGCTAACATTATTCCAATATCTTACATTTTAAACACTTTATTCAATGCAAACATCTCAAAAAAGGCACAATTAATTTTGACATGGTGTGGAATGAGAGGAGTGATTTCATTAGCTTTAGCCATGAGTCTTACCGAAACTCAGTACAAAAACACCATCGTAACCACAACTCTAGTGATTGTATTATTGTCTATTCTAGTATTTGGTGGTGGAATGTCTCCTTTCATTAGAAAAGTTTATACCATGTCAGATATTCCTTTTTTCAATGAACCTGTAGAAGTCACTTCATCCTTATCAGAAATATCAATCCAAGAAGAAGAATCCATCATTGTTAAGCTCGATCAAGAATATTTTCTTCCGTTTTTCACAGGAACCAATTCCTCAAAAGATGCCTTTGATCGTGTAAATGACAAGACATCATTGAAATCTCGACAATTAGAAAGAGCCGAAATTCAAACCAGTGACTCTGAAGATGCATAAATAGCCAAAATTTACCAGCGAGTTTGTTGGTGTGCTGCTGGTTGCGTCTGACGCAAATTACAATATAGATTTCTTTACATGACACTTCTTTGATTGGTTATTATTCATGATTGATCAATAGCCGGTTAGATGTTAGGTTCTTCAGTTGTTGTTGTTGACAATAGAATCTCGGAATCAAAAAATGTCTTCCCACCAACAAGAGGAAGAAATTCAAATACTTGAAGAAGTCTCTTCTCCGATCGTTGGTTCTTTTTCTGATGTACATTATCATCGCAATGATTACTCTCCGATCGCAACCACAACACCACCACCCACTCATGAATCATCAGTAAGAAACAACGACCAAGACGACGACGACGATCATGATCAAACATCAACCCTTCTTTCACAATTCATCACTCATCGATCGTTGGCCAATGTAGACTCTTCTACTGCTACTACGACGACGACGACCACTTCTTCTACTCAATCAAGCCTTTCTCATCAAATGTCGCCGCCATCAGAATTACTTCTCACTTCTTCTTCTTCTTCCAATGGATCAACAACAAACAATACTTCCTATCGGAAGCAATTATATCAATCCTGTGTATTTACCTATCAAGTATTAGTCATTCAAGGAATTTATTCCTATTTTCTCGATTATTCGATATTTATTTTAATGTTGAGATTGTTTCAAAGTTTTGTGTATCACTACAGTTTTGTTTATTCGTATGGAAAACCAACACTATTAGGAAGAATATTTAAAGATATGAGATTGATCAAACGAATGATATTAATTATCATTACATTATTACCAATCGTGTACATTCATGTATCCAATTATTTATCCAACAAAAAATATTATTCTCGAACAGTGGAAATGATCAATGATGATACTTTTGTACTCATAGACTTTTTTGAAAGAGATCATGAACACTATCGTCACCATGGCCTCTCAGAAGAACCCTTTAAAATTGGAGTTTTTTCAATCAATGATCAATCTGTTACAGTGCATGGGACTCATGAAACAAAATTCGTTGAGAATTTGGGAGAAACACGTTCTAAAACAACAGAAGAAGCAGTCATTGATAGTGTTCATGTTGACATGTCTTCAAACAGAATGTTTGACTCTCATCCCACATTATTTGTCATTTACTTGTGTCTCTTTGACGTTCTCTTTGCAATACTTCAAGTATCCTATGTCACTAGCTTAATTTCTCTCAAGAAAAAACCAACTCAACAACAAATTCCAGAAGAAAACAATTCAATGGCAGACGTGGTATGAGAAGATTCAATTACTGGATTTTTCTCAATCTAGAATTTTTGAAAGATCAAAATCCAAATGTGTGAAGTTGTACGATTACATCAAGTTCATGTTCCTTTTTATCACATTCATGTCATTGATAATAATGAAAATTATTTGACGATTTCTTCTGATTTTCATGAGAGACCATTCACACCAAACATTTAATTGCTGGAATTTGTATTAACGATCACGAAATGGGAGAGTTGATTGTTGCTTGCAAAACTTGTTAGTATTTAAGTAATCATAGAAAACACAATTTATTTCTAAGCAAATGACAACATGTCACAATAATCATCACTCCATGGCACAATATATGGTCACTAATTTATCATAGTTCCCATTCACCTCATCCTAATTGGTCATCAATCCATCAATTACCACCAACATCCACCCCAACCTCCAAAGAAAGGAACTCCAAATCCACCCCAACCTCCAAAGAATGGGAATGAATAATAGGATCCATAGTTATTTCCAAAAGCATATGGACCGCTATAATACGATCCATAAGCAGCATAAGGTTGATAATTCGTTGCAGCTACTTGATTGCTATAAGCTTGAGTGTTTTGTCCATAATTGTCGTAATTACCACCAGCCACACCATAATTAGTTCCTGTACCACCTTGATAACCATAAGCACTATTATAAGCATTACCGAATTGAGCATTTGTGAAAGATGTTGTGAGTGCTACAACAAGCACAATGAGAAGACCAGTAGTTGTGACAACCGTTGCTTTCATTTCGAAATATTTTGAAGAATTTTGTTTGTTGTTGTTGATTCACACCACCACGAGTGAAGAGTGTTACATTTTATAGGTTTCCAAATTGGTTGTGCAATGGATATTTATTTGGAAATTCACTGTTTTCTAGGTGTTGCACACCGGTATCTCTGACAATTCGTTTGCCTTATTTGAAGAAAATCAAAATGAAAAGGAAATTAGTTATAAATGATGGGCGTAAGGATGATTTACATCATGTTCATGCACGATCGTGCGACACCATCATGAATGCCATTGAAACACACAATTGTGAACCCATTCCAGGATTAAACAATTTCCAAATTCAATCAACAAATTACAAAAAATTAATTTAAAATTTTACAGAATTTCAACAGAATATCCACGTTATGACCAACACATGAATAAATTAATATTAATATAATATAATATATTAATACAAATTTAAATATTTGAAAAAAATGCTTCCAAAAATATTGGGTTGTCGGATGTTCCTTCGACAACCGTTCTTCTCACTTGCAAGAACGACAACAACGACAACCATTTTGACGAATCGGTCGCTTTTTGTTGGATCTCCATATTTAACATGGCTCGGAATGGATGGAACTGCACAGCTGAATCATTTTCATACATGTTTTAAAACACATCAGGATGTTATTTTGATTCAAAATTCCTGCAAGGAAATGATTGATAATTCCCGAACTATTTATCATGAAATTATCAAACGATGGAATCAACAAGAAATTGAAAGAGAATTAAAGGAAATTAAACAACTTACAGAAAGTTCTAATTTTTGGAGCTCTCCAAATGCTCAAGAGTTAATTTGCAAACAAAATATTTTGGAAGAGAAATTAAATTTTATTGTAAATACAAATTCGGAAATTGAAAACAATGAAGAGTTGTTAAAATTGGCTGTCAGTGAGAATGACACTGAGATGGTTGCACATATTCAACAAATGATGGAAGAATTGCTGAAAAAATTAGAGCAACGAGAACTAGAATCATTAATGTATGTTTCAACTCATGTTAATATTATATTAAAATTATTATAATAATATTACTATTATTTTAATAATATAATATTAAAATTGTAATAATATTAATAATTTTTTCAAATATACAATGATTCGATCTTATTAACAGGACTGACCCACAGGACATTAAAGATTGCTTTTTGGAAATTCACACTGGAGCTGGTGGAGAAGATGCCTCCGATTGGTCACAAATGTTATTGAAAATGTATTTGAACTGGCTTAAAAATTCTGAGCTCTCTTCATTTCAAGTGTCTTTGGAAGATATTTCATACAAGGAAGTTGGAATTAGAAGTGCTCTGATACAAGTCATTGGAAAATATGCTTATGGTTACTTGAAATCAGAACAAGGTGTTCATCGATTGGTGAGATTGTCACCGTTTGATGCAGCAGTAAGTAGGTCAATACAAATGAATGGATATGCATATTCAAATATCTATTAATGGATATGTTTATGTTCATATATATTCTATGAATTAGCACAAGCGACATACCTCATTCAGTGCTGTGAGAGTTTATCCAACAGCAGACAGCCAAGACTCAAATTCAATGTTTCATACCATTCCAGAAAAGGATTTAAAGTATGACACTGTTCGAGCAGCCACAGCTGGTGGACAACATGCAAACAAGACTGAAAGTGGAATACGATTGACACATTTACCAACTGGAATTCAAGTACAATGTATTGCCTCACGATCACAACATCAAAATAAGGAGCAAGCCTTCAATCAATTACGGGCTCGCTTGCAAAATATTGAACAAGCAAAAAAGGTGAAAGAAATGAAGGAAATTTCTCGCGCAGAAATGGAATCCAACCAATTTGCAGGAAATGTTATTCGATCTTATGTATTACATCCTTATCAAATGGTTAAAGATTCTCGAGCTCAAATAGTTTTAAACAATGCAGAAGACATTTTGGAAGGAAAAGATGCTAGGAGTTTTGACACAATGATCAAAGGAATTTTAAGGAACATTTCTTCATCGGTAACCAACAACAATGTTGTTAGTGATGATTAAACAGTTTAGTTTCAACTATCGATAGTTATTATTATTATTACAAAGCATTTTTCTCAAGCCATTCCTAATAAATTTTTCTTAATGTTCCAACTTTGAACCCAATCCTTCGTTAGAGCTCGTGACAAACCAGCCCATTTGGAAACAATGATCGATTCAAAGTGTTTATCCTTGTCCATAGAAGCAGGTGACAATACACTTCTAAATGTCCCCATCCAAATTAGAAACAGAGCAGCAAGGATATGAGAGATCCAATTCACTAAAAACATATTGTCTTCTCCCCACCACCTTTCAAAATAGGCATCCATAATCATCCATGAACCTTTCCAGCACAAAATAATCGATATTGCCACGATGTATGTGTAAAATTTCATCGATAATGCAATCCACATGTTATTTGAACTCCGATTATTCACGCTACTTGGTTGTTTAGAGTAATCAATATTCGATTGATCTTTGAAAAATTGTTGTTCTTCTTTGTGACTGGTGGTTCTTCTCTTCTTTTTTGGTTATCATCAGACGACCACCAACATTTAACTTACCATGCTCATTGGAAATACCGATTCTTTTTCAGAAGGTGACGAAACGTCAACCATTTGCTCAATATCATGTGACACATTCTCAAAGGTCTTTTCAGCCATTTCCAATTTAGAATCATGTTCATAGCTCGAGATTAACAAATTTAAAATTCCAAATCTATTCATTAAAACAGATCCTACTTGAGTAATAAACGATATTCCAGCTCCAATTAAAAGAGAATACCATCCTCCATAGAGTAATTGCTTGTTTTTGTCCTTAATATGTTCAACACTAATATAGTGTTCAGACAATCCCCAAATGCCTCTCCAAAAACACACGACACCAAATAAAACCACAGTCAACGTTAAAACAATCTCAACAAACTCCACTAAAAGTAACTTGAAAAACTGTTGGTCCGAGAAAACAGCTTTCACTCCACAACGACACAAGTAAGTCATTTGATCCCAAATGGAATCTTGCAAATGTCGATTATGTTGAGCGTTAAGAAGTATTGTAGATTTGACGATCATTCGTTCCTTCTTTTTTTCAAGGTACGAAATTTGTTTGTTGAAATGTTCAATCATTCGGTCTATTTCTGCAATAGATAAGTGTTCGTAATTACTGCTGTTATGATTCATCATCGGGATGTGTTGTTGAGAAGATGATGTTGCCGAAATTGTTCCAATATTATGAGTATCATCCATGGTGGGTGAACATGGTGTGGATGATGATTCCTTCATCATCATCATCATGGTGGTAACTGATGAAGAAGGCTCCGCAGAATGAAATGATTGTTTCATTTTTTTCGTTATGAGAAGTAGAAGATGTTTCTTTCAAATTTATCATAACCCTTTCGTTCATTCGTAAAGTAAGAAATGATCATTAATTTTCTTGAATCACAGCATCCTCTTGTTTACATGAAAGTAATTTGCTCACAATTTGCTCAAACATGACATCTGAAACGGAAGTGTCACTCAGAGAAATTCTACAAATATTTGAATTATTTTCAATGGCTTCCACAAAGTATTGAGCTCCTTCATCACTCACATTAAAATTCGCACTAAGATTAATATTTCTCAAAATCGTATTTCCAGGAACACGATACAATGGTTTTGGAGGTTGTAGTTCAACTTCTTCTTGAGAAGGTAGTGGTGGAGTAGGAGATGAATTAGGTTTTGCTCCTTTCGTGTTTTTAGCTGTGGGTGGAGGAGAAAGTGCTTTGGGAGGATCATAGACATGTCGTTTCGAATTGTTGTCCCATGGAATGAGGTCCTTCTCATTGTTGGCTCCCTTCACAGGTTTTGCGGTTGCAGCAGTGTTGACAGGTTTTTTCTTCTTATCATCCGAAGGAGGTAATAAATGTGGAGGAAGAGCTGGAAGAATGTACGAGTTGTTGGAATCTTTGGCAAGATTTAAATAACCATAGAAACTCTTGTAAGCTTGTTCTCTCAATGTTAAGAATTCTTCCTCTGTGAAAATATCTTTGGAGCTCATTGATCTGCAAATTTCTTTCACTGTTTCGTCACCTATTTGGTTCATGGCTAAACTAATGGACAGGAGTTTTTGGTTGGTTCTTAAACTTTTTGCAAGAGCCACACCTCCCACATCTGAGATGGAATTTCCCCAAAGATTTAGAGAGAATATTTCTCCATCATCTTTTAACAAATCAGCAATACAAAGAGCATCCTCGTCTGTCAAGTTATTTCCTCGTAGAGACAAGTACTTTGCGCTGGTCATGAACAAGGGAGTAAATGGACTTGAATTTTCACTGCAATATTTGTCTAAAACTTGTTGTATCTCTGGTCTTAATTCATCTGTTTTTGGTTTGTCTTTTTTTACAGTCTTCTTCTTGGATTTGTCATTAGGATCCTCTTCAGAGTTCTCAAATTTGGGTGTGATCGAATTGTACAATTTTTGAATGGATTGATGTTTTTCAAAGAGTTTTTCATCCTTTTCTCGATTTAACTGAGTTAATGGGTTCATCTCGACACTTAAAAATCGAAGACTCCTTTTATGTGTGAGAGCAATTCCAAGAACTCGAATGGACTTCTCTGTCAACCCACATGAAATTAATCTGATTAATAGTTGTGAGCAAAAATTATTTCAAACAATCAATAAACATCAAACGGTTCCATCCAATGAAAATATTAATATTATTATCATTAAATTTGTTCCGTGATGGCATCGTTTGAACACCTACGTGAGTTTTACAAAATCAAAAGGAACAAAGGAAATTGATTTTGCCAAGGCAGTGACGTCAACAATATCCAATCGTGGAAAAGATCGATGCACAACAACCTCAGTCTGAATTTTTGAGGCGTCCGATTCATCCAAATCAGAAAAACTCTCCACTTGAATTCTTTTGACAACGTTATTTCGTTTATCAGTTTCCGAAAGATCTTGTTTTCTTGAAACTGGTCTTGAAGAATCGCCATGGTTATTCCTTAGAGGTATACTATCATTGTTTTCATCATCGTCGGAGACACCTTGATATTCTCGAGGTGTTGGCTGAGAAGAAGGTATAACCACTTCCTTGTCCGTACTCTCGCATTCTTGTTTTCCTTCAATGAAATGATGAATTCCGTATATCAATTCTTCTTTCGGCTGTTGATCACACATATAAACAAACGCCATATAGTCTTTCTTCAAATCACTTGTAGTGACGTACGTGTCGACATTTTCTTGCATTTTTTTGTAGTGGTTGGCGCGAAAGGAATTATAAGTTTGAGACCATCACAGTTCGAGGCAACCTCGAAGTTGTTTAATGAATTCATTTTCAATTTATTAAAATGTCACAAATCTAATAGTGCCTTCTGACCACCTCACCGTCTTCATCCTCGTCAGAGTCAGAATCTTCAGTGGTTCTTCTGACAATGACTTCTTCATCGGAGTCAGAGCTATCCTCTTCATCATATCCATAATCGTCATCGTCATCTTCCTCTCCCATATAACTTGCAGCTCCAAAGGTACCAATTGGTACAGGACCTCCTAACTGTTTTTCGTTTTGCAAGTTTCGTTCTTGTAAAAATCCTGTAGTAAATTCTTTCCATCCTTCAACACCTGATAAATATTTTGCCACCTCTGTATTGGCATCTCCAGTCTTTTTGAGCAAATTTGAAATATCAATAAGGAAACCCATATATCCCAAACTTGAACCTTTTGGCTCTTGAAGTTTTGCCTTGTTCTTCTCAACGGCCTTCAAGATCTTTTGACACAATTCTGTATCTTGTAGAAGACTTAATTTCATATCAGTGTTGGTACCAGTCATCACAATCTTGATCATGTCAAAAACAAGAACGTGTAGCATGGAATTGTATTCGTAGGTGAAGAATAAATCAATCAAAACACCCATAACGCCTAGAGAAACCAATTCCTTTTGATAATCGGGATTGTTTTGTGTAACTTTGAAAATTGTAAGCAAGTGTTCAACCACCTTCAATCTAGTCTCACCTAGTGGTGGATCCAAGAGTGCATGAGAAAGTTCAAGTTTAGAAATTCTTGAAACAAACTCAGAATCATTGAGAAGGGAAAGGAATTGTTTTGTACGGGAAAGAATAGTTGGAAGAACTTTGGTAAGAATGGCTGAGTGATTAGAGTGCTTGTTGGTAGTTCCTTCTTCATCATCGGAAAGAGTGTCACCATCATCAGAATCATAGGATTCTTCATTGACAGAGATGACCATACGAAGGAATGGTATGCCATGAACCAATATCGTTGAAGAAGTGTTTTTGAACATTATGTCTAAAATATTGTTCAAATGTTGTTCAGATAACAACTCGATTGTTAACTCATTTCCGCTGCTGTATCCCTTTTCCACAATTTGAGAGAGGAGACTAAAGACATTTCTTTGAACTTCTTCATTGTCAAGACTTTGTTCAAGTTTGGTCAAAATCAAGTTCAAGAAATTATTGTTAATGGCCCATTCTCTAACTTGTTTTCTCTTTTGTTGTAGGTCTTGATCATTGCCTCGTTGTTTCATGAGGAACAACTCACGAATACGTTGTTGTGTAACGAAAGGTCCAAATCCATCTTGATCAAAGTTGTCATCTGATGTCTCAAAACCTAATACCTTCAAGACGAGTGTATCCATATCGCACAATCCGATATGGTCTGTGAAAAAGGTCTTCAAAATGTTGAAATCTTGAGAATGTTTCTCCATCAATGTGTCAACAATTTCCTTGTAGTACTTTTGCAAAAGGTTGGAGACAGCCTTTACAAAGTACTGAGAGAGTGATGGATTCTTTGGTGTTTTGGTTTCATCTTTGTTTTGGAGGTATGAGAAGAGAGCGATTGTCTTTTCTTTCGATTTTACAATGGAAAGTACAATTTCTTCGATATCGCAGTTAAATATTTCAGATGTGATGAACGGATATTTGTAGGTTCTTTTGAGTGTCTCTTCTTCTTCCTTTTCGAGATCAGACGAGGTGAGTGTTTGACCTGGTTGAAGATATTCTTCTTGACTAATGTATTGAATCAACTTATCAACATTCTCATCCTTGCTCAAGAAAGCAATGACTTTATGGTTGGCCGATTTCAACTCTTGAATGAGAGTATCTTCATCGAGAACCTGTTCGAGTGTTGTGTCTTCGTTTTCTACCATAGAATCTAGTGGCGATTGGGAATAACCAGGAACAAGATCCCAAATACTTGTGAAGGACTCATTTTCGTGCAACTCTTCTTCTTCTTCATCAAAGAATTCATCATTATGTTCAGACATTTTTATGTACAGTGATGATGATGGTGATGATATTGTTGTTGTACGTTCCGTATGACAAAAAGTGATTCAATCAACAATCAAAATATATTTGAGATGACGATGATGAATAGAATATATAAAATGGAATAGGCTCGAGTTGATTCAGTGATGATGATGATGATGATAATGATGTATCAGGACAATCACTGTTCAATGACGAGGATGATGAGAATGGTGGTTATTGTTTTGAACACCAACACCAACAACTACAACATACACAAAAAATGTTAGCCTATTTTTTTCGAGATCGTTACAACGCTTGCCGCGTGATGGCTGAAATTTGTCAAAAAGCTCATTGTCAGTCTTCATGCTCGACGAAAAAGATTCGTTTATTGTTATGGCATAATTTTCGTTCATTTAATGTTTTACAACCTTTGACTCCATGCTGTTAGCAATGTATTCTTTGCATCCCTCTTTCAGACAAATTTCTTCAGGAACAATTGAAAGCAAGGCTAAAAATTCATGAGAGTTAATAGTAACAAGATAAGGAGATGTCAAGATTCGTTTCTTGAGTGGCAAAGTGAGAGCAAGAGACATGACAAGCTTTCTAATCAATTCTCCATACCATGACTTTAAAGTTCCCAACAATGTCGAACTGATGTTCTTGTCTTTTGGAATCAGAGTATTTTCCCCTTCTTTTTCGACTAAAAATATCAAAAAGCTTTGGTGATAGTCGGGATTGAACCGACGACCAATGGCTTATTAGACCAACGCTCTACCGACTGAGCTATATCACCTTCTCAATGATTAAATTTTGTTTGTCTTAAAACAAATTCATCACTCAATTCCTCAAAGCAAAAGATATCAAACCACATCAAACTTTGGGATTATAGGCCAGATGGAAATCTCATAATTCTTAACAATTCCATAAAAAAATGTTAAAATTTGCTTCATCGATTCTTTCCCGTTCTAGTTTGTCAACTTCAAAAACATCATCATGCATCGGAATTTTATTGCAACATAATAATAATAATCAAACAAGAGAAAATAGGAGATTTGTTTTACCGGGGCCGAAATCCCTTGACCAGATTGTAAAAGTGCCTTTACTTGAGAGAGAAACACCAGAAGCAATAATTAAAATATGGAAGGATCATCATGAAATGAATCCGTTAATTTTGGCAGAAACAGTTCCATATACACAATATCAAGTTCTCAAACACCGTTCAAAAGATTGTCCAATGTTTGTACTACCTGTGTTTAAAAACATTGGATTTCAAACCGTTGTTTTGCAATTTCAAACCGAGCATGTTTTATTTACATCGATGAGAGAGTTCAAAGCAAAGGGAGAATGGGCATCCCCTCAAATGTCTCTCACACACTTTACTGAATTTTCTCAAACAAAAGGAATTGTGCTAATGAGAGGCGAAACAAATGATGCACATATTAATAAGGCAGAAGGAAGAGAGCTTGCAAGATTCATGTACAAGTTTTACCTTGATGATAACTTGTATCATACATTCGTAGAAGTTTTTAACAAGGAGCCATCAAGATTTAATTTTGAAGAACTCATCAATGCAGTGAAGGCGCTCAAACCACCAAAACCAAGACCCAATCCTCTTGTACCCCCTCCCAAGATGAAGTAGAATAAATTGCAGAGTGCTAAGTTTAGAATTCATTGAATACGATTACCTCTATTGATGAAGGAGTACCAATTGACCTTTTAAATTTTTGTTGTACTTAGATGAGGCTTTCGCTTGATCTTCGAGGCCAACTCTCCCAATTGACTACGATTAAAAAATATGAGCAAACCATCAAACCGAATTGAGGTTTTTAAAAAGAAAGTTAAGGGTTCTGGGTCAGAACATCCTAAAGATGATTCATCCAAAGCATTTTCAGAGGAGAAGCCTGAAAAACCATCATTGAAGGAGGATTCTGCTTCAAACCGAGGAGCCCAAGATGATTCTTTGATCGAGAGCATAGCCTTGAATAGTAATATTGGTGAGGTGAAAAAGGATGAGCATTCATCAAAGAGAAAGAAAGTTTCAAGCGATCCGAGCTCGTCGTCAAAGAAGAAGAAGAAACACAAAGGCTCAGATGAGGATCAAAGCGATGATTTTGAGCTTGACCCCAAGATGAAAAAGCAAAAGAGAAAATCCTTGCAAGACATTACAAATGTAGGTCTTCGTGATTGTTCCTTTATTGGTGGCATACCGTGATATACATAATGATAGTTCATTCAAGAGAAATCACTCCTCATGAAGAAAGGAAAATCTTCGAAATCTGTTTCAAATCAAAAGAAAACTAGTAGTGTTTCTGCCACAGATGAAAACGAAGAACCAACGTCAACCCTCAATTCCACTCGCACCGAGCAATCATCCTCGCGATCAATTGAAGAGAAGATTCCAAAGGATAAAACTCCAAAAAAGTCAAAATACAAGCAGCTTCTACAACAAGAACTAATGAAACAAGCAAAGAAAAAGTAAGTGAAACAATTTTTTCAAAAACAAATCACACCAGCACTCCTATTATATGTAGAACATACAAAACACAGTACGAACAATTTGTTACAGAAGAAGTCGGAAAGATTAGCGAAGAAATAGTTTCGTCATCAATTCAATTTTTTGGAACCAATCAGACAGAACTACTGGACACTTCAATGCATGAAAGTCTCTCTGACGGCCAAAAAGCTGTATCCCTGGTCGAGAATTTAACAAAGAAAGAATTTCCACCTCCAGGGCAAGAAGTTTCAATTCAACGGACAGACTCCACTTCTCCAAAAGCTGACTCCCCCTTGTTGGACCTTGGTGACGAAAGCTTTACACTTCCCAAGTTTGTATCACATCCTCCTTCCTCAAGTTCGTCCAATCACGATGATTCTCTTAACCTTGGAGATTTAATGCAAAGCTCAGCAAGCCCCTTCTCCTTAAGATATAATGTTTTCTTCAAGGACTGAAAAAACTCTGCAGACCAGACTTTAAGTTGAGACTTCAACAGGTGTTGATCAAGAAAGAGATTCGCATAAAATTTTATATCAATTAAAAAAAAAGGAAACTTTCCCCGCCAACTATAGTTGTAGTGCAACAGTAGATTCTGTTGGGGAATATCAGTTCATCATTACTATCATCGAAGCGAAATAGATAAAATTCATGATTGAGCTACCATCCCAAAAAGAAGGAAAGGAATTTCAAATTCCAATTAAAAAACCTTCGTCAAAGAATGATTCATCCGGTCTCTTTCATACCCTCATAAATCCGACACAAAATGAAACGCGTTCTGGAAAGAGGAGGGAGCCTCAAAAGAATAAGGACACCATCACAAGTCTATTAAGAAATTCATCTGAAGACCATCGGAAATTATCAAGCAATGAGAACAGCATTGATCTATGCCCAACCGCATTCAATGGCCCAGTGTTTGTAAGTACAGCGTTTTAACGAGATAAGTACCATCCAATTCATGTCTTTTGAGGTTAGAACCATGCAACGAAAAAACATGTTCAAGAACCACGACCTCAAACAGAGAAGCAACATCGAAGAAAGATAGTCACTCCAGTTTGGGAAAGAGGACAATCCATCGACTTTGAGACGGCTGGGATAATTTCATCAAAGGAAAAACCTCTATTTAGCAAGAAAATTGTTCATAATCCAACTCAAACAACACTCGAGCAAGATCAACAAGCCTTACGTACAGGAAAAGCAAGAGTAAACCCTATCAGAGATCCAGACATGGCAGGATCCTCTTCAAAACATATCAATTCGAAACCTGAGAGGAAAAAAGTTATTGTAGAAAAAAGAGAACCTAAGGAATATGAGATCCGTGACACAAAGAAAAGAATCCCGAGCCCTAAATATGTTGGAGTTTCAAAGGCAGAGCCCGTAAGAGGGGGGGGATTCATACCCGAAGATGCCAAACCAACCATTAAGGTATCTGTAGATACCAAACCTAGGGATAATAAGGAAGTTCTGACTTACTCATTCTGTAAGTTTTATTGCCCTCTTTTGTGATCATGTTTAATATTATTGTTAATATCATTACATTTCACACTTACTGTAGTCAAAGAAAGAGACAATGCCAAAAATGTAGCCAAGCAAGACTCTGAAGAAAGGCGTGCTTATGAGAAGATAATTAAAGAGTGCATCTCCAAACAGCACGCGGAAAATACTATGATATACAACTACTTGAGGGCAAAACGGTGTTCCACGAGTTTGGCTCTCACACAACATCTCTACGATAAGAAAGATTAAATTTTGTATGGTGGCATATTTGTGTATGTTTGAGGTGCAAAGGATGGAGTTGTGATGTATAAAGTGTTTGATCTCAATCTTACGGTGACAGTACCTAAATAGGCACCTCTAGGAACTCCAGCTTTCACATCTGCCATTATTCCAATCTCTCTAGCAATGCGCATGTACTCATCACTAGTGGTATATTCCAATCTAATCTTCTCATTTTCTTTCATTCCAAGCTCGTTGGTATTAATTAAAGTGGATGATTTCACTTCCTTAATGAACTCTTGATCGTAGTTGCTTTTCACAAGTGAGTTGATGTCGACCTTATTCCAATCGATCGATTCAGAGTTGAGAACAATTGCATGTAAATAATTGGAAAATTGGTTGGAACTTGCTCCACCTTTGAATCCAAATGTATATGTTCTAGATATTTCAGGTCGAATACAAGATCTTCCCTTTCTAATGGTACCTTCTCTGATCCAGTCATCCCAAAATCCAAGAGGCCATTTTGGTCCAAAATCGTCCTGCCACAATTTTCGCCTAATCATCCACCCGAGACCTGGAAAGAAATCACTTCTGTAGAATTTAGCAGGATCTTTTACAAATCCTTTCATTCCATTATCATTCCATGCAGAAATGCAAAAAAGAGATGTATCCATATCCAACAACGGTGACATGTGCGTAAAATACTCGAAGAAATCAGGAGCAACTCTTAAATCCTCTTCCAAAATTATGATTCGATCATAATTTTCATCTTCTGCGAATACGTGATCAATTCCAAATTTATAATGTTGAGCAATTGAATAATAGGCGACAATATTTGAAATTTTGTCTGGAATGATGACATTTCTCTCTCTTTGGAAATGTTTTTTAATTTTGTCTCCAAAGCTGTCAACAGTTTCTTTCACTTTTTCATCAAATCCATCTTGTGATACATAAATATGGAAGCCTTTGCTTGGTATATATCTGTCTCATGGATATTAAAATATAATTATCGAAAATTAAAATAATTAAATAATTAATTTGATGAGGTTTGTTGATGAAGATCGAAATTCAAGCATACCTGAATAATGTTTCTATACACTCTTTCAAATATTCAGCTCGTTGATAAGTAAAAATAACGATCGGAATCACATTGGATGAATCAGGTGGTATTGGCTGTTGTATTTTAGGATCATCTATTTTAGCTAAATTATTCGTTTTATCTTCTTTGTTTGGTACTTGTTGCTGATGTTCATTCGGTGTGTTCGTGGTCGTTTCCAAATTATTCTCGGAGTGAATTTGCAGTTTCTTCTTTTCGGATGATGTTATCGATGACAATAAAAAATAATAATATCCACAATAGAGAAAGAACAACAACCACAGCAGCAGTATAAACGTTCGGAATTTAGTTTTGAATAGGAGAGACTTGATGTCGAATGTGGATCTTTTGGAAAAGTCTCTTGACAGGTGCATTTTTTTGAAAGAGACAACATGGATAACGTCAGGTTTCAGATCCGTCAAAGAACAAACATAACAAACAAATAGGTCAAAATTGAAATTATTAGTTTGGGAATTGATTTATTCTTGGATGTTCTTGAGTTTTTCGATGAGCTTGGCCTTCTTTGATTCGACTCTTTGCTTTCTTGACTTGAGGTCCAACTTCTCTCTGTTGAAACGCTTTTGAACAGCTGGAGCAGTCTTGGTGCTCTTGACAGCATCTGGGTTCTTTCTGATAGCAGCGTGCAATTGTTTGTACTTGGACTCAATGTTCTCAGGAGTAATACCATTCTTAATGAAAAGTGAGAAACGAGCCTTGAATTCTTCCTCATTGGATCCCTTCAATTCCTTCATGTACTTTCCGACGTGAACACCATAGATTCTTTCACGGTGAACAGTAGCATTGTAGGACTCATCTTCCTTATTGAAACCTGGGAATCTTTGATTGCTGTGTGGGATATACAAACCACCATCACAAGCTCCCTTCAAAGCACCGAAAACACGGTTACCAGTGGTTGTTCTGACCAAACCAACATCGAGGTAAGCCTTGAATGGTCTTGGAGCACCTTCAGCTTGTTCAACCAAAAAGACAGATCCATCAGTTTCAGTCTTACCAGCATATCTGGTATCCAAACCAACCTTCTTCAACAATCTTCTGGCGAGCAAAAGACCAGTAGCATAGGCAGCAGCATAGTTGGTGTGACCGACTGGCATGCCATATCTGGCGAGTTCGTGAGCATAAGCAGCACAAATGACTTCATCTCCCTTCAATTTAGCAGCAACAATTTGACAGATGATATCCTTGTTGGTGACTCTGACAACGAATCTGTACTTTGGTGTGTTGTACTTGGTCTTGTCTTGAGTGATCAACTTTTGCCTGGCTCTGTAGTCAGTCTTTCCTTCTCTTCTACGGCGGAACTTGACTTGATATCTCTTGAAGTAAGCCTTGGTTTTTTGGATTTTAACAAAGACCATTTTGTCTGTTGATGTGTATCAGGTGAAGGCGATTATGTACAAGTTAGGTTGAGTATTGCTGAATGTTTTTTTCAGAGAGAATACGTACATTGGTTGTGGCGTTATTTTTTTCGACAAAAATTTTCAAAATTGTCTCAACAACATTTTACAATGAAAGTTTGGGCCTGAGGTTGTGCGTGGTCGGGTCTTCAAACCCTGTTGACACCAAAAAATTTTGACAAAAACGCTGTTGCCAGTTGTCAGCACTTTTCTTTGACAGGCAAAACAACTACAACAAATATCCGATAGCAGCAGGTTGTGGAAAGTCAACATTCCGAAGTCTCTTTCACCACTCTGTAAGAAATACGATCTTGCAAGAGCATTGCTTTGATTCTCTTCGCGTTGTTGTTGATGATTCAACTAAAGGCGCCATTCATTTTAAATTTAAAAAAAATCAGAAAATGCGAAATCTTTCCACTGGCCTTTCCCTCAACATTGATAATCTATCATCCGTAAACACAATTTCAAAGGTAAGACAGTTTTGGACAATGATCTGTTTGAATTCAACCTCTGCTTATGTTCATTTAAGATTGTAGATGGTACTTCAGCATTGGAGAAATCCTTGTCGAAGAAATCCGGATCAAAGAAAGTGCAATCGTCATCGGAGAATCGAGAGAATATCAAGGTAGCAATTAGGGTAAGGCCACAACTTGATTATGAGAAGGATCATGAAGAGTCTGTATCAGTTGTTGATGTAAGTACTGTGGGAACCTCAGTTAAGCATAAATCAACCTCAATCCAAAGGAGAGTACAATTGTAATTAGAAAGGGAAAGTCAAGATCTGAGATGTTTTTTGATAGAGTGTTCCCTAAAGAGACAACTCAACAAGAGCTTTACGAAGTTGTAAAAGGTATGTATAAATGATTTAGAAAAACAAGCCTTATTATTACTGTGATTAGACACAATTGATGCGGTGACTCAGGGATATAACGGAACAATTTTTGCTTAGTATGTATGAATTTCTCTCAATCCGATCCATTACTTGAATTCATTTTCTTATTTTAGTGGTCAGACAGGAACTGGAAAAACATACACGTATGTATCATTTTAGAGCTTTCTCAATTACGAGACAGCTTAATTCTTCATGTAGTATGATGGGTATTGATTTTAGCTCTGAAAATCTCTCAGGAGATGATTCAATGGTACGTATTTGATTGATGAGTGGAATGGAACATCAATATTTTCCCAATTAAGAAAAAAATAACAATGCAAGAAAATAGAGGAATAATTCCGAGATCGGTCGAACACATTTTGTCTACCATAAGGAAAACAAAAAAGACCACAAGATACAGAGTTTATTGCTCTTATCTTGAGATTTATAATGAAAAGATTTTTGACTTGCTCAATTATAATGACAAAATTAGCCACTTAGATATTCGAGAAGATAGAAAGAAGGGCGTATATGTTCAAGATTTGACAACCGTTTGTGTAACAAAGGAAGAAGAAATTTTTGCCTTAATGGAGCGAGGTGCAAAAAATAGAAGCATGGCTTCGACGGACATGAACGAGCGATCATCAAGATCTCACACAATTTTTCAAATGTTCATTGAACAAGAGCCGTTGAATCCATCCAGCCCAGAAGAAGCAGTTGTAAAGGTTTCAAAGCTTAATTTGGTTGATTTAGCTGGTAGCGTAAGTACTAGTTATAGAGTAGGAATTTTGGTTGATAATTCGATGAATTTAGGAAAAATGGAACACAATATATTCGTCGAAGATGGGAGAAAAAAGGATTCAAGAATTGACATCAATTAACCAAAGCTTATCGACATTGGGAAACTGTATTTCAGCTCTCATGCAATCGAATAGAAGCCACATTCCTTTCAGAGATTCAAAATTAACAAGACTATTGCAGGACTCACTTGGAGGAAATACCAAAACAGTGTTTGTCGCAACTGTTTCGTCATCCGTCCTCGCGTATGATGAGTCCCATTCAACTCTTAAATTCGCAGATCGAGCAAAGAGGGTTGAACTCAACGCAAGGGTAAATGAGGTGGTTGATGACTCAGTCCTTATAAGAAGGTATGAGAAAGAGATAGAAAGATTACGTCAAAGCGTTGAGCAACATTCTAAAGCTTCATCTGTAAGTATGATTTCACAAAGCTCAAAATTTGTCAACGTCAAAATATGAAATGAAGAGAGTGAAAAGTTTGTTGGAAGAAAATTCCAAACTAAGAGAGGAGAACAAGCAGCTTCGCGATTTTATCAATAACCACGGAATTGGATCTGTCCCTTCATTAGGAAATGTGGATATTAACATTCATTCAAGAATGCATAAGAAACTGGAAGCGTTAGAAGAGATCGAAAAGGATCAAAGGGGAAGAGAAAAGGAATTAGAAGAGTATCATAACTGGTTACACTCTATTCCTGTTAAATATGAGGGAGAGGAGTATAGCTTAGATATTAAGGAGCGTTTAAAACTTATGGAAATATCTGTTAAAATGCAGGCGCAAGAGCTCGAAAGGACAAAAATGTTATTTTTGAGAGATATTAAGATTGTTAAGGATGAATTAGATGAAAAGACTTCTGAGTTGCAGCACCTACATGTTAGACTTAAAGAAAGAGAGGAGAGAATAAAACAATTGGAGGAAGACAAAGGTAATATAAAGCCTAACCCACCTATCCCACAAGTTAGAACCAGCAATGGCGAGGGAAAAACAGAAATTCCTAGTCAGCTTTTGACAGAGTATAGCAAGAAGAGCGAGGAAATCCATAGAAATCTGACTATTGGGATATCTTCTTTCAGAGAAAGCTTAATTGAAATGATGCAGGAATATTTAAAAGAAACCCTTGGAGACTCAGAGTATTTACCTGTAATTGTAGAAGAATCAAAGGGGTTAATTGAAGGATGTTCCGAGGCTTTGGAAGAAACAACTCAAAATGCTCAAAGGGAGTTTATCGATTCTACAAGACGTTTCATTGAAAAATTGTGTAACACTATTGGTGAAGGTCCTGCATCGACTCCAGATGCTGGAAAATCCATTGATTCCTACTGCATTTTTGATCAACTTGCTGAGTTTATCAAAAACTGTATTTTGGATGCCACAAAACAGCAAGGTATGTTGTGATGAATGATTCAATTGACTAACCTCTTGAAAGATGATCCTTATTGGAAAAGTGTTTGTGAGCGCATTTCTCAACTCAGAGAAATGGAAGGAAATCTGTTCATGACTCTAAATCAATCTAAAAACAATTTAGAGAGGTTTTTACAAATACTGTCGAAGCTTGAAAAGCCCTCGCTTGAAGAATTTGAGTTTTACAAGTCCTACATCAATGATGCTGTTTCACAAATTTCAAAGAATATTGAAGGTTTTATGAAACGATCGTTTTTATCGGAACATGACGAGTCTGCATTATGTTCAATAAAGAGATGAGGAACAAGTTGGAAGTATCCAAGTAAATTCATCGAAGACCTCAATCCAAGAAAGTTTATTCCACCCATCATCAGAAAATAAATTGATTGTTATTCATGTTTATTTGTTCTAACTCTTCTTTAGTAAGGGAGTTGTTTCTTGTGAAAATTATGTAAAATTTTTTAGTCAACTGAAAACTTTATTCAAAGAGAAATATTAAAAAACCCAAAGTGCGCTAAGGTACTTTGCAAGAAGAATGAAGAACCTTACACAAGCACTTTCTCCTTTGGAGAACTAAAATATTCTTCAGATGTATTGGTGTGTAGCTTGTAATTCCAAACCACCCAAGAGCTGGTGTGTATATTCATTTATTCATTTTCCATAAAATAGAAGAATGGGTTGACCGGAGGGTAAGTGACTATTCTGTTCTTTGTTAAGGATTAGACTTCTGTAATGGCAACATTACAACAGTTTCTCATGGTGGTGAATTGTCATCCCTTCGAGAGAATTCAAACATTGAAGGAATATGACCAATTCACATGCTCATAGCAAGACTGCCAGCCCTCCGTGTTGCAGGATGGATTCGGATTCAGGAGTTGAAAAAAAAAATAAATGACTTGGGAAGCGGCCATGTCGGTTGGTTGAACAACTCATCGAAAAACAAATTCACAACAACAATCTAGTAATCATCATCGTTGTGCTTTACCACCACATCATCAACAACATGCCTAAGGAACCATCAACAAAGAGACGACCATCAACCAACACAAAGTCAGATGAAGGTAAATCTGAAGGGAAACGGAAGAGACGTTACAAATGCCATCCATTGGAGGCCTTTGTGAAGGTCGATGAGGTACCCATAAATATGCACCCAAGTCCTTTGTCCATCATCAACTATGAACATGAAGACCATCACAAACAAGCATCTAGAATGGAAATGAAGCTCGTAAACTTTCTGTGGGATTTTAATTCACCATGCAACGGACAAGCAAGATGTCGTTTACCAGTTGGTGAGTGTGAGGAACAAACCTTTGATATGTATATGTGTCGTACAATGAAACCACATATGTACACAATAATAGAACAATATTCTCCTTGGATCAATCGAACAGGAGACACTGAAATCAATCGTCACATAATATATGAATTTGAATATCCAAATTTTCCTTCCTTTGGAGATGGTGAATGGGCCAAAAATTATATGACCGTAAATCAAAAGAATGTTGGTGATAATCTTAGAAAAAGATTCCAAGTTGATTTAAGTGAAGATTTCGACAATATTCCTTACCGTTGCATTGTATCAAAGTTGGTGATCTCTTCCGACACCAGATTGGAATTATATTATGCCTACTTGTGTCATTGGGTTCAAGTGAAGGATGGAAAATATTGGATTGAGAGCTTTTGAAAATTTTCGATTAAAATTTTCGTTTCTTTTGAGAAACTTGTGTACTCATTGTTCCACTAAAACTGGTCGCCTGATCGCTTTGTCGTGTATTCTTTGCTTGTTTTCGCTTGGTTGTCGTTTTCTCTGATTGTTTTTCTGTGTTTTGTGATTGTTGCTCTTGTTCTTGAAAGCTTGTAGAAAAAGTTTGTGACGACCACCACCGTTATTAATCACTCTATTAAACACGGCATGGTGAAACAAATGAGAACGTTCGAACCCTTGATTACTTAAAATAGATAAGGATAAATCATTGTCAAGCAATTCTGTCATCATAGATGGAAGATGTGTAAGAAAATGAAAATAATGAGCTTTGATACCTTTGCTCCATATTCGATAACAAACACATAAAAACTCCATGATCATCTTGTCCAATTTAAAGATTCTGTCTGGTGTAAGTTTTTGTTTGGTATTGGGATCATCTTGTTTAGCCTCAACGATAATTATAATATTCCTTAATAATTTCAAAATATTCAAATATTTCTCCTTAGTGTGCTGTTCGATGTCATTCACTATCACTTCAACATTACTTAAAATTGTGTTGCATTGATCCCCAGACAGCATGCTCGATTTAGCAGTAACTCTTTCTGACGTTTGTGAAATACCATATTCAGTCACTCGTTGTTTCAACTCCAATTAAAATGCTCTAATCCTTTTAATTTTTGCAAATTCTGCAATATGGTATTATTGTATTGCCCACTTGAAGCCATATAAGCAATTGTATTTTCAACTAATCGCTGTTTAACATGAAGAGCACACATAATTAAATCTTTAGGACTGAATGGCAAGGAACCTCCAAGGGTTGTTCGATTGCGTGCTCTAAATTCTTCAACAGTTTTTGCCATGCAGTATGGACAAATATCAAATTCAAATGTAAATCCAACGTTGTGCATGTCTGAAACATAGAACAAATGAACCTCAGATTTTTCAAAATATGTGTTTTGTGACACAGCTTTGATTTCGTCTGTCAATGTTCCAATGGTTTCCTTAATACTCTCTTTTGTTTCAGACATTTGAAATAATCCAATATAAAAGACAGAAGATACAGCTTGAGAAGGAAACACATCTCTTAAATTAAGAGGAACTAATGCAACGGCTACTTGTTTCACTTTGTTAATTTCACATCCATCCACAGAAATTTTGAAAAATATTTTCTTTTTAAGTTTTCCTCCCAGAGATCGATATAACTTTAGAATATAATAAATAGCTTCATCTAAATCTATGATGTGACCAACGAATTCAGCACTTGGGCATCTTAATTTGAATATTTCTTCCACTCTCTCATTCAATTGTTTTTTTAAATTGCTCATTTCTTTCTTACAAGGCAACTCCTTCATTAAGGAAACTTCTTTTCGAAGGTTGTGATAAGTATTATCAGAAATTAAATTATTGTCTCTCCAATATTGAACTATTGTAGGATCTCTTTTTTCGATAAGATATTGTTTCAGTTGTTTGTACCGAATATTTTCTTTCAAGTTTTTTTCTATAATATTAATTGTTTTTTTGAATGCCTTCTTTTGTTTGCAAGAATGTTTCAAACCAGGCGTGAATATTGTGTCCAAGAGTCCCTAACATTTTCTCAAATACTGATACCATTTCTCTAGCTCGATCTTTGTTATTGCGAGTAAAAGTATCTTGTCCTAACTGCATACTTGAATATTTATGGTCATGTGCTTGGATATCATGACATCTACAATGTGAACATTCCCAAAATTTCATGTTGACGGTATTGGTATCTTTATTGCTTGATATAGGATGATGTGAACAAGCATGGTTTGTGAAAATATGATGCGAATGATGTTGATGTTCATTTGTAAGTTGTTGTGAATTATTAGTCAATCCATTCCCATGAGAGTGTAAATGAGTATTCAAGTAATGCCAAAGCCAATGTTGAGAGAGTTGTTGATGAAATAGCTCATTAGTATGCACAAACGGATCCATATGATTTAATTGCGGGCTGTGTGGGTGAGTGTTTTGAGACGGATTGAATTGTTGAGTCTGGTCCTGGCTTGGTGGAGATGGAAAATCTGAAATTGGTGGTTGATGTTGCGTGTTCATTTCATTTTCAGAGATTAAATTCTGCAAGATGGTATCGATGGTGTTATCTTCACTTTGATCGGTTTGATTTTGTTCACTTATTGAGGAGAAATTTGTGAACTGAAATAAATCGTCACTAAATTCGTCATCGTTTTCTTCTGTTTCGTCATTATCTACGTCATCAAAATAAAGAGCGGCTTCGTTGATTAAGTTGTTGTTGTCTTCACAATTACTATAACATTGATCACAATCATTCCATATTTCACTATCGATCTCGTTATCAAAATTCATAACATCAACCAAGCTCGTTTCTTTTGAAAAAGTGGTGAATATGTGGCGTATTAGTTTTTCTTGATCTTTTTTGCCTGTAGATAATTTAAGAATTGTTTGCAATGAAGCTACCAAATTCGTGATGATGACTCCATTGCGGAAGGGAGATGGCAATCCGATAGCCTGTTGCTGCTGATGATTGAGTGTATCTTTGCCATCTTTAATGGTGAGAAGTAATCTTGATGTTTTTGCGTTTTTTCCAACAAAAAAAGAATCAATAATTTCATCTGCTGCAAAGTATTGCTGTCCATTGCATTCATATGATTTCAAAGAGTGGAATGGAGGTAATTGGTGTTTAATCTCCAAAACTTCACACATTTTTTGATGAATAAAACATTTCAATCGACTCGGATGATGACATGGCGCAAAACTGAAATTGAAGACTCAAGTTCACACTACAGAAATTTTTTTTTTCGAGGGACATAAATCGTGTCCCTGAAGCCCGGAGTTCACTTTCGCTGGCCAGTCTTGCTATGTATGCTCTGTCCCTTTAAGACGAGATCGATTTAGGATGCCTTCCCTCACAAACAATAATGACACTGGAGTACCATTGGGAAATAAGCTCATGATGCAGTCTCACAACCAATCAAATTTAATTTCATTATGCACTAGAGTTATTGCTTAAAGACGTTTCGTGCATCCAGCTTGACTCTTTCGTTATCCAGGTTTTCAAAATAAAAGTGACCAAGCTTTGAATTGGCAGAAGGAGCATTTAAGGATCCAAATGATGTAAATAAAACTGGTACTTTTTTGGAGACATTTGGATTGCGAAATATCAAAAGTTCAGATTTGCCTCCAGAGTAAGATGCTCCATATGGCCAGTTATAAGTCAACTCTTTCAACCCATATAAATGATGATTATCATGTTGAGAAAAGAAATTTTGGTCAAATGCTTCGGCAAAGGGAGCGGCGTCACAAATATGAATGCTCTCTATTTCTATTGGCGGAACTTCAATTGGTTTGTCCTCCTCATGTTTCTCTTCCACAGGTTCTGGTTTTTTTTCTGGCTCATCTTCAAGTGGAGGCTCTCCCTTCTTAGCTCTTTCTTCATTAATTTTCTGTCTCTTTTGTCTTTGAAGTTTTTCTTCCTTTTCCTTCTTTTGTTTTGCCTCCATTTCCATCTTTGTTTTTTCTCTCAGTCTTTTAATTTCAGCTATATGTCGTTCATCTAGAAGTAATGCCACTTTCATAACTGCTACTGAACCTGTTTCCTTATTGACAATTGGAAAGAAGTAATAAATTCTAGACTCCTTGAAAAAAACTTGAAAGTCAGTCCAAGAGGCAATGCTGTTCAAAAAATCAATATTCGTCAAGCTCATTCATACTATCAAGACTTACTCTTTGGACAAAATATAAAGTCTGTGAACTATGTGTTCAACCCAATTTGGGCCCAACAGTCTAATGGATTTGACAGAATCAAAGTCCCCAAAAATTTGTTTTAAGCTATTTAATTCTTCTGTAGAAAGTTCACCATTGTCTAAAATTTTAAATCCTTCCTCCAATGAAAAAATAGCGTTTTTTAACACTGACACATCATTATTCATATGTAAAGTCTCTATCATTTCTGAAAAAAAAGCAAGGTTCTGAATTTCAAGCATTGTTCGGTAAAGAGCGAGAGTAATTAATCCTCCAATTGAAGCAATTATAGCTGCTATAATAAAAGCAATTCTCTTTCGCTTTTTTCTCTTGATTTCTTCCTCTGTTAAAGGTCGTTCTTCCATTGTACTCGATGATTGTTGTTGCTCTTTTCCTTCAGTTTTGCCTGATGAATCATTTGGCTCGGAATGTGTTGTTGATGAAGCTGTAGTACTGCCGACATTTGTGCTATTTAATAAATAATTAATATGATATTCTCTTCTTTCAATAATACCGCTATTCACTATAATCTTCGGAACCATGTATTCAGCCCTGATACTTGTTGAAATATTCGTCCTTTCCATTAAATTCCTCAGGACGTATACTCTCTTCTCATAGTTGTTGGTTTGTCCAACAAAACCTCGTGCGAGCTTGGTGAGTTGTTTTTTCATTTTTTTCAATCAATAAAAATTCAGGGATGGGTTTATTCGATGATAAACGTTGTTCGATGGTTTTATGTACAATATTTACAAGCCGAACGTAAGATACGTAGTGACTTCCTAGCAGGCACCCCGGAAGTAAAGGTGTTTAAACTGCTCACGATAACAGCAGCAACCCCTGGGATTCGAACGCTGGACCAGTTGGCTGCCATAGTTCCAGAAAAACCACTCGGCCATATGCGGGCAGCCGGCCATATGCGGGCAGCATTTTTTCAATCAATAAAAATGTTCTCAAACAAGCCTTCATCCTTTGTTTCGGAAAATACAAGTGATTCATCCTTCTATAAGGAGAAAGAAGAAGTTATCGAGATGAAGCAAGAGGAAATGTTACAAAACATACATTTAATGTGGATTTAACGAAAGAATGCCCAAAGTTGGAGGAAACGTACAAGGCTTGTTTTAATGATTGGTATACGAACGTCTTTTTGAAAGGAAAGGGACTTGAGAATGGATGTAGAAATGAATGGGAGGATGTTAAAGCATGTATGATGGTAGGTGTGAATTATATTCAACGCTCCGATGATTGAAATTTTCTGTTTTGTTGTTGGACCAAAAAAAGATTTTGATTAATGAAAAATCACTTGAAATTTCTATTGAAAAAGGAGAAAAAGAAACGGAATGGAAAATTAAGAATTTTGATGAGTGAAAACGAATGTTTTTATTAATTTTATTTCTTACTCCCTTTTACAAGAAGACGAGTTTACATCTGAGCCACCATCATCTTTTTCTACATGTAATTTAGCACCCATTTCCTTGGCTAGGTCTTTCATGGATATTGTTCCTGAACCTCGTCTTGCAGGTCTATTGAATGTGCATGTTAAAAGTGGAATTTAAATCGAAATGGTATATCTAAAACTTACTTGGGTTGACTTTCATCTTTTTTCCATCCAATCATATGAATGACTTCAAACGTGGCAGGTACACCCTTTTCTTCCCTGAACATGTGGTCATAAATAGCTGCGGCTCCTATAATTGTTTCTCTGGATAGTATTGTTCGTCTTTTGATCAAGGCATTATTTTCTCCCATCCCTTGTAAATGGTGCATGAGTGTGAATGGATCAGGATAGTACACCTTAATTGTTTCTGCGTCAACGGTTGGTAAATTCAGTCCAGATCTCGTCACAATATTTCCAACATCCTCAATAGAGCTCAAAGGAGACACATGTGGTGAGACACCTCCTTCTCGTTCTTGTTCAGACAATACAAAGCAGCTTCTCAATTCTGCTAATGTATTTCCTCCAAGCATTGCACCAATGAATGCACCATCTGGCTTTAGAACTCGTTCAACTTCTTTTAAAAGACCTGGCAAGTCATTGACCCAATGTAAGTAAAATCCTGAAATTACACAATCTAATGAGTTGTCCTCGAACGGAAGAGTAGCTCCATCCTCATCGAAATATAGCTTTTCAATCTTCTTGATGGTATTTCCTTTGATTTTAGTCAAATCTTCGGGAGAAGGTATTTTAATACTATCCAAAAGTAGTTGAGACTGGTCACATAAAATATAATGTTCAATGTTTTGAAAGTGTAGAACAGGAAGATCAAGCTCTATTCCACTGAAACCTGAAGCTTGAGAAGACTTTTTAGATTGAGCCATTGCACTCTCACGTTCCTCAGGATGTAAAAAGTCAAGAATACGCTTTTGTAAAATTCTATCAATAATAAATCCCTTGCCACATCCAATTTCGCAAACTTTAGATAATGTTTTTGAGAAATACTTATAAGTATTTAGTTCTGAATGATGATTTTCAAAAAAAACCATTTCATAACATACACTCATTCGGTCCACTATTCCATCTGCAATTATATTTTTCACATAATCATAACGAGTCGTTTCATCTTTGTTTTCACATTGTAAAGAATATTCTTTATGTTTTTTAACTTGCTCACGATCAAACACTTTTCTGATAATAATTATATATATTGAATATTCAACAAGAAATTACACTGTTTAATCACTCACTCCAATATTTTGAAATACACGTACAATTTTGGTTGAGCCCGTTGATGAATATTCCGAACCATTGCTCGAGTCGAACTCGGATTCACTCCAAAATAATTATTACATGATGATGTGGTTCGGCTTTGAATGAGTGAAAAGAATAATTTCTTCGGCAGCTTTACATGATCGATGTGGCACGATGATCCACTCGAGAAGAGTTTTTTCTTCATTTTTTTTCTTTTTATGAAAATAACGATGAAAGAAACTGGAATAACAGGAATGCAAGATGGATCAAGAAGGTGTTTTAATTGAATTGGGAAAAGGAATCTGGTGCATGTCAGTTGTTAAAGACACTTCAACGAGTTGGTTGAAGTTTTGGAAATGTATGTCAGTAAAACATGAAAGAGCTTCTTTAACTTGGCCAAAAGGATTGTTCTTGAACGATAAGAATAGAATTTAGAGAGATATGAATCAAAATGTGTTTCATATGTGTCAAAATACCAAATAATGATAGAAATTACACAAATTTGATCTAGAGAAGGAATGGATGTTATCTTATGGACGTAAAAGATAACAAAAAATTATAAAAGCATCTCATAACCATCAAATAAACTTTACACCATAATAGTCCCAATTATGTTTTCCACTTTTTCCAAATTTATCAAATTACCATTGTGGTAGTATTCCTTTTGTGGCATGTCGTCCTCTTTACAGCTTTACATTCGCCACCGCTGCCTTGTTCAACCCACACCTGCCATCGATTTAAAATCATCCCCACACTTTCCATTGAGTGGAATTTAACAACAAGAAAAAATTCAGAGTTTTGTTTCAAAATAATATTACCCTCTCTCCAAAGAGTTCGCTTTTCACAGTCGACTACCAATATAACAACATGGGCTTTTTTAACCTCTCTACTTCAACTGTGACGCCTTCCACTAAAACTGAGAAGAAAAATAGATCCTTCTTTACAAGTTTCATGGACACTAGCCCTCAATTGCATCATCATGAGCATCGACGAAAGAGTAATCCCAAAGCAGTTGCTCAAAAGTGCGTCAAGGAGGAGTATTTGAGTAGTGCTGTTGGTGATATAAAGTCCTCTTCGGAACCAACCAATGACCTCAACAACAACAATAACAACACATCATTGCAAGCAAGTGGTTCCACACAACATGTTCCACCTTCGACTCATGACACTCCTCATCAAAAGATTGCAATGGAAAGATCTTACAATTTGTCTTCACTTGAATCCTATACATTTGGTTCCAAGAAAAAGAAGAAGACCTTTTCCATGTCTTATATGAAATGTTGTCCTTTTGATGATGTAAGCGCCCTGATCGATGTGGATAAGTTTGAGAAGAAGGGTGGACCTTCGACCTCAGCAAAAAACAATCAATCTGGTCAACCAACCACCACTCGAACAGTTTCGTCGACACTGGCTGCAAATCCAATGGGAGGTCAACCTGCAATGGTAGTGACGGAACAACCACAAACACAGAAAGCTGAAGTGCCCTCTCATGACAAGGTTTTGTTCTCTTCGTCAATTTTACTTTCGAGACCTAATGAGGAGAATCCTCAACAGCAAGAATCTTCTGGGGCCTCGTCTAATGTTGATGCAAAAGGCAACACAATGGAGACTGAATAAAAACATCCACAAACATCTCGCTTCAATAAACACAAAAACTCAGGTTATCATCAAATTTTAATAATGGCAACGACCAAAAGTTTTATTTCTTACGTCTCAAGTTAGCAACGAAACCTTGCTTGACAGCACTGACAGTTCTTGAAGCCAAACAGTTGGCACAGTGAATGGAGTAGAGACGGGTAGTAGGGTCACGGTTGAGTCTAGTGTCCAAACTATTACAAATCTTACAAACTACATATTCGGTAATATACTTTCTCAATAAATTCTCAATATCCTTGCTCTTGAAAGCACCACGAATAACCAATCTATTGCTACCGTCAAGGTTACCAGTTGTACCCAATTCTGCAAATAAATAATCCAAAACGTGTTGTTCTGCACGGTGTAAGTTTGCACAAATTTCAGTAAAGTTGATCAAAACTGTCTTCTTAGGACCATCTCTTGCGACTTGAGGTGTCTTAACTTTGATGGGCTTTCTCTTTCCTCCTCCCAATTCAGGATTGTTCTTTTTCAAAGTATCAAAGATACGTTCCAAAAGTTCTGGATACTTGTAATTACGATCAGACTTATTCCAAGCTTGTGGACCATGATCATCATCCTTAGCAAGAAGAGAGGCCAAGTCTCTATCTGAGCCTTGAAGCTCGGCAGATTCCTCTCTGTCTTCACTCCAATAAGAACCACCAGAGCTTTGTGATTGTTGCTTTTTGTTGATGATTTGAATAACCTCAGCACTCTTCTTGGTCTTTAACAAATCTACAATTTCGTTGATGTTTTCGTCTTCTTCAACGTTAGTATCGATGGAAGGAAGAGGCATTTCCTCTTTGACCTTTTCCAATGCTTGTTTGAAGAGTTGAGCCTGTATTTATGGAGAACATATTCGTGATGATGTGTTCCAAATAAATAATAATAACGTGATGATGGATTATTTGGTGATGATCATAAAATACTTACAGCATCCTTCAAAATAAGTTGTAATTCTTCGGATGATTCAGTCTTTTCTTCGGATGTTGATGTTTTCTTTGTCTTCTTTTCGGTCTTTTCAGCAGAAGATGAGGTGGACTTCTTCTTGGGCTTTTTCAAATCAAGGCCGAGAGCCTTTTCGTCAACGACAGAACTCATTTTTTCAATTATTATTAAATTGAAATTTATTCGCTGTTCTTATCCAATTTGTTGTTTTTAATTGTTGCTGCTCTCGATATTCAATTTCGCTATGCATGTTTTTATTATTAGATAAAAGAGACAAGCATAAAAACTTTGATTTTACTTTTTAATTCAACCAAGAACAGCTGAACACGATGCATTGTTTTGTTTCCCAAAACGTGAATTAAAAATGATAATTGAATTTGTAAATATGATAAACAAAACAACTCAAAATAAACATACCTTTGGCATGAGAAGTGCTGATTGTGAAGAGTGATGCATCATCGGAAGAGAGACAACGAAAACAGACCTCGAACAAAAGCACAATTCAATAAGACCTCGGAAGAGATGATTTTCCTATCGGAATTGAAAAAAAAATCAAACACACGATTTACTGATCAACAATAGGATGCCATCTTTTGAGACTGCTTCCGAACTCTATCAACAGGGTAACGATTTGTTTGTGGACGAGGAATATGAAGCTGCTCTTGCCAAGTATTCAGCAGCTATTGATATGGAGGAGAAAGTTGAATATTTTGAGAAGAGATCTGCTTGTAATTATCAACTCGGAAGACACAAAGCTTCGGTTGAAGATGCCGAAAAAGCTATTGCATTGTCTTCCAATACATCCTTTAATGGATTCTTGAGAAAGGGTATGGCTTGCTTTGAGATGGAGCAATTTGAAAAGGCTTTAGAAGCTTTTGAAAAGGCCTCCTTGCTCAAACCTGATGATTCCAAAGTTAAAACATGGCTCCGAAAAGCTAGAGCAGAAGTGGAAAGTGCAAAGACTACAAATACAGCATCAACAACAACGACAAATACTGGTACAACATCATCGGCTACAACTTCCTCTTCATCAAGCACATCATCCAACACTCTTACTGTGACTCCTCTCAAGAAGAAGATCAAATGGAACTTTTTCCAAATGGGAGAGTATGCAGTTGTAAATCTTTTGGGATTGCAGCCTATCAGCAAAGAAAATAGACATATCGAAATTCAACCAAGCAAATTAATTATTTCACTGAACTTACCTCCTCAAGAGGGAGTACCATCTACTCTAAATGATGAAGATTTAACAAATTGGGAGAGAACATTTACGCTTTTTGACGACGTTATCCCTTCGGAATCATCTATTATTCATTTACCTTCCAAGGTAGAAATTAAATTGAAGAAAACTCATGCATCTATCGACTGGCCATCATTGGAAACAATTGAAAATGCAAACAAATTTGACCCTCAATTCCAGACAGCAAGTGTCTTTGTTTCTCAAGTCGATCCAAAGAAATATCCTACTTCAAAGAAAACTGATTTTGACACTCTGGATAAAATTGGCAAGAAAGAAGAGGAGGAAGAAAAGCCTGAGGGTGACGCTGCTTTGCAAAAACTTTTTCAACAAATTTATTCTCAAGGAGACGAAGAGACAAGAAGAGCCATGATGAAGAGCTTCCAAGAAAGCGGAGGTACTGTTTTATCTACAAATTGGAAGGAGGTAGGATCAAAGAAGGTTAAAGGAGAAGCACCACAAGGCATGGAAATGAAATATTGGAATCAAGAATAAACTTTCTTTTCGAAGGAATGGAATGATGTTTTATGGTGTCGAAACCTTCAGATATTCATCTCAGCATAATACCTTCTTAGAATTGATTGCCAGTTGGTTATTTATAGTGAAAACTGAAAGTTCCCTTATTAAGGGCCAGAAAGAAAAGACCAGGTTCGAATTGAAGCAAGCAAAGAGATCATTCAGTTTATTCAGTTCTAATGGTCATAGATGTTGATGATTTAACTAATAAATGCCCTAATGTGAATCAATCTATGACAGATGTTGCTTGTTTCAAGTATTAAACCTCACACCTTGTTCTTGACATGGTTCTCAATTACTGAAAAGAGGTTTTGGAAGCTTGCTTGGGTGTGGTGAGTTTGACCATGAGCCACCAGCAAACTTCTTTTCTGAAGAGGATTCTTTCTTTGATGAACTATCCATAGAATCAAGCTTGATAACAGATCCATCGTTGATTAAACTTGAAAGTAGCTCCTCTTCAGTTAAGGATGTTGAAGATGCAGATGTAGAAAGTTGAGGTAGGTTTTGCTGGAATGGAGGACTTGATGGCATTGGAGCATTGGGTTTGAGTTTTAAAGAAGTATGAGGAGGTGTTTGAAATTTCTGTTCTTCCAAATCCTTCAGAACGGTACTTTCCAAATATGCCATGTCAAAGCTATGCCAAGATGGAAACCATGTTGGTTTCAAAAGTCCCTCCTTTGGAGAGTAAATTGAAACTCTTTTTCGTTCCGAAGCATTAAAGTAGGATGGAGCAAGTAAAGTATAAGTAGTAGTGTTCGATGATGACTTGGTAGGACCTACATTTGTGGAAGAATGTACATTGGAGATTGGTGACGTCTTGCTGTTACTAGCTGAGGATTGGGGAGAAGCATTTGAAGATGTTGACACGGATGGTTTGTTCGAACTAGTGTCGTTTGAAGATGAGGAACGTGTTGATGAAGGGCTCTTCTTCAAAACAGATTTGAGAGCAGCATTCGATCCAGAATTTCCACTACTATTGCTGCTACTATTTGAAATGCTCTGTTTTTGAACATTAACAGGAACCATTACCTTCTTCTTTTTCTTTTTGTTTCTCTTGTTTTCTTCATCTTCACCAGAATTATCCATGCCATTGTTGGAGAAAGACGAAGAATTATTTTCACGACCATTCGATTGCTCAGAGGCCATATTTTCATCTCCGCTACTGTTTTCGTTTGATTTTGTGGTGGTATTATAGTGTTGATAGGGAACCACCATTCTCTCATAATTAGCAAAATGATCCTTCGTTGAGGTTCTCGACTTTTTTCCAAGGCCATTATCTGATGACGATTTGTCTGCTTGTGGCGGGGATGTCACATGATGAGCAAAGAAATGAGGTTGCTGAGAGGATGATGAAGAAGTATTGCTATTACCGGAAGAGGATGACGGATTTCTAGAGTCAAATGTTAATTTGTCTTTGACATTGTCCAAAGAAAGATCTTTGTATTCAAAGTAGCCATCTTTAAATTCTCTTACGCGAATTGATTTCTCTCCTTTTGGTACAAATACTCGCTGCTGTTGTTGGGCCTGCTCGTCTGTTAGAAATAAATCTTCATTTACAGAGTATCCACCTGTTGGTGTTGTTCCATTGGTTCCATCAATGAAAAAGGGAATGAGAGGTCTGCCAAATTCTCCCGCTTTTGATTTTGTTGGAGTTGTATGGTCATTGTTTTTATGATTGTTGGTAGAAGAGTTATTGGTGTTACTACTAGAGGAGTATTCTCCATCATCGGATGAGTATTGTTGATGATCCATGCTGTTGTTGTTATTATTGTTGTTGATGTTTTAATTGGTGATTGAAATTTAGGTGTTGTTTTTAAATAATATTATTGATGATTATTGATGGTTTTGATAATATTGTATGAATTGAATAATGTTGATCAAATAATAATTAACTGCAACAAGAAGACAATATGGAGGATAATGATTCTGAAGATGTAAAGATGTTCTTATTGGTTGTTTGCATCTATTTTTTTTTAAATTTTTTCAGTTTTTTTAAAAATAGACTAAGAATGATCACTTTCTAAAAAGAGCTCTCTTGTATGAGATGATCCTCAATGATAATTATTTTCTGGAGTGAACACATCCACTCATTTACAACAGTTTCTGTGTGTATTTAAATACGAATGACCAATCTTTTACCAGAATCAAATTCCTTATTCCATACACTTTCAACATCTTTAAGGTCTGCCACTTCTGTTTCAACTTTAATAATCCCTTGTCCAGCAAGCTTAAACATTTCCGGTAAAACCTTCTCATAAAATTCTCTCATAGATTCAACGGAGAAGCTCCCAAAACCAGATCCACAAATCTCTATTGCTGAACTTCGTAAAATACTTGAAGAAAGATGAATGTGCTCTCCTGCCATCGAACCTACAGTCACAACTCGGACTTTGTGACTGAATGAATGCAAACCAGAGCCCTTAAGAGCTCGCAAAAGCAACTCCATAGGATGACCCCATAAATAATCAATAACTACATCAATTGGAGTGAGTTCATGAATAGCACGAACTGTCTCGATCAACACATGCTCATCCTTCTCCAATAATGAAATGGTTTGATCCACTCCATATTCATTCTGTAATTTGTTGAGTGAATGTTGATTTCTTCCTGTTGCAATGACTTTGGATGCTCCATAATATTTAGCTAATTGAGCACATAATCTACCTGTGACTCCAGTGGCCCCATTAATCAGCACTACATCTCCCTTCTTCATCAAGCCTCGATCAAACAAAGCCAAATAGGATCCCAACACTGCGTTCGGAAGGGCAGCTGCCGTCCAATCATCCACTTGATCAGGCAAAGCAATCAACTTGTTCCGATCGACTAGAGCATATTCAGCAAGCATTCCTGTGGTACCCATTCCATACACTCGAGTTCCATCTTGTAATTTTCCAACTCCATCCATTCCAACGACCACAGGTAATTCCGAGTGGCTTGAATAGTGCTTTCCACTGGCACGAGCTTTATCTAAATTCTTGATGGCACAAGCCTTCATATGAACCAGTACTTCTTGATCATTGGAAGAAGAACTACTTGATGATGGTTCTGGCCAATCTTCGGTATAGACGGGTGAGGCTCCTAACTGATGCAAAACGCCTGCTCGCATTTTCTTTTGGTTTCCATTCTTGAGTTGACCGCAATCCAAGTCGAACCACTATTTCGTTCTTTTCTTTTTATTACTTTCTTTAAAACTTGCCCTAAAGAGATGATGATGCTTAACACGTATGGGAATTACAGATCTCATCAAACATAACGTTCTGCTCACTTCTCCATGGAGAACTGAATATGAGACGGAATTTTCCTTCGTTACGAGATCTAATTGTTTCCAAGTCAAAACGTCAAGATCTGACCTTCAGCTTTCACAACAGATTCAAAAAAAGATGTCATTCAAGAGTGGCTTGAAGTCACCTCTGGTCCGGTTGTACCTCTGGTTCACACTCTGCATCTTCCTAATCTTGACGTCGAAATTCACCACTCCCAATCATGATTTATCTTCGACATCACTGACATTCATCACATCGACTCTTGCAGCAACCGTCATGCCCACTCGTGCCGATGATTTTGTCAATTCCATTGGTGTGAACACTCATCTCTCCTATGTCAACTCGTGCTATTACAACTACTTTGATGATTTTGCGAAATATCTTCTCGACTCTGGAATTCGTAAAATTAGAGATTCACTTCGAAATGGACCTCAATGGTATTTCGATCATCACAATTATTTAGGAATGAATGGAATTAAGGGAATATTCTTGACCGATACTCCAACTCGTACTGCTGATTTAATTCGAGGCTATCCTCTCAAAGTTCCATACATTTTCGAACTCTATGAAGGAATTAATGAATATGATTTGAGTGGTGATCCCAATTGGGTTAATGTCACAATCAATTGGACGAAATTCTTGTGGGACAATCATAATACAAGTTTTCCAGTGCTTGCTCCCTCTTTGACTTCCTTACAGGCCTTTGAAGCTGTTGGAGATTTGAGTCCATATATTGATTTTGCAAACATGCACAACTATTATGGAACTTATCCTCAGACACGAGGATGGGGACCTCAGACTCTTTACGGATTTACTGGAACTGTTGACTACTTTAAGAATTTAACTTCAAGTGTTCAAGTGAATAACAAAAAGCCTGTGGTGACAACAGAAACAGGATGGCAAACTCGATTGGGTCCTGTGATGTATTGGGTACCTGAATTGATTCAAACGAAATATACATTACGATCTTTAGTGTTGCAATGGATGAAGGGCATTGAAAGAACCTATCTCTATGAAATGTGTGATGATCGAGAATATTATGGACTTTTATATTATAATTCAACCACGAATAGTGAACCACCAAAACCTAAACCTCTCTATTATGCATTGAAGAATATGATCTCTGTGTTGGAGGAGAAGCCTCGACAACCAAAATTTGCTTTGAAAGAGTTAAGTTTGGAGATGAATCCCAATTCGACGACGAATTCCAAAATATATCATACTCTCTTTCAGAAGAACAATGGAAATTATTATTTAGCCATATGGCAAGAGGTATTTGGATATGAAGGGGAGTTATCTTTAACACGACATCCACTGTAGTGTATTTAAATTTCACACAATTAAGCATGTTTAATGTTTCAGAAATTAGGATTTACACATTTGATAACACGAACGGAAACATGACCAACATAACAATGCCACTCTATTCAAATGTTTCAACACTTTGGAGCGTGATCATTTCAGCAATCATGATTGGCACCTTGGTGGATGAAATAAATTTATTCCTCTCGAAGAACAAAAAATTGATGAGAGTGGGATTTGAACCCACGCCCTTGCGGAACACGGTATTAATCATACCTTAACGTGTCGTCTTAGACCGCTCGACCATCTCACCGTACGTTACCTTAAACTTCTTACTGTGTTGAACCTTGTACTTCCTTGCTCGGTTTTCAAAACCAACCGACGTAACCCAATCATTGTGTTGATTTTTGGAGTTTGTTGGTCATGGCACATTTTAATTTCGCAAAGATCTATATTATATGTTGTGCTAATATCAAATACATTTGTGAAATTATGGAGAATGTCTGGTGAGATTATTGTCGTCATGAACAAACTTTGAAGGATAACAATAAAGTAGAAATGATTATTTCATTGAATCACTACACGAGGAATGTCCTCACAAAGATTTACAATTGCTCGATGAGTTGGGAGGCTCTTGGAGATGAGCGCTTATTGGTTTGAGCTTCCAAATCATCTTCTTCGTCGTCACTCTCTTGCAAAATTTGGGGAGATGAAGTACTTGCTGATACATCTCTTTGGATTGAAGATGAGTTCTGGCTATTTGATGAGAGTGTTGAGGATCCTGGAGAAAGTCTAAATGCATAAATATTAAGGCCTTTACAAAATTCCCAGACGACTGACACAGCAAAGAATAGATAAAAGCTTGAGGACCACACTAAATTGAAAATAAGCAATCCTTTTGCAGGAATGAGAGGTCCTTTTGATGAAAAAATCATAGTCAGTCCATTCAAAACAAATATGATCATTGGAAGGAGCATAATTACATATTGTTTGGTGAATCTTGGATATGGATGATTTGTCACACGTGCAATGTTCATGGTGGTAAGATAAATGCCAAAGGTAAGAGCTCCAACAACATAAATAGAAATCCAATTTGTTTGATAAAATGAGTTGTCTCCAGCAACATCTGCAGGAATAATTCTCGAGATTAAGGTCATTGAGAAATAAACTGCAAAGAAAATGAATACTACCAATAAATCAAGAACAGCATTTCCTAACTCTTGGGACATTTTGAGAATGCTGTACTTTTTGAATTGTTGAGTTGAAATGGAAGAGCCAGATTCCAAATCTAAATTAGGCTCGTTCGGGAAGGTTTCTTCTTGTGAATTATTATGTGAGTTCGAAAGATCACTTTCCAAGTTTTTGGAGCGTTGTCTGTAATGTTTTAACACATGGAACACGGCAAAAGCTGGTGATGCTAAGGTGCCCATGGTGGTGATTAAAATGATCCAAAACGCCAAACTCATTCCCAAAATAGTTTGTTGTCCAAAACCAACAACGTTTGAGCCACTTTGAAAGAGGTTATAAATACACGAGGCTAAATGCACTCCAACTACGGCGAACTGACCGTCACTAGCAGAGACAAAGCCCATGTAAAATCTTCCAGTGTGATAATGTTCCCAATGTGCCCCGTAAAATGCAAACATCATAATGAGGTGCAATGTTACTCGGCCAATGTCGCTAAAGAATGTGGTTGTCTCAGATGATAAAGCAGATGGCTTATAAGGAGTCTCCCCTAGTGCAATTAAAAAGCCTACAAAAACATTTACGATCAAATGAGAATTTCAAAGATAACTTACACAAACACAAAATTGACATGGTAAGCGCATCGACACCATGATCAAAAACTTCTCCAAGAGGAGAACTGCTTCCTGTTCTTCTTGCTTGTTTTCCGTCACAACCGTCAAAAGTATTATAAAGGAAAATTAATATTGAAATTAAAACCAAGCCAAAATTATAGAGAAATGTATAGGGGTTTGTTTCTGGGTTTGCAATAAAAGAATAAAAATTAATCAATGCAAGAGCAAATGCCAATGCCATGCAAATAAAACCGGTTAAAGTGATAGTGTTAGGAGCAAGCCATTCCGGAAAAACGTTTGCTGTTAAATAATTCCAAAATGGTGACAATATATAATTCTCAGCCACAGAGTTATTCTGTACATCAAACTTGTACAAGGATGCAACTAAATTTGGTGTTGGAGTAGCAGAGGATGATGAAGCCTCCAAGGCTCTTTGTTCTTGCTTTGCCCTTGCTATTGCTTGCAAATAATCCTTTCCTTGTGGAGAAATGAACGAAAACCACTTTGGACGAGTAGTGGGCTCGTTCAAGGTGGCAAGCCATGTTTTAAGTCGGTTCATCCAATCTCTTCCCGATGAGTGATGATGAATGAGTGCTGGATCGAAACGCGTCGAGGAATTGCTTTCATCATCAATACTTTCTCTCTTCCTAGTTATCATGGGTGTAGTATCATGCTCATTAGAAGGTGAAACCGGAAGAGACTCTCGGCCTGTTGTACTTCTATCTAGGGTGTTAAATTCAATAGTAATTTCCTCTGATGAGTCTTGTTTCATGCTTTAAAATATGAATGTTGATGCTATTTTCTTGTATGATTACAAAATAAAAGACAACGATAACGGTTGATGTTGTTGCTACTCTTGTGATCCTATTCCTGTTCTCGCTAATTAGAATCCGAAGGAACAGAAATGAGATGTTTTAACGCTTATTTTTTTTTCAACCACGGAACAACGGATAACACTTTTCTTCAGATTAGAAAGCAATGCGCTGAGAAGAGAGAATGTTTTTGCTTCTTGCAGGACATTTTCTCATATCGCATAAAAAATGTTTTGGGATACTCTTAAAGAATTAATTGATCGGGATCATCAACTCCGATTAGAGGCTGCCAAAAGAAAAGAAAATGGAGTGGTAGTTATTTCTGATGATGAAGAAGAGGATGACCACAGGTTTAGACATCTTGATGATGGTGATGATTACGGAAATGTATTAATTGAATATTTAAATGTTCAGGAGAATCAATCAATAATATACGATACTTTCATTTCCATGTTGTGCAGGAAAGTGGTGGATGAAGATACGACGATGAATTTTAAGCAATGTTTTACTATTCCATTTATATTTACTCTCAACTTCAAATATCAAGAAATATTAATTTATACCATTATTAAGTTACACCACAAATTCAAGCGGAAACATATTTCGGATCTGGTAAATGCATTTGTTATTTACAGCAAGAATGAGAAGAGCCCACATACTCATCTGGTGATTTTAAAACAACTATTTAGAAAATTATGTCGCAAATTGAATGATAGTTCTTTATTAGAACTTGTTGAAAGTAGTGTTGCTGTATTGCCAAATCATCCCAAGCTCGCTATTGCGGCTACTAATTCTTTGAGAGATTGTGTAACGAGCCTATACCAGACCAAAACAGTTTTCAAACGAAAGTCTATCTCACAACAAGGTTTATCACATACCACTATCACTATTGATAGTGATAACAAAAAACGAGATCTAGATGAATTTGTACATATAGAAGAAAACAAGGAGGATGAGCATGACACTATTACAAACGAAAATACTCTAAAAAAACCTAAAACAAACAATGCAGAAATTACACCCACATCTGATGAGCCCAAAGTACTGTCTAACGACACTCCAAAGGAGTTGACATCAGACCAGAAAAAAGAGATATCAAAATTCAAAAAGATATTAGAACGCGCTACCAACCCGAAAAACATTGCGATAGACTTGTTAATTTCAATCATCAACTCAGCAGGATCCATTGAGCAATTAATTCAGATTTTCAAGGAGCTTAATGTAGAAAAGCTGAACGACTCAAATCTGTTACATATTACTCAAAGTTTAATTACCAAGACTGGGCTAGTTACCTCTACCAAGTATCTAAACCATACTATTCAATGTGACATTTTCGTACAAAAGTTTTTTCAGCCTAGAGTGTTCTCAATGAAACAAAAAGCATCAAGACATTTGTTTTCATGTTTGCAACATGTGTGTGGGAATTCAGACTTTACAAAAATTGTTATTGACAGAATTATTCTAGGGCTATCCACATTACAGAGTGAAGAAAGATCGATACAATTATCTGTAGACCAAGTTGAGCTTATCACTAGAATGATGGACAAAATTCTTGAAGTAGATGACAAGATATATTTATTGAGACAAGTGCTTGAAAACACAGAAAACAAACGAGTGGTGTGGAATGAAGAAGTAACTATCAACATTCTTAACAGAATTTTAGAAACTAAAAACATTGCGTCCAAGTTAGAACCAAGCATTTTAGATTTACTATTACGCCAACTTGAAGAAATAGCTAAACTCTTTTCAAAGTCACTTAAATTCTCCTTGTTGATTGGAACCTTCATTAACATCATCAGCACCTCGAGCGGGTTGTCACTTTTACAGTCATATTATCCCTCTCTTAAAGATATAATCAACCAGCTTGAAAACAAGATGAAGGATACCCTAGAAAAGAAGCTAGAATCTGCTCGGACTCAATGATCTAGATTTTTCATCTACAATACTTCTTCGACTTATTAAGAGAGGGTCAAAAACAAAGTTTTTCTCATAGGATGTGAATCTTGTAGCATGTCACATGAAGGCAAAGAGGCATGGTCACATTACAAAATTATAAATAATTTCGAATTCAAATAAAAATGTCGATCAAAGTGATTGTCTGTTTTTTAATAGTCCTGTTGCCATTAGCAAGCTTATACGCGACATCAAATCGTAATCTTACACTAAAACTTCATCAAGCCATTGAACAACATAATGCATCGGAAATTGCCAAGCTGTTGAGAGAAGGAGCAGATTTTACGGAATATATTCAATACAGGGTAAGGATGATCAATTATTATTTCCGAAATCAACATGTTCATTCACAATCATCAAATAGTTTCTTAGACAAAATAGTTTTGATGTAGCCCGATACTATCGCTATGAAGATGAATACAATCAAATCGTAAAGAATTGGTTGACTGAAATTGCAAAGAATGGAAATCCTTCTACATCGCCTTACAGTGTTGTGATCTGGTTTGTCTTGTACGGATATTTCATGTTTTTCTGCCTTTCCGTTTGTATTGCCATTGGGTGCTTTCAATCCTTGAGAACATTTTGTTGCGCTTCAGGAAGGTCAAGATCAAGTCGTAACAACAACAACACGACGAGAAATGGACAAGATCAAGACATTCACAACACTTGTTCACAAATAACCTCTCAGAAGGTTTCTACAACGTCTTCCTCATCAAACAACACAAATGGACGCAGGGAGGAAGATGACTTGTGTTGTATTTGTTTTGAAAGAAGGAAAGACACTGCTTTGGAATGTGGACATGTGTTTTGTGGACAGTGTGCCAGTAAATGCACCTCTTACTGTTTTACATGTAGAAAAAGACACTCAGGAAGAACTATCAAGTTATATTATTGAATGTCCAAATTTGATGATTGAAAAACGAATGCTTGTTGTTGGTTGTGAATTGGGAACTGTTTAGGTCACAACTGTGGTGGTTCCCTTATTTCAATCAAAATGGTGAAAAAAAAATTAAAAAAAATTCCTAAATCCATCATAAAGGAACAACTCATCAATAATACAAATTTAAATCATCAAATTAATTCAAGAACATAATGGTATTTTCGTGGGTTGTTGCAGGAGTTTCAATTGGAACCGGTCTTATTTTTGCAAGAGCTTCTCTCCGAGCACTTGCTCGTACCCGAGCCGCATCGCTCAACGCAGCATCAATGAACAAAACAGGATTCACTCTCAATACAGATTTCCTCTCTAAACCAATTTATGGAAGAAACTTTGCAGAGGGATCGTTTAATCCTGAAATGTCAAAGAAGGAAGCATTGGATATTCTAGGTTTCGGAAAGACTGTAAAACATGTAACGGAAGAAGACGTGAAGAAACGACACAGAAAATTGATGTTGTTGAATCACCCTGATAACGGAGGAAGTGCTTATATTTCATCTAAAATTAATGAAGCAAAGGATTACTTGCTCGGAAGATACGGAAGAGATTAAAACAATTTACGAATATTTATTCAAGCCTATAATGCGTTGATTACCTTTCATTAATGATGAACAAATTGCAAATGATGACATTTTTGCACCACGATCGTGTTGGTTAACATGATTCATCACCGCAGCACTTTCTTCGTTGTTCTTTTATTTCAAGGCCTCTCGCACTTGATCGAGTAATTGAGATAATTCATTAAACTCTTCAGAATTCTTAAATATTTCTTGTGATCGTTTGGTTACTGATTTGAGGATATCCTCAGCCATAGAAAGATATTGAACTTCCTTATCTTCTTGATTGTGTTCCTTGAACCATGTAGCGACACGAACTTGCAATTTCACGAGTTCGGCCACAGAGAAAGCGACCAACTCAAATTTAGATTTTTCTCTTTCCCATCCAGTCATTTGCAAACTTCTGCATAATCGTTGCCTCTTGTCAACAGCTTGTTCCAAATATTTGATCTTGTCTTCGCTCGAATCATCTTTAATGGAATTGGCCAAAATTTCATAGAATCCAGCGTAAGCTTTCCAAACATGAGGATCCAATGAAATTCTATCAGTGATCTTCTCGAACATTCTCAATAATTCTTCTTTCAAATGTTCTCCATGAGGTATTGGTGACTTTTCCAATAAGATCTTGAAAACCCTCAAAAACAAGAAGAAGACATCAGTGTCAAGTTTTTTGTCTTCTTTGATATCGACCAATCTTTTTACTGCTGTAATGGCATAATCAAATTCATTGGCCTCAATGGAAATATAAAGGAAATTTTGCCATATTTTCCAGCTGTCGTATGCCAATCGAGCTGCTTCTTTCATTGCTACGAATGCACTCTTTCTATAAAAGGTTCATTATTGAACATGGATATTTCTCACAATAACTTACTTTTGACCTTGATGTAAACGAACATTGGCTAAATTACTCCACGATTCAGCATCATCTGGATTTTGTTGAGTCACTTTCGAATAGGCCGTTTGGGCCTTGTCCCACTTTTCACATCTCATACAACAAAAACCATAAATAAACCAAGCATTTGTGTGTAAAGCAGAAAGTGCAAGAGATTCCTCGAATTCAGGAATGGCTTTTTCATGTTCCTGTTTTTCAGTATAATAAAATCCGAGGGCACGTTTGGCTCTTGCAAATCTCTTTTCTGAGACATCCCATGCTTTCATATACATGTCCACACAGGTTGGATATTGCGAGAGAATTTGCTCTTCACCTTCCACATGATATTCTTTACGAAGTTTTTCAGAACGTTTCAAATCTCCAAGCATACACCACAAGAGAGGATTATCTGGCTCTTCTAATAACTTTTCAATAACAACTTTCTTTGCTCTATTTTCTTGATCGAGAGATACAAGAGTTTTCATAATTTCTTCAAACATTCCATATTTTCTGAAAATGACAAGAGCACTTTCAAGAAGACTTGATCTCGAATAAATAAATGCCAATTCTCTTTGCAAATCAAATATTGGAGGATATCCAAGACAATAAAAGTATTTGAGACGAACAGAAACAGGTGGTTCAGTATCTTTCAAATGAGAGACTAGCTTTTCAAATTGTTCAATACTTCGAACCAAGTGATTAATTTTATCACTCTCTATTCTAGCTCTCAACCACAATGCTGTTGATTGAACCAGCCAACTTTGTGGGTGCTCAATGACTCTGAGAATATAAGGCATCATTTCTTCTTTAGTAAGGCCATACTCTGGATTTGTGTTCTTAATGTCCATACTGATGACATTTTAAGAAAACAGATTTTCTCATTACTTATCAATACTTACCACTTGGCAAGAATGATCACTTGATCAATCACTCTCAGAGCAGATTTTGATAAATCTTGTTCATTTTCAGCTACATCGATGGATGGTTTTTCAAGCAAGTGAGAATCCTCATAGTGTTGTATAACCTCTGGAAGCGTTGATTCTTCCTGTGTGTTGGCATTGGTGTCAATTGTTCTACTTTTTGCTTCTAACACAAGTTGTGAGGTTTTAAACGATTGATATTTAGTTTTCACACCAAGTTTTCCTGTCACATTAAGATAGAGACCAGTAACAAGCTTTGCCTTCTCAAAACTTTGTTGAGCAAACTTTTGTCTATTAAAGTGATAATCTACTAATCCCTTCTCCACATAATATCTTGCAATCAATTCATCATCTTCGACATTAAAATTCTCAGTTGGGAATTTTGAATCCAAAATTTCAAAGCTTTTCGTAATTGCATTTAACAAAGTTTCAGTTGAAAAAGTCATCAACTTTTGATGAATGATATTAACTCTAATTCTCCACCATTCATGACTCTCCACATTCTTAATCAAGTTGTTATCCAAAAAACATTTAGCAACAAGTAAATAATGTGGAATTGTTGTCATTGTAAAAGCAGTCTCTCCGTTAATAGAAAGTTTTGAAATGGCATACTTTTGAATGTACTTGGCAATATTATGTGTTGACTCCACTTGTAAATATTCACTTGTTGAATCATTGAGCATCGGAAGAGAGAATGTCTTGTCAAAATTGAATGTAGGACCCACAAAGTTGTGTTGAACAAATGTGTTTAAATAAATAATGCCATAGAGTAAAAGGAGCATTGAATTTTGTGGAGCCTGTTGTGCAAATTCCGATATGGTTGTCTCCAAATTATGATAACATTCTATCAAATATTTGAATATATTGTATCATTCATCGTTGTTTCATACATACCATCCAACAAGGATTGAATAGTTTTATAATCCTCTTGAGTACCCTCAAGGCTAGATAGAGATGCAAATATCGAAGAGAAAGTTCTTTGATAGGATGCACTATGAATGGGCATCAAATTTCCTTTCAAAATACTTGACACCAAGTGATGTATTTCTTCATCGTGATGACCGTTTTCATTGTTGAGACGATATTTCTCAAATGCAGCTTCATCGGAGAGAATGAGAAAGCGTTCTAGTGGTGGCAACATTTTTTTCTTCTTCACTTTTAAAATTGAGCTTCAAATAGAGAGTATTTGTGCGTGCGCTACTGAATGGGAGCTGTGTTGACTCTCTCTGTGAATCACAATTTTCAAATTTTAATAATTTACATTTGGGAGTGTTTGTTAGATACGAGTTGTTTCAAGCTTCGTAGCTCACTCGAAAGCTTAGTGTTTGTGGAGAGCCTTACTGAATTGTTTTCAACTTGTTCTGATCGTAGCTTGATTTTGTCCAATTGTTTTTCGAGCTTTTGAATTTGCTCATCCTTGTATTTGATGAGCTTGTCAATCTTTTCAGTGTCAATAGATAAAGAGCCGCCTGAAGTGGAGGACTGATCTCCATTATATTGAGCAATTTGTTTGAGAAGATATGTTATCTTCTGTTCGTTCTCCTTCTGTAATTTCAGGTGTCTTCGCTCAAAAACCAATTCAGTCAATCGAATATGATTTTGGAGATTTTCAATCATCTTATCACGTTCTTTTAAGGCCAAATCGAACTCCATAATCTTTTGTTTCTTTGATTTCTCGTCCTCTTTGAGCTCAATCACTTTTTCAAAGTACTGTTTCAAGAGTACTTTGGCCTCTGCCAAAGAGTGGATATCGTTGAAATGAGACAACGAAAGAGAGGAGTGGCTTTCCTCGACCCTGAGTCTGTTTTGAACTTGTTCTATCGTTTCGTTTTTAAATTCAATTTCGGCATCTAGAACCTCTGTTCTCTCATTAATTTCCTGAAGCTCTTCATCTTCTTTCTTAATTTGATCTTTTGCTTTTTGCTCTAATTTCTCTCGTTGTCGTAACATCTTTTCTCGCCTTTGATGTAAGGTTTCAATTTGTAGTTGCAAATCATTGATTATTTTAGCTTCAGTTTTCAAGCAATTATTACTATTAGACGTTCTTTTGCTCTTCAAAATTGTTTCCTTCTCTACAATTTCTCTCTCCACTTCTTGCAGTTGTTTAAGGATGTCAACCATAGATTCTTGCATATGTTGATTCTTTCGTATTTTCCTCATTTCAATATCTTGCTTGGCTGACAACATTCTCTCTTTTTCTTGTATTATTGCTTCTCTTCTTGCCAACTCCTGCTCCAGAGTTTCTATTGCCTCTTTTTTAGTCATGTATTTCTCAATTTCTTTGTCCAACCATTCTTTTTGTTTATCAATATCGGCTGAAATAGATTTGCTTTTTGAAACTCGAGATAGTTGATACCTATTAAGCCTCAATTGTTGGTTGACTTTCTGAACCTCTTCTGACTTGCGTTCCAAGATTTCTTTTTGTCTCTGATTTTCAATCTCTAGCTCACGTATTCTCTTTTGACTTGCTTCACCTTGTTTCTTTAATGCTGATATTTGCTTTAGTTGGGCATTATATATTTGGTTTTGTTTCTCTGTTTCTTCTTTGATCTTATTTTTAAGAAATTCTTGTTGTGTTTTCATCTTTGTTATCTCTGTCTGCAAATCATTAACTTTTCGATCACTTTGATACTTTAGCTTCATTAACCTCTCGTTTTCGGTCGCCTTTTTCCTGAGATCAGATAATTGCATATTTTGTTTGTTCAGTCGTTCTTCATAGTCAAGCTGAATTCTGCGTTTTTCTTCTTCCTTTTTACCTCTCTCCATGTCAGCTGTCTCAAGTGCATTCATCAATTTTTCTAACTCTTGTTGAGTGGCTACTACAGAATTCTCCATCTCTATTATCTTCTTCTCATATTGCTCTTTCAGAACAATGGACTCATGCTCGCTCTTTAACAAGTCCTTAATGAGCTCTTCTTTCAGTTTTATCATCACAGTAAGATCTTTTAAACTTTGCTCCAGCTTTCGTTGCTTTCTTAAATACATTTTCTGCTGATCTTGCATTTGTTTTTCAACCATGGACTTTTCAAGTTCAATTTGGCTTTGCTGATTGTACATTAAAGTTTTTTCTTTTTCTAGATTTTTGATTTCATCTTCCAACTTGCCAAGCTCTCCGTCCAACTGTCCATCTGTTTGTGTGGCATCCTGTTTGGCCTCTTGACTTTCAGGTATTTTCGGTGCACTTGTGGTAGGTAATGGAGGAACGGTAGTAACACCTAATTCTTCTGGGAGACTTTGAATATATTCTTCGAGCTGAGCTACTCGTTTCATCTCAGTATCAAGATCTTGTTTCAGTGCTTGGACATTCTTTTTAAGAACCCAATTTGTTTTAGACAGCCTCTTAATCTCTCGCATCTTCTCTGTAAATATTTTTTCGTCACGCTTTAGATCGTCCTTAGCATCTTTCAACTCTTTCATAAGAGACTCTATTATCTTATTCTTTTCTTCAATATCGTGGTTCTCGACAACCACTTGCTCAATATTTGGTAATCGAGGTGAATATCCTTGGGGCTTGTCTTTTCTCTCTGCGCTGACATTTACATCATAATTGGCAACATCTTCCAATACTTTGATGATCTCCGTTATTTTCTCTTTTGGAATGTCAAGGGTGCTCCAAGGAACTTTAAAAAGCACTCGCAAAACCTCTCTAACACGCTGACGGAAACTTTGTATCTTATGTAAGTACATATCTCTTTCTGCTTCGATGTTGAGGATATTTTCACTTAGTTCCGTAATTTTTGAATTGCTTGAAGAAAGTTGTTCTCGAAGAAGTTTTGTCTCATCCTTGTGATCTGGCACGTTTGCAAGTTGAAGTAAGTTGCTCGAAGAAGGCGTTTTCTTTTGAATCTCCAAAAGAAATCGTTGGTTGTCTTCAAATTTTAACAATTCCTCAAGAGAGTCCGAATATTGGACACCCTCAGAGGACATTTTCTGTTGGAGAAGAGCCAACTTTAACGCATGTATTTCATTTCTGAGCTGATCTATTTGCATGGAATGAGGATCAATGTTAACCACTGGTTTGTTCTTGATATTTCTTGCTCGATTGGCATATTTAAGTGTATTCAATGTCTCTTCAAAATTGGAATCTGCTGGAGAAATACATGCTAACATTACAGTTCGACTATTTCCTCCTAAGCTATCCTGTAACAGTCTTGTTAATTTAGAATCTCGATAAGGGACGTGCGTAGTGTGTGCTCTTTTTTTCTCGTCTCCCAGTGCACTAATAACGTTTCCTAGAGCAAGCAATCCACAATTAATTTGGACAGCTTCTTTAAATCTAACACCAACAGCCCCGGTTCTTTTTGTCCTTTCACTACCCGCTAAATCAACGAGATGAAATTTCGCCGTCATAAATTGCCCTGATGTTGCTTCCCCTTCATTTCCGTTTTTCAATCTTTGCTCAAGAATTATTGTAAAAATTGAATGCGATCTACTGGATACCTCATTCATCAATGTGCTGCCTACGGTTCTATATAAGCTTCCAGTCTCTAAACAACCAATCATGTCATCGTATGATTGGACAGATTCTCCTTAATTCCTACAAGTAAAATTCCTTTTTTTTCATCCTCTCTGATCTGAATTAATTTTGTTGACGTTGATGGAGCTAACAGATCTTTTATCGTTTCATTGTAAATCTCAAGAAAGGAAACACGCACTGCAAAATCCGCATCCGAACGTTGTTTTATAATTTCAAAAATGTTCTGTATTACTCTCGGTATAACTCCTATTTCTTCATCTAGTAAATTTGTTGAGTTAGCTGTACCCATAGTGTAAGTTTTTCCTGAGCCCTAGTTGACAATTTAGAAAAATTATTTCTTAAGAAAACCTACAGTTTGCCCATAGGCTAGAACTGTCGCATTGTAGCCCTGAAATAATCCTTCCACTAAATTTTTAACGCTGACATCATATATTTGTTGCTAAATAAAGTTTGCATTTAATTGAAATACGCCCGTCATTTCTACTCACCTGTTGCGACTGCTGCCCAAAGACATAATCGAAAGCAAATGTTCGATCTCGTCCAACAACGATTTGATTATTTACAGGATCCGTTGTTACGCATTCTCTACTCTTCTCCAGTTTTTCCTTCGGAAGCATGGGCCTCACTCGTACTCCAACCTTCACTGATGACGAGTCCGATGATGATGGAGGTGTGGGAGGTTGTGTATTTCCATTAGTATTAAAAATGTTTGGGCTTGATTGTTGTGATGATGATCCCTCCGATGTATTATTAGTATTCAACAAGGCTTGTTGTGGTTGGTTGCACGAATGGACAGATTCGTTTTGACTCATTTTTTCTTTTAACTTTTACAAATGGCGGGAAAAAGATCAATCCTTAATATCAATCCCTTAATAATGTACACACGCTGTTCGGACTTTCTTGAACATCAACCTTTCATTATTATTTGCTTCCAGGTGTTGCAATCATCTGGAGTGAACAAGACTGCAATTAATCATTTCAAGATGATAAGGAAGCACACGTGTAATGACATGACCAAGCAGAATTCTTTTCGTCGTTATAATTTTTATTTACACTTCTAGTGTACAGAATGTTTTAAATACAAATTATTGTACATTAGTCTTTGTGTTGATCCGCAACATGTTTGATAATTCTGTAAAACGTGTTATCCATAATTGGCTTTAACGAATCTAGATCAATTGCGGTAGTGATGTGAACTCGGATATCTTTTCTATTCGTTTGCTCCATAAACTTGTTTACAATGAAATCAATGTTTCCTGTGTTGTGAAAGTGGAATTAAAATACAATGTTATGAGCAAATGCACTCAAAACTATCCTCTTACTTACGTTTGATGAAGGATTGACCAAATTCAAACCAATACTTGTAGACTCCTTTCAAAAATATTCTACTGTTTGTTCGTGTGATGTCATTTGTGATTTGTGAGTCTTCGCCAGTTGCTCTTGAGGTAGATAATTTCCAGTCAGCTGAATTAATTTTGTCCAATACTTGTTGTGCATAATTCTCTTGTTGAATATAGAGCGCATATTTAGAAATGACAATATTTTCATCAATGTCTGATTGATACCTGAGACATAAACTTCTCCAAACAAGGTCGCTATAAAAGTGTTCATGTTCAATAGGAACATGCAAATGGTGACACCGAAAGGTGCATGAAATAAATGACGGTCAAATTTTTTTCTAAAATGTGAAATAATAAATCTCAACATACCTGGTGGCAATCTTGTAAAATTCATAACTCACTTCGCTGAGAGCACATAATTCACGAGCTTCCAAAAACATGCATACATAAATCAAGGCATCTTTTGGAAGATCTGGAATTTTGTGAATATCCACTTCTTCACAATATGTCCATTCTGCGTCGTCATCTAAAACATCATTCTCAGTATCATCGTCACAATCTGCTCCAATATTGTTGCTGGTAAGTTGTTGCATTCCTCGAACGTGCACATTGGAGTAGGTCTGACTCATTATTTGTCTTAATAAATTATCATCTGAGAGTCTTTTTGCATTTCTATTCATGGTACTCAGTGAGCTACAAGATGCCTTACTTTCTTCTTCAATAGCTTGGTCGAGAATGGAAAGAGTTCTTGGAGTTTCATCCTTCTTCTTTTTTCTCTTTTGTGGAGATATCACATTTTGCCGTGAATTTGAAGCTGGTTGCACATGATGAATATTCGACTCATCCATCTCTCTTCTGGATCGAGGTGTTAAAAAACCAAACAGTGAAGGTTTCTTTTTGTTTTGAGCAAGAGCCTTCTTCAAAAGCTTTTTCTCTTCTTTTGAAATTAAATCATCAAAAATGTTCTTTTCTTCCTTTTGAGAGAGAACAAAATCATCTGCATCAACAACATCATCATCATTTCCATTTCGTATCTCATAGGAGAGAGATCTTTTGTTTCTTCGAGGTTCAGAGGAATTTTCCATGAATTTATCAAAAGATAAATCCTCTGATTCTTCTTCGAGTTGTTTCTTATGATTTCTCAGTCGCTCCTGAATAAAGTTACTAGCAAATTGATAAAATGGATTATTGGCATTCAATTTCAAGTCGTCTGGAACCTCTTTTCCAAAAGCGATGGATAAATCATATTTTTGAAGTTTTTCTAAGAATACATCATACTTGTTGAATATTAAAAATACAGGCACATCGGCAAAATAGGTTGAATTTACAATTTCATTAAATACAAGAAGACTTTCCAGCATTCGATTGGATCTTCTGTCTATGATTATGTAATGTATATATTATCATCAAAATCATGTGGTGAAGTTTGTATTAACAAGTCATCACAAACCCATCAAACCCATTGATCCATGGTAACAAAAACACACATGTTACAATAATACATCAATATGAGAATAAGAATTGCTTCTCAACACACATACCTTCATAGAGAACTTGATTAAATTCAGAAAGTGCAACGACAAAAAAGACTGCACTAACATCGTCAAAGCTGTGGATCCATTTTCTTCTCTCACTTCGTTGTGAGCCCATCTTTCAAATGATTTCACAGCAAAAGTGAAGTTCAGAATTCATGTTGAAGTGCAATGATGAGGAAATCATTTGATTCATTCACACAAGAGTAGCAATACTACTTACCAAAACTACTTTGATAGGTTTGTGCATGATATAAGTTTTTGATCCCTCCTCTGAATCTTTAACAATCTTGTGTTCAATAATGGGTTCCATATTCTGAGGTAAAATATCGTCTAAATCGAGAGTAAACTTTGTGTCTTGAAATCGATCTTGTATCGTGTAGGAAACAATATAATCTTTCTTTTTCTTTTCAAAACTTGAATATCCATCAATACTCGTTGAACCATCAAACGATTGATTGGCATGTAGCATTTCTGAAGAATGATTGGATCTCTCAACATCCAATCGAACTTTTTCATTTTCACAATTATAATAATAATAGGAAGTTTTTTTCTTAATCTTGATCGGAAAATGAAGCATGGTTTCAACAATTCCTGTTGTGCGTACTCTCACTCTCAAAATGTCACCCATGGTGGGAACATAATTTGGATCTGTAATTCTATCTAATGAAGTGAACCAATATCGAGCACTTTCCATATGTTCAAAACACAACTCGTGACCTCTGTTGTAAGTTTCCACAATTTGAGGCACTTCATTCCACAAATATTTAATTTTCTCTGCCACTGGTTTGGTCAAGTGCCAATCAGGAGTCATGGAGGATACGCTATCCATGATGGTGTCAAGGCAATCCAATAAATAGTAATCATTAATGGTATCTAATTGCTCGTATAGAATATTTCTGAAATGATTAATACTTCCATCCACCAAAGAGTACATGGCCAAAATGACATTTCTATGGATGACACTCACGTACTCACGACGGACTTCTGGACTTTTAAAACTTGTGGTAAAGTCTTCTCTCAAATCAATACTATCTTTCAAGGACTCTTCATAGATAATACAAGAATTATTAAAATTTGATAAATCTGATGCAGAAGAAGAAGAAGAGGCTTGAGTATTGAATCCACTTGTGCCCAATGTCGTATTGAAAGAAGAAGAGTGATCAAAACTGAGATTGGCTGCTCTTGGAGATTTGGGTGGAAGAATGGATGATGAATTTCCTCGATCAAACGATGCCGATGAAGGAAAGTTGCTAAAGCTTGAGCTTGCCATGTGGCTTGAAGAGGAACCAGAATAGGAGGATGGTATGAATGATGTTGGTGGATGACCCATCATCATGTGTGATTGTTGTGGTGAAAGCAATGATGATGATTGATAGGATTGTTGCTGTTGCTGTTGTGGTGTTACAGTAATCATGGTTGCTGATGTCATGGATAGAGAGGACCATGAAGCTACATTTGTATGCTGCAGGCTTCCAATCGAGAGGTGGCTATTGCTTGGCAAGGAAGATGCCATCATCATCGTACCTCCTCCCGCAGTCGTTAGGGGTGAAGACGTATTGCTACTACTATTCACGACTCCATTGTTGGTCGTTGATGATGAAGAAGAGGTGAGAGTTGTTGTGGTTGTTCCTCTCTCTCCGACTAGGCTCAGAGTCGTTCCTGGGCTTGAATGACTAAAATTATTCGTATTGAAGGATGAAACAGGAGAAGTAGAAGAAGGAGTCGTGGAAGAGATTCCGGAATTCATTGCCGAAGAGTTGTTAGGCGTGGTGGGAGCAATGAATTTTCGCTTTGGAGGATACCAATACTTGAGAGCTTTGAACATGGTTGATTTTCCTCCTAAATGAGATCCATCCATCGGTTTGTATTATAATCATGAATGACAATCATCACCACCATCCAAATTATTATAATAAAACATCACACAATGTATTTCCATATTTGAAAAATTCGATTTTCTCTTCAATAATGATGTCTCCTTACCTTCTCCTGTTCCCAGCAACACTATTTTTGTGGGCTTCTTGACAGCCTCTAGTGGATCATTGGGTGCTGAGTTGTGCTGGTTGACTCTTGCCGATAAATTTGGGTAAAGCAAAGCAGCATTTTGTTGATGTGACAGTTTGACACCCATTTTTTTAAAAGTGAGCACTGGATCAAGAAATCATTCTCATCTTTGTGGGCAACTCCTTCTTGAGTCAACAACACTCGCTGGTAACAACAAAAACATATGAAATTTGAGATGAAGCAATATTGAACCACCTCATATGAGTGAATGGAAGAGTCTGACAAAAAAATGCAGCATCACGACATGTCGGCTCCATCCAAAAAGCCACAATACACACTTGCTGTAGTTGGTTTTCGAAAGTGTGGCAAAACCGCCTTGATGAGGAGGTTGTTGTTTGGGCTGAGCGATCATGATGAATTCTTTCGCAAAGAATTAAAAAATATCAACAATCCAAACCAGTGCACTACTGTTGGAGATCAATGGGAGAAATTACAAACTAGTCTCGAAAACAAGAATGGACTCTTCATTTCCATCTTAGCTTTGAAGAAATTGTGTAGCACTACATCAAATACTCCAAACTTTGATCCGTTCTATCGATTTCCGAAATTAATGAATGACCGTTGGAATAGTGATTTACTTTTGAATTTATTTGATATGCCTTCTTTCAAAGGAGGATTTCAGAAAACGGTGATGAAGGGTTTATCATTATCGGATGGAGTGATATTTATGATTGATTGCGGAATGTTGGCAAATTATTGGAAAACACGTCACTGTTCCAAGAAAAACTTGGACGACATTTGGAATAGAATAGTTACAGAGTCACTCCATTTCGTTTATGCATATGGAAATATGAACGATCTCATTGTTGTACTCAACAAGATGGATCTCGTTTCATATTCCCAAGAGTTTTTTATATTTGTAGAAAGACGAATTTATTCAACTTTGCAAGAAAAGTGCTGTTCTTTTGGTATGATTCGTTCAATTTCCATAATACCAATATCAATTTTGGATGAAGAAAATATTGAAAATACATCTAATATAATGAAAGAGTGGAAATCAATGAACTTACTACAATGTGTTAGGAATTTAAAATCTCCAGCATGGAAACCATATGCTCCTCTTCGAATGATTCATCACCGAACATATTCATGTATGGTCTTGGCACAGTTGTAACAGGAAAGGTGTTATATGGCTCTCTACCTGTTAACCTCGAGTTTTATTGTTTCAATGAAAAAGGCATAGACTATCAATGCAGGTCTTGGTTCCTTTACAAAAGTTGAAGTGAAAGCCATTACTTTCAAATCTACAGTTTCTATATTTTCTCTCGAAAGAAAGCTGCTTGGTTATGGCATGGTGGTGAAATCGAAATTCATTTCTCTGCAACCTTATTTAAAATTAGAACACATTGGCATTTCCAACAAATCTATCAATGCACACAGGCATGGATGTCGGAGCTCTATTCTTTTCTGATTGTGTGTATTGATAGATTCGTTGGAAATGCCAATGTTTGATGTTGTTGGAGGAGTTTTATTCCTGGGCAATCACGTTGTTTGATTACCAAACGCAGTGTAAAAAAATTATGAATTCCCTTCGTGCACACCAAAAGCATTCATCACCACCAAGATCGAAGAAGAACAACAACAACATTTGGCATTCCATTGAAACACCTCTTCACATGACACCATCTTGCAGCAGTAATAGTAATAGAAAACCGATGATGAACACCTTCTCAACATCCCCTTCTTTGACATTCCAGCAACCTCAAAATTTTTACATGTTCAGTTGTTTTCAAGAAGATGAAACAGTGTGTCGCACCAACCATGAGAATGAACACCACCACAGCATGCTGGATAAGCTTTTGAATTGTTTAGTGGTACAGGCGCCTTTTTATCTTCAATGCAACAGCAGCGAGTCAGGAGGAGGAGGAGGAATTCGACACACCCAACAACATGTTGTTGTTGTAGATTCTCACTCCACTGTCGCACAACATGATGTAGAGTCAGCACCAAGCACTGAGGAAAACAACTCCCATCGAGTTCTATCATCATCTTCTTCACAGCATGCGACTATGAGTGTATTAACACCTCCGCCATCATGGCTACAACATGCATCATTACTTGAGAACATCAGACAAGATCCTTTGCAACATGTGAAGGATTTGCAACACACACATCTCTCTAGACTTCTCACGTATATTCATAACAAGAAAGAAACATTCACATGTTTGAAATTTGATATATTCTCAGCACCAAATGCTCAACATAAAGAGAGAATTAACAAAGCAATGAGTGCTGTCTATGTGGTTTCAGGAATACTATACTTTCCAAAAAAGGAATACATTCGGTGGAGTTTAAAAGCCATGTTGGACGCTCTCAGAACACGAAAGAGTTATCGAGAAGAAATTCGATTTGGATTTTAGTGAAAAATCAATTTTATTATACAACATGTGATGCAAAGAAAGTGAATTTTCCAAATTGCGACAACATGCTCGAGTTGAATACAGATGATACTGTTTCTTTGAGGAGGGAAGAAACATTAAATGGATTTTCAAGAAAGGTTGTTTCTCCTACAAGTGCTGTGTTCCAATTTAAACATTCCTCATTTCAAAGATATCATCCTAATACACCTCTTCCTAGTCTACAGATTGAAAAAACGATATTAATTTGTAAGAAATTGACAAAACCCACTTCTACTATAAATAAGAAAGGAAAAGAACATGATATTTGGTTTGTGCCGGATAAGACATCATCACCACTTACTGGAATTATGCATGCTGCAGATTTTGATGAATGAGTCACTTTCGAAAGATACGATTCGGTACCTAGAATCGAATTAATATAATGACAGGAGAATAAGTGTCAAGAAAATCAACGAGCGGACAGAATTGATCCGTTCAAATGAATTGAACGAAAAGCGCTCTCATCCATACTAAGTTTAAAATTGTGTTTGAAAATAATTACATTGAGGAAATTTAAATAGATCTGATTTTGGGATTGGATTGACTGAAAGTTCAAAAGTAATCGCTGTCCAATCCATCGATCATGGTTAATTAAATTACCTCATTGACATTTTCAAATGACAGACTGGTGGATTGAAAGTCCATTAACAATAGCAAGTTTTCGTAAAAGAATTTGATTAGTGTTGTAAAATTCTTCTTCTTATGGAAACTGGGAATACATGAACTACTTTCAATGTGGGGGTCTGATTCGTGTGCAGGTTGTTGTTGTGGTTCCACATGATGATCATCCTCCTGTGATGAAGATCTAGCTCTGGTGAATTTAATGTTTCATTCCTTTTCACTTTTGGTACATTCTCATCCACTCAAATTGTCAACACTCGAAAACTCTCCTCGATTGAAGTTGATCTTTTCACTGCCTCTGTTTCTCAAGGAGCAGACAAAATGGAAGTGACAAGATTTTTGAGTGAATGGGAATAATTGCGCCTTTATTTCATGTTGAGTTTGTGCTCATCAACCGATCATGATGATTTATATTTGTATATTCTTTTTGAATGTCAATAAATTCTATTGCTGAATGAATACTTTTTTGCTGAAAAAAAGTTTGGACCCTGCATGGTACTGATGGGAATTCCAAAATTTAAAAATTCATAAACTTGGACCTCTCATCCAGAAAGTAATCTTGTTGCATTGGAAAAATTAAATGAATTACTCCCCTCTCTCCTCTTCTTCAAACTCACCATCTTCTCCAATATTTCCTTCCAGCATTCCATCGATTGAATTTCTTTCATCACCGACCAACACTTCACCCATAGATTCTTTTTCTAACTTTGAAAGCTTTACATGGCCAAATCAAGAGGTTCAGAATGAACATCATCTTCAAGTCCCTTCGTCCTCCTCTGAGACTCTGAAACCATCTCAGGAAGAACCTGTAGAGTCATTACTTTGGCTTCAAAACACCTATTTCTTAACAAAACTTTTTGAAAAATCCAATGCATTGGTCAAGAAAAGAAAACACACACACTTCTCACGTCTCGTTACCTATCTTCGAAACAAGGATTTTAAATACTCCTCTCTGGATGTTGATCTCTTTACTGCTCCCAATGATCCTTTAAGTGAAAAACTCGAAAAAGCAACACAGGCCATCTATTTGCTCTCTGTTCATTTTGAATTCCCACAACACGTCGAATACATTCGATTTAGTTTGAAATCAATAATGGATGCAGTTCCAATGCTACAACATCTTCCAAGAGGCAAATCCATATGGGTGAAAATTAAGAATCAATTCTACTACACCACCTGTGATGCTAAGGAGGATCGTTTTCCAAAATGTGACAATATTATTGAATTGAATCAAGATGATACTATATCAAGCAAAAAATTGGATAATTTGAATGGTCTTAAAGCTGTGTCACCCACTGGAGCTGTATTGGAGTTTTCTTTGGAAAAGTTTCAATTCTATCATCCGAATACGAGCTTACCATGTGATCGTCTTCATTCAAGAATTGAGCTGGTTTGTGAGAGACGGAATAAACCAAACACCAAGAAAAAAATTGATGTATGGAGTGAAAGGACTGACACTTCATTTTCAATCTTGAATCAATAAAGATCAAGCTGAGCGAATAACTCATCCTTTACAAAAAAATGTCTCCAAAGTCCAGAATTGGAACATGGGATAATTTGCTTCCAACTTTTTAAACTTGTTAAACAAGCGTCCTATGAACGCGTGCTATCGAAGGCTTTAGTGGCAACTTTGGAAGGAAAGAGTCAAAATGAAGAAACTGAAAGAAGGCAGGACGAAGAAGATCGTCCTCTCCATGTTGCTCAAACTCTTTCTCATTTAGGTTCAAGAATTCATGAAAGGATGATCCGATATGTACAATATTCCATGTTTTATGGTGTACCCATTTCAGATCAAATGTCATCAACCATCGAATTCATGTGCTCTTTTCTCAGAACGAAGTCATCATGGCATGCATCTATGCTTGTTTTATTTTGCATGATTGTGAATTGAGTGTGGTGGATAGTGATTCCATTTTGAAGATTGTTAAGGCAGCAAACATCCAAGTTCCTTCAATTTATGCCGAATTGATTGCCAAGTACGATTGAAACGGATATTGGAACTTTCAGCTTTTGATTTCTCTCATCATGATGCTACTGCTATCTCTGCAAGTTCTGCTCCTGCCAGTGCACCACAACGTTTGCGTGAAGTGCAAGAGTATGGACCAGCGAGCGATGAGGAGCATGTATTTTATGGTCCAGGTCTTTTTGACTAGATAGTGAAAAGTTTATTGAGCTCAAAGTATTTGATCAAAGAGTAAATTCGATACCTCTTGTTATCTGAGCGTTTGATGCATATTCATATACGAGATCTCAACCAATATTTGTTTGTCAATTTCAATGAATCCAACTTGCAAACACAATTACAACCCTGGAAGACTCGAAGATGAGGAACCAAAACCTAAGCCAGGAAGAGAGGACGAGGTGGAGCCAAGACCTGGCAAAATACCTGATGTGAATAAATCTGATGTTGTTGTTGCATGATCACTGATATGAGTTTCTTCTTTGTGAACTTGCTGTTGTGTTTTTTGTTGATTACCCATGCTCTGAAGTAATTGCTGAGCATCAGCAGGAAGTTCATGAACATTATACTTGTCATCCATTTTGTCACCAGGTCTATTTCTGACCCAAAATTTTGTGGAATAGTCATTACTACCAGAGCACAAAACATGTCCAAAAGGGTGCCATGCTAAATCCCATACAGCATTGGCATGTGCATCCTTAATTTTTGCTTGAGGTGATTTGTTACCAACAACCCAGAACATTATATTTCCATCGTAGGATCCACTGCTAAATAAATTTTCGTGATAAGGATGCCATGCTAGACATGTGACTTCTCTGTTGTGACCCTTAAATGTCTGAAATTCCTTCAAATATCTGATATCATACAACTTGATAAGTTGATCTTTTGAGCAACTTAACACCCAGTTTCCGTTCATATTCCACTTGATATTAAAAATTGTATTTTTGTGTCCATAGAGTGTGGCAACGTTTTTTCCTGAACGAGCATCCCACAGTTTGACCAAATAATCTTTGGCTCCACTTGCTATTAAACTGTTCCTTGGATGCCAATCACAACATCTTACGTCACTACTGTGACCACTTAGCGTTTTTTCTACAGCTGCTCTTTCAAAATCCCAGACTTTTACAGTACCATCATCTGAACAACTACAAAACTTAGAGTCTGAGGGAGCGAATCCCAAATCTCTGATACATTCCTCATGTCCTTTAATCGTTTTCACTCCGTTCATGTTTGGTTGCCAATATTTTATCACTCCACTGTTGTCAGCACTTGCCATGAACGTATCATTGTGATTCCAAACCATTGCTCTGATTGCGACATCATGAGCTTGTTGAATAGTTTCAAAGTTAAAAGCCATTCCATTCCAAAGTGTAAATTCTCCCGTGGATGCTCCTGTTAATAATCTTCTTCCATCTGGCGTCCAACACACTACATGGATTGGACATTTCATCTTGTTTATACTTGCGTGCTCGAACTTGGTAGCGATACATGTTGTTGGATTTTGTCTAATTGATGATGGTGGAAGTAAATTAATTTCATATGCAGGATTCGGAGGAATGTATTGAAAATCGTGTTTAGATCTTTCATAAAGTCTTGTTCTCATCAATTGAATAACAGTTGGATTGTAATCAATGAATTGTCTATCAATGGCTTTTCTCATACGTTTACCATCAAACACCATCTTACTTTGGGGTTGCTGTATAAAGTTTGGCATGATCGGGCCCTCATCAGTATTATTAGCTTGTCCCACAGGAAATGATGTCATTTGTTGTTGTTGATTATGATGATGATGATAGTTTTTATCTCCTAGAGAAGGATTTTGAGCCAAAGCTGCAGCAATCCCTCCTTGAGGTTGTTGAGTTGAACCATCTTGTTGTTGTTTCGGAATACGTGGTCCTCTACCCATCATTCCTGAATTTCTGTTCTGATTATTCGGATTGTGTTGTTGTTGTTGTTGTTGATACGGATGGTGATGATTGCCTCTGTTATTGGGCGGCGTGTGCATTTGCTTGCCTGTTTGTTGTGGTGGTGGATTCATTTTTTAATTCAGTTGTATTGAGGCACCGAAGGGCCAATAAACAATATTTAATTTTTTAATTCAGTTGGTTTTTTGTTGAACAGGTCAAGAGTTGAAATTATCTTTCGTAATGTTTTTTTCACAATGATCATAGAGTCAGTTGTTGATTTACCTTCAACAAGTTTCAAAAAGTGTTTTTGTCATATATTCGATCGAGATTTGTTGGAGCAAAGTAGGAACCATCGTATTTCAAATGGCTTGAAAGATGAGAGAGGTCAAAAAAACATCATCCAAACTTTAGCTGAAAACGAATCGAACTCGTTCTTGAAATTATTGTCAATTCAAAAAATCAAGAAAGCGCAAAGAATTTTCGTTCTTCTCTCGCACACACACGTGCACGGTTTAACGGTGTGGTCCTGGTCAAAGGTGGGTGGTGACAAATATTGTCCTAGTACCAATTTCCAATTTCATCATCATCATCAAAAAAACCTTTCCCATTCTCATCACTATCAGCACGCACCCGTCTCCCATCCATTTCGTCAGCAGTTGTGTTGAAAATATCCAAAAAATGATCAGAAACAACCACTCGAGCCTCCATCGAATGTCATCTTCTCCCATTCCAGCTACATCTTCAACGCCGCTCTCGACGGCATCTCTTCCATCCGATATCCTTACGAATGGAGTAGGTCCATTTTCTCCAACAAACAATGATAATGGCAGTACGACCTCTCCGAGTACTTTGGTTGGTGGAGAGGAACAAGAAGATAGAAAATTTAAAAGACTCTCCTATGTGATGACAGATGACAACCAAACAACATCTCAAATGGAGGATTATGATGTGGACCCATTACAAACTATGGAACAAAACATCACTAGTTTACACACAATTATTGACAAATTATCAATACTTTTCAAACCACTCCAACCATCATCACCCAATGACATGAGTTCAAGTAGCAATAATCTTCTCCTGATGTCATCATCGTCATCATCATCATTGAACAACAATTCATTTTATGGCTCCAACACAACAACACTTTCTATTACTAAAGTTGAGCCACAATTTGGTTTACTTCAATCACGTACCAAAGTCACTATTTATTTCAATTCTCCAATTTTCACCAACATTCCTTCTACTATTACTACTAATCAACTCAAACCAGAAGAAAGATTTAAAATTGTATTTGGAAAACAACTCATCGAACCAACTATTAACCTTTCAGAACAAACTCTTTCATTTTTCACTCCTCCAATTTCCAATTTGGTTGCTGCAACATCATCTCCAACAACCTCTTCAATCTTGAATACTATTGCGAATAACAGCCACGAGATTAAGGTCTTGGACTTGTCCAATTGTCAATTTATCACTTCGAATCCAACACTCACATTTACGTTTCTGACAGATCCAAAAGAGGAAGTACTGACAGATTTGGAAAAGGTAAAAACACTCTACAATGAAAAAGGAGTGTCATGGTTGCATGAGAAAACATATCCAAAAGGCCAAACAGTGGTACATGTTGCTTTCAAACTTGCTCAATTTGAAGTTGTGAAATATCTTGTCACACAATCCGATCAAATCGATTGTCTCGATCAAAAAGATGACAATGGACAAACACCTCTCGATGTGGCCATGGCTGCTAAAAATTATTATTTCATGACACAAATTGTTGAATGGTTGAAAACCATTGTGAAACAAAAAATTCAAATGCAACAAATGCAATACAACACGACCAATCAAGCAGCCATTATGATGAATGATCAACAAAAAGAACCCAATTCGCCACAAATTGCAACCACCATCTCCACTCCAACCAAAAAACTTGTTTCTCCTCTCTCTATTAGTCATATCTCCAATAATGAAACGAATGAATTTTCCTCCACTCCAATCAACGCCATAGAACCACCCATGACTCCTTCTCGATCTTCTCGAGCTGCTCTAATAACTACTACTCGTGAATTTGATGGTGGTCCAACTTCAAGCTCAGTACCCACCACTCTTTCTCCACTCTCATCAAGAATGAGCAGTCATAATGAATGGAGTGAGGATGGTATGAGTGGTGGCCAGAGTGGTGGTGGTGGTGGTGGCCAGAGTGGAAGTGTTCACAGTAGTGGTAGTGGCATGAGTGTTGCCAATAATGGAACTTTAATGAAACACCGGAGTGGTCACAAACGATTATTTACATCCTCCTCCTCCTCCTCCTCAGGGGTTCCTCTCAAAGCGGTGAATCAACCATCACCATCACTTGTGATGACAACACCAATCAGTAATGCATCAGCGGATGAAGATGTGTCGAGCTCGACCGATGAAGAATCCGATGCAGTCTATACTGCTGGTACTCCCATACGTTCAGTTGCAACGTTGGAAGAACGAGAAGAAGAAGCCATTGCCAATCTCATTGTGAAATATCGATTGGATCAATATAGTGAAATTTATACAAACATGTCGAATAGAGATGATATTTTAGTTCAGAAAATCACTAAAAAGTTGGAAATGAAAGATGATTGGGGTGACAATGCCACAAAAAAGAGAAAAGAAACCATGCTTGTCCCTCTCACAAGAGAACGATCATTTTTAGAAGAAGTTCAATTAGAGAGAAGAGCCAATCCTTTTAAACCAAGTATTTACTACGATGAAGAAGTCGATGATGGTTACACAGAGAGTACTCTCTTGTTGTCTCAATTTTTTGAAGATAGTGCTAAAAATCTTCCTTTCCATGTGTTGAGTACCATTCAGACCATGTCTTCTGATTTTATTATTGTGACATTTAAAACACTCTTGGATCACAAATCTAAAGAATTAGTATTCAATGTGGATGATTTGAAACCAATCACTTATGAAATGGATGTGAGTGATCGAATTCGAAAAAAGACAGAGGATAGAAAAAAGCTCAGTGCCACCTCACCCTCACCCTCATCAACAACTTCATCATTGGACGAGTTGGATGTCTCTCTAGTCATTCCAGAAAAACAAAAAATCCTACCCATGGAAGGTTTACAAGATTCTGAGTTTTTGTTGGCCACCTTTGAAGATGTATTTCCATGTGAAGATCAACAAAAAGTGACCAAAAGCAATGATGATACCAAACTACTCTACTCGGATTTTGAATGGGAGTCTTCACATATTGACCCTACTTCACAATACTTGTTTGAATTGAAAGGTTTTGAACTCGATGTCAACAAAAAGTTCGAAGTTCCTCTCGAAGAAGCCTATTTCATCACAGTCTCTCTGTATACCTACACCGACAAGGCCTATAAGAAAATTTCAGAGGATGTTGAATTTAAAATTGAAACTCATCCAAAGGAAGAAGACACCATTACAAAAGTGAAGGCCATGTTCTCTGTTCAAAAAACGATGGAATCCAAAGTTGTAGTTCTCATCAAATTTTATAGAAAGTTCAGAGGAGAATTAACGGAAACTCTGAATGATTTCTACACACAAAAAGCAGAAAAAGTCAAACAAGGAGATGTGAAAAAGTTTTTGACGAGGAATGAAAAATTCTCAACCTTCCCAGGCATTGCCAATACAACTTCCATCTTTGCATGGACAGCCATTCACTTACATGAATGTCTCAGAAAGACAGAAGTCCATTTAACCGATTGTCTCTATGTGTTACCATTGAAATGTCGATCAGGAGATGCTACTTTATTGGATAATTATTTAGATGTTTACACCAATGTGGAGGATCGAGATGACAAACCACTCATGAAAAAATCACTTTATGGAAAAATGTCATTTGTGTTGAAGGAGTTACCAAATGTTCCACCAATTCCTCGACACTATCATCCAAATTCACATGAATTAGTGATCAAATTAGATTCCAAACATTTAAGAGTTCAACACATTCCAAATTTGGAAAATAGTTTAATGACAAAACTTTTACCACTCTCGAGTGAAATGATTGTTTATCCTAAAGAGTTGAATTTAGTGAGAAAAGACTACAAGAACATTGTGGTTCGAGTCTCATTCTGTAATGAGAAAGAAAAACACAAACCATTCCATGTGTTTTATTCCAAGTTTTCAAGAAATCCAGCGAATCGAGTCTCTCATCGACAAACCTCTGTCTGTGTTGGAAATCGACAACCTGAATTCAGTGAAGAATTCAAATGTATTTTACCATGTACATTGAGTGGTCAACATATTTTCTATTTTGAATTTTTAAATATTCTTCATAAGGAATCATTGATTTTAAAGAATCATCGTGAAGATGTTCAACGTATTGGTTATGCGACTCTGAGAGTATTGTCTGATCCCAAGATGAATAGCACTGAAACTGTTTTGGATATTTACACAGAACGAAAGGAAGGAAATGTGATCAAGACTGAAAAATTGGAAGGATCTTTCACGGTTCAATTGTACTCGAGAAGTATTGCCTTTCCAACCGATGAAAATCTTTCGAACTTTTTCCTATTTTTGGACAATTTTCAGAGAAAGAATACGGCAAAAGGAGCTCGAAAAGAACGAGATTTCTTTGAAGAGCTGACCAATCGAGAGTTACTTTCCATCTTGCCAGGACTCAGTAAGGTTCAACAAATGGCATTTGCTCCTGTGATTCTCAATCAACTCTTTCTCTTGTACTTTGATATGAGTGATGAAGATCTTCAAAATTCCATCTTTTGTACCATCATTGATATGGTCGATAAGTATAGAACGGAACATCGAACCATTGTTCCTGGATGGATCAAATTCCAATTCACAAGTGTCTTTCCAGAAACCATGATGACCAAATTACCCATGATTGCTACTTCGGTCAAGTCTATTTTAGAAAAACCCGAATACGATAGCAAGGTGATTAAGAATGTGGCTTGTTTGTTCTCCATCTTGTTAAAAGCCATGGTGGTTCATTTGGATTATGTGAAAAACAAGTGTCAAGATACCAACTATGATTTTGATGATCATTTCTATGCAACCATTAATACCATTACCACCAAATCGTTTCGAGGACTTTTGAGGAGAAACATTCTCACCACTCGTCCAGTGACAATTATCAATACGACTGTGATTTATGCTCAATTTTTGAAAATTCTCTTTACCATTATTGACAAACCCTATGTGATGAAATTGATTGCTTCTTTTGTTGAACTTTTACCTCTCATTATTCCAAATGAAAATGAAATGGATAAGAAGAGTAAGAATACCATTTTAGAATGTGTGGCCAATCTTCAAGTTCTTACCTATAAGGAAGTATTTTCCTATGACAATTATCTTCAATTATTTATTCCAGAATCGGTTGAAAACATTTTGAAACAAGAAACACTGCCAGTTTTAGATGGCACTCATTTCTTATTCAGTTCCTTTGTGGATGTCATTCTCAAAAATATCACAAGTCCAATCAAAGAAATTAGAAACAACACGTCTCTCATTTGGAGAGAATTTCTTGTCAAGTTGCTCATTCTATCGAAAAGTCCACTCTTTGAAGATGCTACAGAAATTGATGACCGAATTCATTTAATGACTTTTGAATTTGTTGAAAAGTTTCTCACTGTTCTTCAAGATTGGAGAACGGAAGTGGACAAGAGTGTGAATTCAAACAAGATGAAAATGAATGACTGCAAAAAACGAAAGATTATGATTCAACAACAATTGGCTGCAAAGAAAGAATCTCAAAGATCAGCAAAAGAAAATTCTCTTGCAAACTTTCAAGTCGATACACTCAACAAGGAAATTCAAATTCTCGAAACAAATTACAAACAATTTGATAGCATGATCAACAAGACAAAAGAAGAATTGAAGAAAGACATGAAAGAGTCTTTTAAAGAGAAGAGACAACTTGTTGCTTGTATTTTCCACATTTTGAAAAATGTTGATCAGAGATATTTACAACGATGGATCAAAGAATCCATTTCATCCAAAAGAATTCAATTTTTACAATTAATGCAATTAATGTTACAATCATTCGAATATCAAAGTGAGGAATACTTTAAGGTCTTTTATGAACATTATTACAATACTCAAGTCAAAGTCAAAGCAAAAGAAGAAAACAAATCGAGTGGTGAATATCCTTCTTCCATGATTGCCAATGCGAATAGTCCAAATCATACTTTGAACAAGTCCTTGACTCCCACTACCATTAGTAGTAGTAGTAGTAGTACTGGTGGCAACCATGTTGGTGGTAATAGTAGTCATGGTAATAGTACTGGTAGTAGTAGTAATGGTAGTGGTGGTAATACTGGTAGTGTTGTAAACATCAATTCAAGCAACCAACAACAACAACAACAAGCATGGTCCATGACTTCGAGCCATTCCACTCCCACTGCTGCTGCTTCTGCAACAACCAATAGCACCTCAAACACCTCATCAGCAACAACAACAACAACAACCACCACCACCACCAATAACACTTCAAACACTCCTCATGAAACTCCTCAAGAAATGATTGCAGGTGAAATTGAAGAAATTCCATCACCAAAAACTGCAACTTCTGAACTTGTGAAAGCAGGTCATTCACTTCAAAAGAAAAAGAACAATAAGGGATTTTTATCTCGACTTGTTCCAGGAGCAGCAAGATTTGTGAGTTCCGATCAAAATCTGAGAGAAGATGTCAAAGAACTTCGTTCTTATCACTCCAAGTCAAAACTTTTGGAATCATCGGACAAGACCAAATCAGTGAAATTGGAAACAAGTGCCACCAATTATGTTAAAAAGTGTGTCATTATTGAACAGAATTGGTCCAGAGAAGTTTCCAATTATGTCTTTGAGTTACTTGTCTTTTATGTGGAATACATTTTGAATAATTCCTCAGTTGAACAATTGAATGTTCAAATATTGGATTCTGCCAACTTGTTAGACCATATTGTCAAAATCTTTTTGAGCTTTTTGAGAATTAATCAACCTGAAGATGTTTTGATCAATGTTCTAATTTATCTCAAAAGCTTCTTTGCAACGAGTTATCGATCTATTTTTGATGAAGAAATTAATGCACAATATCCAACACTATTCTGTGAATGTTTAATGATGCATTGCAATTCTCCATTGGTTGAAGTGAGACAACACGCCACTGCTTGTCTGTACTTGTTGATTCGATACATGTACATGATTAATTATAATACGATTTTGAAACCACAAGTTCTCACCACATTGGCACTTTCCAAAACACTACAAAAATTTGTATCTTCTATTGTGAATATTGATTATTTGAAGAGTGCCATTGATGCCATTGGAAAGTATGCGTATTTGGATCCTAATCCTCCATCCTCATCACAACATTTACAACATTTACAAAATTTAACAGTGAAACCAAGTCAAAACCATGGCATTGACAATGGAAATAACAATGGAAATAATAATACCATTGCCAATGACAACAATGCCATTGACAACACGAGTTTCAATCATCATGATAGTATTCATCATCGTAGTAGTAATAGTAATGATAGTAATATCAAAGGATTACTATTACGACCATCTGCTTCTTCGGAAGGAGTCCAATTGAATTCCATCTATTCCAATCTCTCAAATATTGAACACGAAGTGAAATTGAGATCCACCGTTCAAGACAAGACTGAAGAATCAAGTTTTGCTGAAGAAGTGAATTCACAAGTCTGTAAAAAACTTTTATCTCTTCTTCAGGACACTACGAGTGTGAAAACAACTCTTGCTCTCGAAGACATTCACAAAACCGAAGATTTATTCTTGAGAATTTCACATGTCTATACACGTATTCCAGAATTGAGATTTGTTTGGTTGAATCAACTTGCTGCCAATCACATCAAACATGGTCAATATTTAGAGGCCAGTCAATGCTATTTGACTATACTTTCATTGGTGTTTGATCATTTAGAATCGACAAAATCTCCAATTCTGAATGGAATTCCATCTCAAAACTTGGCTGCCATTTCTCCACTCAAGAGATTGAAACATCAAGTAGTGGCTGGAACTACTACTACTAGTACTAGTATTCATAACAACAATGGCAAATCCATCAATTCATTAATGACGATGGGTGATTGTTTCATTTCCAATCAAGCCATTGAATTCACAGAACATGGAATTATGACTTTATTGACCAAGGCCATTGAAGCTTTAGAATTGGCAGAATTCTTTGAGACTTGTATTGTCTTGGAAAAATTGGCCATTCCATTCTTGGAGAGAGTCAATGATTGGGAACGATTGGCCAATACTTATCATCATTTACAAGACTTATGTGATCGATTGAAAAAACCAGATCGATTAGAACCCTACTATTACAAAGTAGAATTGGTGAACTTTCCAGCCGATAAGGCACAACCCAGTCACATTTACAAAATGCCAAAACTCTTTAAATTATTCAAAATGAACAAATGGGTTCAAGAGAAATTTGGTTCACCTTTCATGAATGACACGATTGAAGTTGTGAGTGGTGCCAAAAAGGTTGATATTGATCCCAATAAGAAGTATATTTTCCTCACTCCTGTGAAACCTCTCACGAAGGAAATTAAACAACCGGTCATTGGAAATCAAAAAATTTCCAAATACGAAGGAAGTGTGAACAAGTTTTACTATGAATCTGCTTATGGAAAGAAAACAGAACTCGTCACTGAAGCCTATAAAAAGAAGGTGATTATTACTTGTGTGGATTCTTTCCCATCCATGAAGACACGATTAATGATTGAAGCAGAGAAGGAAATTATTTTAACACCTATTGAATCAGCCATTGATAATATTGATTCACAAATTTCTAAATTGAGAGATGCTTTACAAATTCCTGGTCAAGATGAAGATATTGATATTTCACAAATTACGATTGGAACAAATATTGATCTTCAAAACTTGCAACTCGTTCTTCAAGGTTCAATCAAAGCCACTGTTCAGGGAGGTCCTGCCAGTATTGTTGAAGGTTTTTTAAAGATGGATCAGAGACCATTGTATCCCATTGATCACATTATTACATTGAATCGAAAATGTCACATTTTCTTGAGATTGTGTGAAGAAGCTGTCAAAGTGGAAAATCAAATGATTGATAAGGCAACAGAAAGAGCATTCCATCAAGAAATGGAGAAGGCTCTCATAGAAACTCAACACTTATTCGCACAACATTTAACTCCTATTGATTATGAAAGATTTTATACTCAAACTCCAAATCATCAAAATTACAATAATGAAGGAGATGAAAATGGTGATGTGGAAACTGGAATTAGAAACTTACGTCTAGGTTTAGGAGAAGAACATATGGATGATGATTTGTTGTAATTGGTGATGATCCTTTTTTGGTCATGATTGGAAATTTTTAAAATGTTTAATGCAGTTCAGGTGTTCACTCAATGAAATCCTTGTTCCAAAATTATTATAAGTTCACTGTTCTGAGTGATAGTAATAATAATAGGTTGACCAACAGAAAAAATGCTCCAAAGTGTTGTTCCCGTTCGCGAGAATACAGACCATCAACCCCTCACCACCACCATCCCTTCTTCCTCTCCTGTTCATGACGATTATGAGATTCATGATGGCAAATCAGATCATGGATCAATCTACAAAATTGTCGTTCCAAAATCAACAACTTGGAGACTAGCAAGTATTAAGGGAATTTACATTTGGTGTCATGGATACCGACCACTCGGAATTCCATTAACCGCCATTTTTGATTACCATGCAGAGCCTTATGCAACTCTTCTCAGACGAGGTTTTATTCTAGCCTCAACCTCTTATCGTAGAGAAGGATATATTCTAAAAGATGCAGTGGAAGATATTGATGAATTGCGAAGATTTATTCTGGATCAATTTGTATCTCCAAATGATGCATCAACACCCTATTTTACAGTATTATTAGAAGCTGAGAGTATGGGAGGTGCTATTGTCACACTTCTTAATGAGAGATATTCTCGACAACACTATCATGGAATCATAGCAACTGGAGCAGCATTATTTATTCAAAAAGATCCAGTGGACAATCCCATTCAGTTTCTCTTTACACCTCATATTCCTCAAATTTATATATGTAATTCATCGGAGGTTTCTATTGTGAAAGAGTATATTGAAAAATCGAAGGAGGAGAAAAAACGAGATTCTTCCATTATCATTCCTAATTTATTAACTGTTGAAAGAGAAGGACATTGTGAGGTTTTTACTGAAGAAATTCAAATTGCATTCTCTGCATTATTTGAATGGCTGAAAGATGAAAGTTATTTTGACAATTTAAATCAAGAATCTCATGATATCACCTTGTATTCTTTAGAGATGGAAAGAGAGTTCAACAGTCAAAGTTCTAGCAAGTTACAAATAGTCACAGAAATGGTCAACTCACAACCAGTTCGAGGAGTTTGGATCTTGGTGGATGAAGTTTCTCTTTACAACGAAGTGATTTTGAGAATTGGAAGGGAAGATTTTCGAAAATTGTTTATTTATCCTTACAATCAATTCACCATGTATGTTTCCAACAGTAGCAAGAGTAATGAAAAGTTTTCTTTGGATACTGCTAAAAAGTTTGAAATTCTACATGCATCCTATCCATTTGCAGGTATCGATGTTGGTACTTTAGTATCAAGTTTTAACATTGATGACAACTTGATCATTCGAAGGCATTTTACAGGAAATAATTTGAATGCTGCAGGTACGGAGATGGGTGTTCAAATCTCTCATTGGGTATTTATTTTAGAAAAAGAAATGAAGAGGACTTCTAGATTCAATCAGTAGCTATTCGATCAGCATTTTCATATTGAGCTCATTGTTCAAAGTGAAGAATTGAATACAATACGTGGTGTAGCATATGTCTTGAGAGCGAACAATTTCAAAGTAAAAAGTGAGAATTGCCTTTAAAGGGCAAAACCAGGTAGGATCAATACAATGACACATCAAAACTGACCCCCCTGCTCCGGAGAGGGGGGTATCTCCGGACCGTCATTTTATCGCTGAAGAATCTTTTGAACGAATATTTTATGCAGGCAACTGACGGCGGAGTGCTATTTATTGCAAAGTATTGTGGTGTCCTTGTATTGGACCATAAAAAAAATGAATAATACATCCCCTCCAAATTGCCTTGTTTCGGAAGCGATCCGAATTGGTTGCTATTTGAATTTATCAAATTTAAAATCGTTCATGTTGGTATCAAAGAGTATTTGTGAGGAATTGAATTCAGCTACTTCCGAAGAAAAATTATGGAAATTTCATTACGAACGATTGAGTGTGTTGGATAAAAAGCTTTCGGGAAGCCTACTTTCCAGAAATCATGATGAAAAGCTGTTCAAAATTAAATTACAACAGCTTGTATTAAGTATTAAATTTGATAAGATGAAATCTATATTCTCTTCTAAAAAAGGGCAATACATTCTCTTGCAAGATGTCGAATTTCCATCCAATAGTAACAGCTTGGAAAGAAATTCATTACAATTGATAGATCATCTCAACAATTTCCTCTATTTCAATAATAAGAACAAGGGACATGGAGATAGAATTCTCAAGTGCTTGATCACAATTATTAGAGCATTGATATCAATGAGCGAGTATCACGATGCTCAAAAATTGTTGTCGATCTACCAGAAGGTGGTGAACAAATTTATTTCCTTATTCTCTTCTGATTTCTATGGGTCAATTTTTGATTTTACACCAAAACACAAACCAAAGTCGGCTGTCAAGGCCAAAGCGTTAAATCATGTGATTGAATTGGAGAAGACAATTGGACATGATGTCATAATTTTCTTACTCACTACGGAAGAAACCATTTATGCCCTAAACAATTATAAGGCTGTTCTTTTTGTGAACTTTTTAGATCTAGCTCAACAAAATGGCGATCATGAACTCATAGAGTCTTGTTTATTACATGTTCTTCAGCATTGGAAGAACAAATCAAATCCCATCTTTAACATGGTGAAGACTAAAATTTCGAGTGACCATCCAGAAATTATTAGAAATGAGTTTATTGAAAAACAGTGAAAATGAAGAAACGACATTCTCTCGTGGAGCCTCTCAGCGAAAAACATGTACTTTATTTTTTTCACATAGAGAATCTGTTGGAGCATGGCAATCAAGAACGAAGAAATTACGTTCAGACCATGTTACTTGCCATTACGAATTCCGTTTTTGCATTCTTTATGTTTGGTTGGCATGTACATGAAAAGGCCATTCTGAGTGTCTTTCCTTTGCCAGTACTCGTAACAGCAGTCTTTTAATTCCATGAGTTTGTCAACATCGCCCAGAATGGTTTGGTTTTATGTTGGTACCTAGAGGTTACGTGGTTTTATCGTTGGTTGTTTTCATCAAGATCACAAGCCGTCGTAGCTCAGTTGGATAGAGCACAGGACTTCTAATCCTGGGGTCGTGGGTTCGAGTCCCGTCGTCGGTAAATCTTTTTGTTAAGATTTTTTCGAGCTATATTTGTAACGCTAATGTTAGATAACAAGCCAATTTCCAAAGGGTTGGTATTTACTAGTGGTATAACTAAGTGACAAACTTCTTCAATATGTAATCCCGTGTAGTCCAATGGTTAGGATACCTGGTTTTCACCCAGGAGGTCCGGGTTCGATTCCCGGCATGGGAGCTAACTTTTCTTGCGCCTTTAAAAATTAGCTTTTCGCCACCTGAATATCTGGCAAGGAAGATTATAACGGGAATGTTGAAGTGTCGCTTGTCTAAATCGTAATTGATTACCATCACCAAACTAAAAAAAATCAATTTTGGTGACACAAGGCACGTTGAACAACCTTCATAGAAGGCCTTGGTGTCCCTTGCGGCTTTCTTCTTAACACCTTTCCGTAACATCTTTCCTCGTCTACATAACAAATGACGAACAGACACAACAGTATTGACCGAAGGACTTTTCGAAAAACATCTTTCATCATGACACTTCTTCTATTGGTCGTGTTGTTGGTTCAGGTCATCTTTTCCACAACGACCCATCCACACCATCGCTCACCAACCCATTCTGCCTCCTCCTCAACGACGCTGAATACTCGAATTCTTTCCCAAAGACGACACAATTCCAATCATCATAATATCCATCTTGTTCATCCAATTAATGATGAGGAAGATGATGATTTTATGGATCTACTCTCTGATTTCTCTAATTATAAGGATGCATATTCCAAGATTGAAAAAGTACTTTCTATTCACAACAAGCATTACAGCAATGATCAATTGACTTTATTGAATCGTCAAAGGAGTAGTACTAGTACTGGTAGTAATAGTGGTGGTGGTGGTGGTCAAAGTGCAACAAATCATTATAACACTCCTCCTCAACAACAACAAACCTCTGAACCACCTCTCTTCACCACTTTGGAAGAAGAATCCGATCATGATGCTACTACTACGATTACAACTTCTTTTGAAATTCCACAACAATTTATTCTCAAATTCAAAGAATCTGTGAAATTGACTGAAAAGTTGAAACAAGAATTTGAAAAGAGTACTTCCATTCAATTACTTCAATACATTCCAGATCATAGTTATTTAATCCATGTCACACCTTCTCAATTGAATTCATTATTGATACCCTCTCAACAACAATCAAAACCACAACAAATACTCTCAAAGAGTTCACCCATTATGGTTTCTCCAAATCATCAAAATGTTCAACAATTAGATGTCTCTAATATCATTTCAAAGATCATTCCACTCTCTCCATCATTGAAAATTAATCCAACTTTGAAACATGAAATGGAAAATGAAAGAATCATTACCACACCGATGTAGTTCTTCTGGTAGGACTACTCCTTCTTCTTCTTATGGTAATGCTGGTAGTGGTGGCAGTAGTAGTACTGTTTCTGGTGGCACATTGATTCACATTGCCTCTTCTCTTGTACCAAATCCATTCTTGACCTCTCAAGACATTCGTGACATTGCTCAACAAATTCGACAAGTCTGTGAAAGACAATATCACATGAATGTTCGATTTGTGAGATTAATATCCAATCGTAAAATCATGTTGAGTGTACAATTGTGTTCTCGTTCTGAATTGAATACTTTGATTGATGTCTTGTCTCATCATCCAGCTGTGAATTGGATTGAAAGATTTGATATGGAACGTGATGGATTCATGCCAGAGAATTATCATGCTCGTTTATTAATTCAAGGTGGTAAGAAATGGATGAAGAGAGGTGGTAGTAGTAGTCCAAGTGATCTAGTTACAATGACTCGTCCGATTGGTGATACTTCTCCTACTGCTCATCGTCCATCATCATCTTCATCATCATTACTTGGTCCATTCGAAGCTGTGGGATTGACTGGAAAGAATCAAACGGTGGCCATCTCGGATTCAGGTCTCGATTTTGATCATTGTTTCTTTTATGATCCTCAGGTTCAAGTGCCAATCCTTCACTCGAGTCAGACCATCATCATCGGCACGACTAATAAGCAACAAGAACAAGATTCTTCTCTGACAGCTACTACTACGACTACGACTGGCAACCACCCTAACCGCCACAACGACGACTTGGATGTTCTGATTCAAAAATTACAATCTACGACCGTTACAACGACAACAACCACTTCTCAACAAAAAGAACACCGCAAAATCAAAGCCTATGTTGCCTTTATGGATTCTAAAGATGGTGGTCATGGCCATGGCTCTCATACTTCAGGAATTCTCACTGGACAATGTCTCTATCCAAAGAGTACCATTTGTAGACACAATGGACTTGCACAAGATGCTAAACTTGTCTTTTTTTGATGTTGGTTGTGATTTAGATGGTGGATGTTCGTGTGATTCTTTCGATGCATGTCCATGTTACATGTATCCAGATTCTAAATGTCCAGGTGGAAACAAATTGGTGACTCCCATTGATTTGTACAGTGGTCTGTTTGAACCTCAATATGCATTGGGTGCTCGAATTTCTTCCAATTCTTTAGGTGGTGCCATTGGATATGGTTACACACAAATTACAGCAGAAATTGATAAATTCCAATACGATCATGATGATTTTCTAGTGGTATGGAGTGCAGGTAATTCAGGACATAAAGGATACATGACCTTAACGGGACCAACCAAACAAGCTAAGAATTCTCTCATTGTTGGAGCTTCTACCAACTCGATCGAGTCATGGAAAGAGGCATTGCAGTTAAGAAATTACACAGAGAGAGCACTCTTTTTGAGAAAGAAATTCTCTAAAAAGTATTCTTGTACGTGCAAGAATTCCTCAAAGAATGGTAAGAGTCATAGTAGTGGTAGTAGTAATGATATTTCATCGTCATCATCATTGTTTGATGCCTTTTCATGGTGTCACTTTGATAAATGTCGAGAGATTGAGAAATTAACTTCAGAAGAGGCCTGTGATGCCTTCATGGGTGAAACATGTCAATTTCCATCCAAATACAAAATTTCACTCATGAAAAAGAAAGCCAATTTCAATGTTGCCTTTGCATGCAGCAAGAAGTGTGCTCTCAAGAATTTACATGAAATGCAATCACTCTTTGATTCGGAGAACTTGGCAGATTTCTCATCTTTGGGACCAAGTGTGGATTCACGTATCAAACCTGATCTCGTAGCACCAGGTTATTTTGTCATTTCGGCTCACTCTCATTTTGGAAATTCAAAATGTTCTATTGAGAATACCAATGATGTGAAATTTCAATTGAAAGAAATGGCAGGAACTTCCATGTCCACACCACTCGTGGCAGCTGCTGCTACCATTGTGAGACAATACTTCACGGATGGTTTCTATCCGAGTGGTAAGAGACCATCCAATCCTCAGGAATTTGCCAAAGCAGAATATACCAATCCAAGTGCAGCATTGGTGAAGGCCATTCTCATTTCGAGTGCACGTGGAATGAAAGGACTTGCTCGTGGCAATGATTATTTTGATCATTTCAATCCAAAACATCGAACCATCTTTGAAGGATATGGATTGATTAATTTATCGAATACTTTGAAATTGGTCAGTAGTAGTAGTGGTGATGGTGATCTTAGTAGTACGAATACTAATCCTACTCGTGAGAATGTAAAGACGACGACTCCATCTCGAATGGTGGATTTATTTGTGGTGGATCGACAGGAAATTACGACCGATCTTGTTCATTCCTATAATTTCATTGTGGCTGACAATTCCTCTGAATTGTGTATTACTCTTGTGTGGACAGATTATCCTGCATCACCAATGGCATCTCTCGCATTGGTCAATGATTTGGATTTAAAGTTAGAATATGAACTTGAGAATGGTGATATTCAAACCTTTTATGGTAATCATTTTGTGAATAATAACCAACCTGATCGAGTGAATAATGTTGAGAAAATTTTAATTCCATCTCCACCACTTCGAACAGCATTGACTGTGAGTGTGAAAGGTCATAATGTACCACATGGTCCACAACGTTACAGTTTGGTGATCAATGGAAAGAAAATTTCAAAAGCTTCTGTGATTAAGCGTTCATTGGATGTGACTGACGTTTCTCCTTCGAATACGATCATTTTCTTTAATTGGCAATTTGCATTAATTATCACAAGTTTGGGAACTGCATTGTTGGTATCATTGGCAGTGAATATTGGATTGTGTTTGTATGCTCGTATTCAAAAGAGAGATTTCAATAAGCAATTTATGAATATGGAGAAGATGAAAACAGTGTATTAAAATACTTGTGTTTTCTTTTACCTCGATATGCCGTTGCAAATGTTCACCTGAAGATCTTTCTCTGAGTTAGAGAACATCGTAAACAAGGGCTATTTTAAGATGAATTTTTTTTAAAAAAAAATGTCGAATATTAATTTATTTGATAGACCTGCTTCTGGTCCAGTAAGTATCTTTTTGTGCAAGTGCTTTCGGATCATCATCCATGATGATTCATCATGAAAAGCGTCCTTTGATCGAATTTAGAGCTGGTAAAATGACCAAGGAAGGGAATACAGTGAAAGCAGATACAAGAAAAGGCAAAATAGCCTTGATTATTGATCCCGAAGATGGTCTTTTACATTTCCAATGGAGAGATAGAAGTGATAAGGTTATTGATGTTAGTATCAAATGCTTGTTTTGAAAGATCTAACGTACATTATTAATGTAATTATTTTTCCTTTGCCAACGTATTATTATGACGGCTTATTTGATAATGTACGACAATTTGTTACATGATTGATCAAACTTCGCAATCATCGCAACATTAGGATTCAATTGTATTTCAAGGAGATGTTACTTTCTCTAGAGTTAAGAAAGTAACGGATGGCCGAGTTTATTTGTTGAAATTTACATCAGGAAGAGAACTCTTCTATTGGATGCAAGAACCAAAAACCGATAAAGACGATGAATATGAAAGAAAGATTAATGAATATATTGAAAATCCACCAATGGAAGGAATGAATGATGAAGACATACCACCTCAACCAACCGCTACGACCACACCTTCGGAAACATCAACACCACCCCAACAGAATGCTGTTCAACTGGATCAATTGTCAAGAATTATTCAAGGAATTAATCCAACAGCTCCGACTAGCGGACAGACACAACAAGCCTCTGCTACTACTCCATCTCAGCAATCTTCATCATCGCAACAATCTCAAGGTTCTCAAAATACAGAAGGTACGTAACACAACACACACACCAACGCACACAAACACACACCATATGTGTCAACAAAAAAAGCCTCTCTTCAAGAGTTATTGAGAAATTTCCAAGAACATCAACGTGAAAGAAAACAAACCATTGCACTGGAGCATGTCCTTCAATCCGATGCCATTAATGAAATCATCAAAAGACACCCATCCATTTTAAATAGAGATGAACTATTTGCCAATCTTCCTGAGGGTGACGATGACAGAAGTGCACAAACACTATTAAGCCATATAAGAAGTCCTCAATTCCGTCAAACTTTAGATGTGTTCGGGAGTGCAATGAGTACAGGTCAGTTGAGTGGGTTGATGAGAGATTTCGGTTTAGATCCATCTGTGGCAGATCCATTTAGAGGAGGAGGTTAGTTGACACATATTTACTTTCTCAATAAGTAATTCAATTATTTTTTGTTTTTTATAATTACTAACCAAAGGCCTTTTATCATTCCTAACTGCTTTAGCCAAGAAAGAAGAAAAGAAAGAAGGTGACAAAATGGAGGATGAGAACCAAGAAGGAAAACAATAGTTAGTATATGTTGTAGAGTCAGCCACATTCAAGGTATGTGGAACAATAAAAAAATTATGGCTTGAAACATTATTAATACTACTACCCCTGTATACCTTACTGGGGTTCTTATGTTGCAGTATTCTTTTCTTCATTGTGTTTTCAAAACAAAAATATGTTGGCGCCACAATATACAATTACAAATTACATTCAAAAAATGTCTCAAAAGATTTATCTTCAAGGAATCACCGACAATGTCAAACTCGCAAGGGAGCATGCCTTGCTTGGTAGTTATTCAGTCTCCCTTGCATACTATGATGGAATATCGGACCAAATAGATTCATACATGAACGACAATCTACTCGGAATGGATTCCAAAACACAATGGGCTCAGCTCAAACAAAGACTAAAACAAGAATATCAAATTATACAACACATTCAAAATGAATTGAACACATTCAGTAACGGTTTATCTCAAGGAAATAGCAACAGTGGAAGTAACAACACCCGAATGAAACCGATTGCCAAATTCTTTGAAGACCAACCCGAAAAGTCATCTGGTGGAGGATGTGCATTTGTTGTAAATACTGTTTCCAACAGCAACAACAACAACTCTCCACCTGTGTATGACGATGGTCCATTTGGTCCTAGAGCGAAAACCCCAAGCGCCAATCAACAAAACATTTCTCCGCAAGACAATTATGATCCCGATGTGTGGCTTCCTCCAACACCAGTGCAGGGAGTAAGCAAACCAAAGAGATTACAACCAAACAATGCTGAGAAGAAAGTAGTATCTTCTAAACCAGTGAACAATAGAGTAAGTATTGTTGAACCAACAATGAATGGCATCAATTGTAGATTGTTAATTATGTCGATAAGAAACTTAATGCAAAGTTGTTGGGAAATCAATATTCCAAAGATAACAAACAAAAACCTCCCATCCCAAGTGTTGCATCTAAAAAATCAAAAGTGGATGACAAGGATAATAACATGTCCATCGATGAGGATGTTCCTGCAGCCACAGGAGATGAAAGACCAAAATTCGTTCCAGCATGTGCATCGGATAAGGACCTTGTGGAAATTATTGAAAGAGAGATTTTAGATAAGCAATGCAATACACATTGGAGTGATATTGCTGGTTTAGACCAAGCAAAAGGATTATTGGAAGAGGCTGCAGTGCTTCCAATCATGATGCCTGAATTCTTTAATGGAATTCGATCACCTTATAAGGGAATTCTGTTATTTGGTCCTCCAGGTACAGGAAAGGTATGTAATTTTGTAAACCTTTGAAAGAGAATTTACTTGTTGTTTGAAGACCATGCTTGCAAAAGCTGTTGCCACAGAATGTAAAACAACATTTTTCTGCGTTTCTGTTTCCGCCTTAACCTCAAAATGGAGAGGTGAATCTGAGAAATTAATCAAGTTATTATTTGAAATGGCTCGATTTTATGCTCCAAGTACGATATTTATTGACGAAATTGATGCTTTAGGAAGTAAGAGATCTGAAGGTGAACACGAAGCAAGTAGAAGAGTAAAAACAGAGTTATTGGTTCAAATGGATGGTGTAAATAATGACAGTAATTCGACAGATGATGCCAAAAAGAAGATGGTACTTGTGCTTGGTGCCACAAATCATCCTTGGGAGCTCGATGACGCCTTAAGAAGACGGCTTGAAAAGAGAATACATATACCCTTGCCTGACCTAGAAGGAAGACGATTAATTTTCAAATTATATCTTGACAAGCTAATACTTGCTGACGATGTGGATGTGGAAGAACTTTCAAAGTTGACAGAAGGATACAGTCCTGCAGATATTAAGTTAATTTGCAGAGATGCAGCGATGATGGTCCTTAGAAAAGCCATAGAAAATCTTGGCAAGACTGAAATTATTTCCAAACAAGGTGAGATCAAAAATCAACCAATAACAATGAGCCACTTCTTGGAGACATTGAAGAATGTCAGCTCCTCAGTTGGTACGGCTGAATTGGACAGATACAAAAAGTGGATGGAGGAGTATGGATCTAAATAAACTATTGAAATCTCAACAAGTATGGTAAAATGTTGTGAATGCTATATGTCAAAATGTAGGTAAAATATTAAAACATCATGGATCCCCGTGAAACAAGCATTATTGTCACATTTCTTTTAATTAGAAAATTGTTTGGTGTCATCGTTTAAATCTCCTGCAGTATTCTGTTTGAAAATCGACAGTTCCATAATCTCCAAAAGGTTTTGAGTGGTGAGTTGTCTGATGAAACGGCTGCGATTTTATATTTGCCTGAGGTTGGAAAGTTGTGCTGTATGTGGTCTTCCCTATTGATATTTTACGTTCCTTGGTTGGTGTTGGTTTTGATGTTGTTGGCTGTTTGGTGTCTTTGCCTGACCTTGCAGATGTTGAGGAACGAGCAGAGTTTTTGGGTTCAGCATCATTTTCATCCAACACAGGAGTAAACGCTGGTTCCACTACTCCACCACTTGCAGTTGGGCAAGAAGTAGCCTTCCATGCAGGTTCTGTTCTTACATAGTGTGACAATGTTTTCGAGCTTGGTCTTGCAAAATATGTTTTTGATGTTGGGAGATTGGTTCCTTGCGTTGGAAGGTAAGCGTATGGTTTTTTTGTGTTGAAATTTCGATCATGCATTTTGGATAGATTTGACGTGGATGGTCGAGCTGTCAACCCAGAGTTAGTAAAAGTGCTGTTCATTACACTCTTTCGTTGAAAGGAAATGTTTTGAATTGCGGGTGCTGATTTCGGTCGATCTCCTTGTTGGGAATTTGTCTTACTGTTTTGCCATTTCTCAGCTGCAACTTCATACACTGGTTTACTTTTCTTCTGATCAAGTAAATGAGGAGTGGATTCTAAAAACACACTTTGCTCATGAGACGTTGGTTGAATATGTTTTCTAAAGCTTGACAATGCAGCCATAACGTATTTAAAGACATTCATATCTGACTGACATGTATCCGAATGATTTTTAAAATAGGCCGCCACAGATTTGATTGCCTTTTCTGTTAACACGCCATGACCATAACTGCTTGCAACATAGAAAAATCGATCCACTTCACTCTCAGCTTTGAATGGATTGTTTTGTGATTGCAATTTTTGATAATAATCACCTAAACGTTTGAATAGTGCATGGAACTCTTTTCTCTCCGTTTCGGTTGCTTGTTCTTTCAGCCACGCGCTGATTCCTCTTAACGATCGTTCTTCAAACAATTTAGAGTATGAACTTGATTGCAATTTGTTGGAAGTGCTTCGATACTTTTTGAGAATAAATTCTTTGCGATATTCTTTGTGAGCATCAAAAGAAGGATCAAAATACGGCGTGTAATGTCCTCCGAATGTCATGGTGAGTAATATTTAAATATCACGAAAGTGAGAACCAGTGAGTGATTACTTTTTTTTTGAGATAAACTCTCTTTGAACGTTACTGGATTACCGACAATAACGGTAAAATTTGGCGGTAAAGACTGTCTCAATGGGTATAGAGACGCTGTGATCGGGACGGTGTTCTGTTTCTTTATCCGATGCATATGTGAGACTCCCTTCAAAAGAAAGAAGGTATTACAAAAGTGAAAGCCATGAATCAAACGTATTGTAAACAAACAAGAGGCTTCAAACGCATCTCTGAGATCGTGTGATTGTCTTTATTCACGGTTGTAATTAATTAAAGTACAATGAATTCTAATCCATCTTTTCATTTGTGTCTCTTTCATCATCATCACCTTCTTCCTTTTTATTAGGGTTATGCCTTAATAGATAGGAAGCAAGATATTGTATTGGATCTTCTGGTCGTTCTCTTACAACGCTGGCTAATCCTTGCAATAAAATTGGAACTACGGTTTGGTCAAGGTAGGCTCTCACCGGAAGAGCGTTATAATTCGTTTTAGCATGAACTTTTTCTTTGGTTTGTTCCAGTGTTGCAGCACTTGGTGTAAAATCTGCTAATAGATTGTCTTGTTTTTCTATTTACAAAATCAAAGAAGGGTTGTATTCATCCTCTTTGATCATGCCCGATAATTTTCTCCGTCTGATTGCTTACCTGAAGACATGATGATGACGACAGTAAATATTTTTTTGCTGGTTTTTTGAGTCTAGTAAACTTTTTGGCGCCAACTTCACGTGATTTTTATTCCTTCTTTTGTTTCTTTGGATGCACGGAATCTGCAGAGTCATCATCACCCTCCTCGATCGTCTCATCATCATGCTCGTGAGTACTCGTCGTGGTCTCATCACAAGTTGTTGATGTTGGATCATTTGGTACATTCTTTCTCTTACCCGTAGTTGTAGTCGTGGCAACATGTCCATTCAACAACACAACTTGTCTCTTGTGATGTTCTTGGACATACTTGATCATGGCATTTCCAAATTTACTCCAACCCTTCTCTCCAACGGTATCTAATTCTCTCTTTAAGTGATCCTCTGTCAATTCTAAACCTCTCAAATCAATCTTTTTTAATGCTTCATCCACAAGTGCTTTGTGTTTTTCACCAAATGTTTCCCAATGAACATTTTCCACATCACTTGGTTTCACTTTGTAAATGAAATTTCGATCCACACACTTCAAATTCTTATTTAACAAGTACAAGACATTTCCCTCAGTAATGAAATGATTGTATTCATAACGATGAGGTAAATCATGTTCCTTTCTAAAGGCTTCATTCAATTTGAGATTATACTCTTGTAGTGATTGGATATGAAAGACGAGTTGTTGATAATTATTGCTATATTCATAGAGATGATTAATCATGATGGTGTTTGTATTGGTGGTGTTAATATTATTATTATTGTTATTATTGTTATTATTATTACTACTACTACTATTAGTGGTATTGGTGGTAGTAGCCTTACTAGAATTGTGAGCTGTTGTTGGAGTGCTATCTGTATCACTACTACTACTACTACTACTACTACTGTTGTGTATATGAATCGCATAGGGTAGATTGTTCTCTGGAATGTGTGATGAGATGTCCATCATGATGACATTCTTCATAGGATCATCTGTGGATGCGATGGTGGTATTAGTGGTGGTATTAGTGGTGGTAGAGTTCATTCTTGAATCATCATGATCATTCATCATTAATGCAACACATGGTTGAATAGATCCATCCTGATACAAAAACAACAATGGTTTCAATTCAATATCAAAATCATACTTGACCAAATGAGGTTCTTCATATCCACACAATTCACATGAAATGGAATTGATTTGATCATTCTCAATGAAATGTTTAAAATAAATGTCATCATGATTCATGGATGGGGGTGTGATTGTTGTTGATGTGATTGTTGTAGATGGGGTTGTTACTGACGTGGTTGTTCTAATCTTGAAACTATTGGATTCTTCTTCTATCAACAACATGTTTAACTTTTTCAAACACTTGATAGTCAAATCAAAGAACTTGATCTTGTATTTTTCATTATTCTCAACAATTGGTGTTCCTTTGGTTTTTGCACTGATAAATAATTCCCCTTCATGATTTCTATACTTGTATAAAACAATATTGGATCCATTCCACTTCTTCATAAAACAGTAATAGAACAATCCTTTCATGGATTTGAAATGAGATTCAGGTAATAAGGACATGCCTTTTTGTTTTTTTTGTTTTTTAGGATACAAGTAATTCAAATTGGGAATATTATATACTATATTTGGAGTATTTAAATCAATATGATTAATATTATCAATAATCATTGAACCATTAAATTTGCCATGTTTAATAATCATATATCCCTTAATAATATTTGAAGAATTAAATGGATCTCTACATTCAAAGTGTTTTAAATCTCTATCCATATTGGAAATTGAAAATGTTTTTTTCAGAATATCCATTGTTTTTGTATTTGAGATGTTGTGGTGTGAAGAGGATTTGGAATTGGATTCATAATGTTGTTTGTGGTTCATGCTGTTGTTGTTGAGTTCCGACGATGATGAATGTGAGGAAGGGGAAGACTCGGAAGTCAAAGCGGAAGCAGATAAAGACATTTTTTTTAAAAAAAAGAATGGAAAAAGGATGACTAAGAGTGCCAATTTGAAATTGAACAAACGCGAAATGATCCTAATTAAAATCAAGTATATATATTCATGTGTGAGAGATTGAAGGAGTATCAATGAGTTCATTCAAAATTAATCAATTAAATTTAAAGAAATATATTTTTCATTAAAAAAAATGAAACGAAAATTTGAAGATCAGCTTCAACAACCGAGTAGTAGTAGCAACGGAGGTTGTTGTGATGAATCCTCCTCCTCCTCCTCCTCCACCTTTCCACCAAGGAACAAACATGTAAAATTCTCCTCCTCCTCCTCTTCAACAAATCATCACGATAACATACAAACTCATGAGGAATCCAAACACACTCTTCAATCCATTCGCGAGGCTAAATCTCTCCGAATGATCAAACAATTAAAAGGCTTTGAACAAACAACATCCATTCTCGGACAAGTCAATGAAACAGGAAGTGGATTAGAAGGTGAAGAAGGAAATTTAAATGAAGAACGTTTTATTGATGAAGAAAATAATAACACAGTGATGGAACCCTTTCACTTGGAAGCAGAACGAACAGAAGGAATATTTAAAGATAAACAAACCAAAGAGGAAGAACAACGAAAAAAAAAGAAAAAATTACAACAACGAGTATTGGATAAAGTAATTAGAAATAATGAAAGTGATGAAGAGGATAGTGATGATGGTGAAAAAGATATTTGGGCAGATGATTTGGAAGAAGTGAATCCTTCCTTGTCTTTGAAAAATCGGAATGATGAAAAAGAAGAGACAACGAGTCCTCCTCCATTATCACTCTCTGAATGCCATCAATATATTGTTGATCATCTCATGGATCGAAAAGAAACAATTTCTAAGGCATTACAACGATTGAAAAAATCAATGACTTGTCACTCGAGTGGTACTGATCAAGATCCTTCAAAAGTATACAATGAATTAATCAAAATAGCAAATATTTTAATTACTCATTACAACGTTTATGATATTTATGATAAAAAAAGAGAATCGTTCCAAAAAAGAGTGAAATGGGAATATCGAGTCAAAGATACCAACGAAATTCATGGACCATTCTCAACCAATGACATGATCACATGGATGGATCATGGATTGTTAACAAACGATAATGTACAAGTAAGAATATTCTGTGGTGAAAGTGATGATTTTTTAGAATTAAATTCAGTGGATTTTACAAAATATGAATAATATGGTGAGAATTTTAGAGTTTTGTTGCAACACATGTTCTCTCTCATGTACACACACATATAGAATTCAGTTTAACTCTCCCATTTGAGTAATAATGAGATGCAACGAGTGATTCGAGTTCACATGTTCCTACACAAATATAATGTAGAACAGCAATAAAAATCCAAAAAAGAATGCCAATCGTCGAACAAAGCCCTGAAATTCTTCTTGTTCAGAAGGAGGTGGATGTAAACGAGTCGAATTGGAAGTGGTTGTCATTCCTAAACCACCATCACTCTGACCACCACCACCACCACTGTATTGAATATCAAAAAATGGAAAGAATCGAAATGCATCTGCAAATAAGAATGTTGATGCTCCAGTGCCAATACTACTACTACTACTACTTGCATGAATACCTCCTCCACCAACAGCACCTCCAAATCCTCCTCCCATTCCAAAGAAATTACCTCCTCCAAATAAATTTCCCATATTATGAAATGGATTATAATTTGGATTTGGTGTTGTTCTAGAATCTGTATATTGTGCACGAGGTCTTGAAGGAATACCATTATGAGTGGAGTGATTATCTGTAGATGTAGAATCCACATTTCGATTCGAATGACTACTTCCTCTTCCATAAATTGGAATTATTTTATCTTGTTGAATACCTGCTTTGCAAACAGGACATTGTAAATTTTGAGTAGAATGACTTTGCATCCATCTATAAAGACATGACCAACAATACAAATGACCACATTGAGTAATCACTGGTTCATTGGCTGTATCAAAACAAATATTACATGACCACATGGAATCTACATCTGAATGAGTATTTGGATTGGAATTGGACTGTACATTGGTTGATGATTGTGGTGGAAGTGAGGATGATGATTCTGTGGTTTCAGGTGATGATGATAAAGTCATGTTGGTAGATAATGTGTTAGGATTGGATATATTTTGAGAAGATGTATTGTTCGTAGGATTGGTGGTTATTACATCATCATGAGAGGTGGTTGGTCCAATGTTTTCTTCTTCATCCTCGGAAACATAATCCGAAATGATTGGATCATCCTCTGCTGATATTTCTGTATTATTAAGTATTGATGTGGTTGTAGTGGTTAATGTGGTTGTATCGTGAGGATCCGAAACAGATGAATGATGATTTTCTTCCATGAATGGAACCATTGGTGGTGGAGTTGTGGTCGATAAGCGTCGCATTTTTTTGAATTGTTTTTTCGCACACACACCTTATTCATCATTCTTTTTCTTATTCTTTTCATGAATATATTTAGCCATGTAATGACTTGTTCGATATTGATTCAATGCCAAGATGTGTTGAACATAATTATAGGGTGCAGAATAGTAAGAGTGATCTCCTCTCATCTTGGCCAGTGGTAGTACAGTATTAAAATGACCATTCACATCACAACCATTACTATAAGTACCATTACTACTACTATTATTACCACTACAACTACTACAACTACTACTACTACTATTATAACTATTCTTCTTATTTAAAATCTTCAATTCATACACTCTCTTAATATCTAATAATAAATGATGAGTATTCAACTCTTGAGAGAATAATTGTGAGAGTAAATGAAATCCTTGTCTTGATGTTTGAATCCACAATTCTTCATTGGTGTAAAGAGAGTGAGCATGTGATACAAATTCATCCATGGAATGTGCAATAAGACCACCCCATAGGAATGAAGATGGAGGAGTATGAGTAGTAGTGCTGCTATCAGTCCTGTCACCACCACCCTTATCATTATCACCACCACCCTTATCATTATCACCACCACCCTTATCACCACTTGAACAACCATACACACCACCACCACCACCACCCTTATCACCACAAATACCACTCTCCAAATTCATTCCTTCATATCCAATGAGTGTGGACACACATGGTAATCCATACATCCATCCATCTGCAATTTTACCCTAAAATATTAGAAAATATTCATGAACCGTACAAGTAAGAATGAACACACATTCACAACAATACATTCAACACCCTCATCAACATATTCAACACACTTACCTTAATTCCAGCACCAGCTCTCAACATGGCCAAATTCACTCTATATTTAGACATTTCATTCAAGTCCTTCATTTTTCCTTTCACATAAAAATTCAATGATTTGGAAGAGAGTTGTGATTGATTTGATAAATAAGCTCCATAGATATGAAATTCAGCATTTGGTAATTTTGAATGTATGAATGGCCATACATAATGTCTCATGTAATAAATGGAATCCTTATTTGGAGGATGATGACCATTTCCAATTGTCATGAAATGATGACGTGAATGAAAGGAAGAAGAATATTGTGATGAAGAAGTAAAAGAAGAAGAATGTGATGAAGAAGTAAAAGAAGAGGAGGAATATGATGGATGAGAGGTAGAAGACATTTCTTCTGGAGATGATGATGTCATTTGTTTCTGATTGAATGAATAAAAAAAAGATGCCATTCCTAACTTTTGTTTTGGAATTCCATAAAAATGAATTAAATAATTCAATTCATCTCGACTCACAATGAGTGACAAATCACTTCGATAGATGGATGATAATTCTCTTAATAGTAATTCATTGGTAGCATTGGGTAGATCCATTGAAACAAAAAATGATGCATCATGTTGTTGTTGTTGTTGATTTAATTGTTCCATTCTAAAATTTCTCACACTTCTCAAATCTTGTGTATCAGTAATGAATAGAGTTGTACTGTGATGATGGTCATGGTGATGGTTGCTGTAATTGTTGTGGTGATTGTAATTATGGTGATGATAAAAAGAACCTTCTAATACTTCTCGAACTCTAAAACTATAAATTTCTTCACTAATCATGGTATCAAAAATACATAAATTTAATGTACTTTTATGGGGAAGTATACTTGAATATTCTTTTAAAAATTCATCCATACTTGTCAAATCATTACTTTCTATAGTTTTTAATTGAAAGGATGTAAATTGATCTTTAAAATCATTATAAAATTGTTGAGCATGAAGAGAATGAATGGATTGAGGTGTAATGAATGTGACATTGAGAGTAGTTGTGTTAGAAGTAGTAGTAATAGTAGCTATACTATTATTATTATGGTTGTTGTTGTTAGTATTGGTAGTAGTATTGGTAGTAGCAGTAGTATTGGTTGTGGTGGTATTATTGAGTTCAATAGGATTCTTATTGTTCACATGATCATCATTGAAATGACAAGAATTTGTTTCACTCTTCATATCGGAATGACAAGAATGATTCATCCTTTTGTGATTAAATTCATGTATTAAATCTCGAGTGGTGTGATTTAAATAATAAGGTAATTGTTTGAATGATTCTAATAGTTGATAAATTCGAACTGAACTTGCTGTGGCAGATAATTCTGGAAATCTCATTGCAAAATATAATATATTAATAGTAGAGGGTGGTGGTGATGATGATGAGGATTGAAAGGATGATGAATGATAGTGAATCTTGTTGGTTGATGACGTTATCGATGATGAATCTTTCCGATAATTGGAATTCACCCAAGTAGTAGTAGTAGTAGTAGTCGTACTTGTCGAACATCGAATGGATGATGACAACACAGTGATGTTCCTTCGCACAACAACAACAGCGACTGCACGCCTCGAGAACATTTTTTTTTAATGACGAATCGAAAAAAATTGAACCCAAAAATTTATTATTCACCTTCGGAAACCGGATCATGGTTGCGATCCTCTCTTGTCACAGCATTACATCAGTGATTTATGAGTTCTTTGATGGTTTGTTGTTGAGTCATTTTTTTCGATTCGTCATCAAAGAACTCATAAATCACTTAGAACAACAACAACAACAACAAAGAACTGCAAGATGCTGTTAAGACGCTCACACAAACAGTACAGCAATTAATTGAAGTTACAAAACCAACTCAACCAAAACCTGAACAATCAACAATTAAAATTTCTCAAGCTCAAAATAAAGCACGAAAAATTCACCCTCAACCAAAACCTGAACCAACCCAACAACCAAAACAGGAAACTAAACATTTAGAAACTCCTCAACTCAAAATTGAACAAACTGGTCAACCCAAAAACAAAACTAATTCAATCTCAATCTACTCGGACAGCAATATCTCATCCTCATTTTGTTAAATTTATTCTAAAAAGATTTGAATCAGTTATTGAACACTGGTACATCCCAGACAGCAAGACCAACACTCTCAATTTAGTCATTCAAAATGCCGAAACTCAACAACAAATACTAAAGAAACTTCATTCACTAGCCATGACAGAAAAAACACAAACAAAATATTTCGCCTCACCAATGATTTTTACATCATCTCCAACAACATTAATAGCCAAAGAAAAATCAATTTCGAACATCCAAACTCTCATCAAGTACTCAATCAATCAAAAGAAATGTAGAATTGAACAAATGTGCCTAACATTCAATCCACAAGAAACCTTGTACAAACTTAAAATTAACACTATGCAAGAACACAACCATCAAATTCGAAAAAGAGAGACTCAGTATTAAGAAAAAGGTAAAAGATACCTACTCATACCTAATTGTTGAATACAAGCTTAATGACATCAATGAATTGAATCGACTAACCTCAACAAGATTTATATGCTCCACAGAATTGAAACCAATTTCAAGACAATTCAAGCCAAAGACAACCGCATGAACGTGCGTTTAATAGTTTTACCAGCACCAATGGTGCTAACAATAAACTAATTAGATTTTTTGAAGAGAGGTGGTGGTGTTGTTGTTGTGTGAAGGAACATGTGCCTTGGGTTTCTTTGGTAGGTGGAGTTGTAGTCCACCTACGAGTTGGTGATCGGAACCGTCACGCGCAATAGGGTTCCAATCACCACCAACCACACCAACACCAACAACAACAACAACAAAAAAAAAATGATTCCAACAACAAACAACACCAATGATCATCATCATCACATTATGGAAGACTCCCAAGTATCCTCACCTCCATCATCATCAGCAGCAGCAGCAGTGGTGAGTGAGGATGCGATGCAAGATTCTCAAGTGGATGAATCTTTATCCACCACCACTCTGACCACCACCACTCGTACCACCACCACCTCTTCTTCTTCTTCTAATAACAATCATAACAACACTCCTCCTCTTCCAATTTCACCTTCACTCGTGGGTTGGACTGAACCCTCCACACTTCAAGAAAAGAGATCTCTCTATGCATGTGGCAATGATTTTGTCACTTTGGATCAATTAGAGTTATATCCATCGTATGCTGAAAAGAATCGACTTGAACAACCATCGATTGAAGGTATTAAAAAAGTATTCTCTTCCTATCTCAGAAATAGAGAATATCCAATATTATCTCAATTCAATCCTGAACATGATGCCATCAAGAAGGGTTATTATGACTATAATGAAGCAATTAATAAGAAGATTTCTTTTTTTAGAGGTGATGTCTCTCAATTGGAAATTGATGCTGTGGTGAATGCTGCCAATGAATCCTTGTTGGGTGGAGGTGGTATTGATGGAGGTAAGTACAAGTGTTATAATAATGGTAATAGTACTATTGTTTTATATATATTTGTATATATTTGTACATATTTGTATATATATATATCTATTATTGATATTACTGATTCACACAATACCATGTCATCATCTGACGTGATCCTATCACTACTACTACACTTGTATCATCATCTGCTTGATGATCACATAGCCATTCATAGAGCTGCTGGTGGTATCTTGAGAAAATACAATGCTCTTCTTAATGGATGTGATACTGGATGTACAAAGATTTCACCTGGATTTAAATTACCAGCAAAATACATTCTTCATACAGGTGAGTACAATGATACATCTTAATGGATTCAATGAATATCAATGAATAATAATATTTGATTCAAATGATTTCAATTGATTTTAATTTTATTTATTTTATTAATTGATGAATTAATTTTTTATGATTTGATTCAATTTAATTTTATTTAATTTTTTTTATTCAATGAATTTATTTAAACATGTATTTGA